CTCCCTTATACACAATCGGGCGGCTTTACCCCTGTTCTAGACACCGTTCAGGAGGCGCACTTGTTTTCAAGTTGTTCAAGTTTCCTTTTTTTTACGCTCAACATTCCATTCTTCTATTTATTCTCTCTCCCTCCGAGTTCAGAGTTCAACAGTCTCTCTCCTCTATTGTTTGAATGCAAGCGATGTCGAGGTTCATGTCTTTCAAGCTTTTTTTTTGGCCCTGCGTGTTTGGTTTGGTCGTTTACTCTTGTTTTTGTTTTTGTTTTTATGGTTTGTTCGGCGCCATTGTCATTGTTATTGTCATATCCATATCCATATCCTTTTTATGCCCGTCACTAGGGTACCCTAGTTTCGACGCCAACGTCATGTGTCACGTCAATGCAACGAAGAGTCATGCCTTCGCTTTTGTCCTGGCGCGGTGGTGCTATACATTCTCTTCTCTGCTCTGCTATCCGCTCTCTACTGGACGCATTTGCATTTGCATTTACATTCCTCACCCCGCCCTTACCTTACTTACCCGACACTACCGTTCCCCACCCCACCCATTCCATTCCGTTATACCTACTTACAACGACACGAGACGGCGGCACCACGGATGGCTATGGCTATGGCTGCGGATTTCTTTTGTATTTTTATGCGGGAGCGTGGGTGTAGGAGTTTGTTTTCTTTCCCTGCTCTTTCTTGCCTTTCATCTTCATCTGCACCAGCTACTCTCATTCATCACCCTTCCTTCTATGCCTCGGTATATATTTGTACATAGTTACTTACGACTGACGAATTCAATATGGTTTACTTCATTGCCAAAATGAAAATAACTTGAAAATAAATGGTTCTGTTCCAGTTGGAAGTTGTATACTACTACTAGCACACTCGCTGCCAAGAACATTACAAGTATTTCGCAAACCATCCAACTAGTAGTAATACTACTAGTAGTATGTAATCCAACAAATACCCCTCTCTCTCTCAACGTTGATTTCAAATCCACTCGAGTCCGAGTCCAACAGCCACCTCGGTCAGACTGGGCACCAGCCCGATGACATCAGCCACTGCCACTAACTAATCCACGTCCACATCCACATCCGCCCCCGATCCGATGTCATTATGGATTGCGCCGGGTCAGGCTGGCCCCCAACTGCTCCGAATCTCCTCCGCTTACGTTTAGCTTTAAGGCGCTGCAAGGTGATGTGATGTCGATCAACTAACTGGACTGGGCGCCCTTGGATCTTTTGCGTTCGGGGGTTTGTGGCTGAGTTGGGGCTAAAGCGTTCGTGTTTACTCGTGTTAGTTTCGGGGTTCGTGCAGTCTCCAGGAGGGTCGATGACGATGGATGGATGCCGGTGGACTGAGCGAGCTGTCACCGGGCTTGCAAGGGTAGCTTTGGAAGATCTGTAGATCTGAGTTTGGGGGGATAATCAAAACAAAAACAAACTCGGCGTACCGGGTTGTGTACTTGATGATGGTCTGGAATTATCAAGACAAATTCATTTTATGCGTGTCGGAATCCTGCTGGATATTGAATAGGGTCATCATTGAACTTGATTGAAGTTCCACTCTTTACGTTTTACTCTCCACAATAGACGGATACGGATATACCTACAGGGAAAGGGGAATTAATGAGTCAGTTCAAATTCAAGTTACTCGTAGTTACATAGTACGCCGTAACTATTAGTTAATAAGTACTCCGTAATCCACCTTGGCTAACTGTTCTTCTCCACTGTGAACTTACTTGGAGATGAGAGACTCGGAGACCTTCCTTATGGGCTCTGTATTTGCGCCGGTTCAAGTTTACTACAAGGGATAGTTATCTACTATACATACTAGCATCTGCATTTGCATCTGCGCCTGTACCGGTATCTATCCGTATGTGCGATCTGTAAGTTAATCTACCCCATACCTGCAGTACCTCAGCTATACGCCAACTATGCCATGTACTACTATTACTGCACCACCTCGGTAACTCTTAGTATACTAGTAGAATAAACTAAACCTATCCCCTACTTCCACTCAGTATCCTATCGGTAACTCGAAGTATTCTAATTTCTATGTATTCCATTCACCTGCAGCACCGGCATGGACTAAAAGCCTTGGCACATACCATCAAACACAGAAAAGTCATTAGGCACCTGCATTCCATTCCATTCCACTCCAGCCTCGGCGGAGGGGCTGACACCAACGGATCGGATCCACGATCTGATTGGACATACGCGACATTCTATTGGGCGCACATGGCCTGCCCTATGCCCTATCGCTACTGTCCCCATTTTTTCTATTCCTGATTTTTGGTAAAGGGTCTGCTGCTGCACTGCGCTGCAGTGACTGCACTGTTCTGCGTGGAGTATAGAGTATCCGAGCCGGGCGGAACGGTTCTGCACAAGTTCCGATCCCGAGTTTGCCGGCCGAGTCTAGTTTGGTTTAGTGGTGTTGTCTACCGATACTAGGTATAGTATAGTATAGTATGGTATACTAGTAGTATACTCTCCGCGCTTCACCCTATCTAGGGCAATGCAGTGTACGCAGTGCAGTGCAGTGTGAAGCAGCCCAGCCCAGCCCGGCCCAGCCTAGTCCAGTCCAGTCCATACCAGAAGTGAATCCACCAGCCACAATTCGGATGCCTAGGAGCGGAGTCGAGTGTCATTACCCGTAGGAGTACAGGAAATAAAAGTGCAAAAATGTCAAATGTAAAAATGTCAACTTGCAAAATGTAACACTGATAGTCTTGCCAGAATTGAATTACCATTACTAGTACGCAGAGTACATATCTTGCCCCTTTTTTGCAATACCAAGTATACAGAGTACAGAGTACAGAGTATACAGTATACAGTATACACTTGATACACCCTTCATGTATTATATCTAAATTTTCAGACTCACTCCATTAAATACGACCTCACTGACTCCAATCCAGTCCAATCGTCCAATACAATCTCACTGAGTCGTGTAAAATCTTCTCTTATAACAATGCAACCAGAAGTGACGTAGCCGCATCCGGAAATCGTAAAAGTGGCTGAGTCATCACTGCACCGCCACAGCCAAGCGTTAAGGCTGACTTGGCTGCGGCGGAGAGAAGTGAGAAGTGGCTACTGCCTTGCTTTGCTCTGTTCTACTCTACTCGTGCATACACGACCACAACCACACCCAGAGTCGATCCCATTGAAGACTCAATACCCCCTACTATACACAGCACACATCCCCCGAGACTGCATCGAAATAACCCGCCATAATGTCGTGGGCTGGTAAGTCCCTCTTTCTCCGGTTTCCTTTCCTTTCCTTTCCGCCTTTTGCTGCCTGAGCCCATTGCGGGCGCGGACCGAGACAGGTCGTGCAGACCGAGCTCGTGGCGTGGTCCGAGGAAACAAACGGCGCGCGATCTGATGCGGCACGATGCGATGCGATGCGATGCGATACAATGCTGATATACGCTTTTAGGCTTTAAGAAAAATGTCGGCCGCGCTACGACGCAGGTTATGATGAAGACTGGTGAGTTCCGGAATGTTACCCCGCAACTCCGGCTTGGTGGCTTGATGACTGGCTTGGGTTGAGGAATATATGTATATGCTAATCTTTCTGCGGGTAGGTCATGTTGAAAAGACAAGTGATCGCGATTATGAAATTGAAGAACGGTGCGCTTAATCCTGGTTGCTGCTGGCGGTGCCGCTGCTGCTGCTGCTGCTGCTGCCGCCGACACCGATACTGCAGATCTTGCGGACATGTCGAGGCTGATTGAATCGATGCAGACGATACCGGACTATGGAGGCTGCGGCCAATCGACTACAGAAAGAGGCAAAGGGATACCTGGATTCGCTACGAGGTAGGTATTTGGTTAAGTTGGTTTGAACACAGGCCGAGTTGACAGTTTTTTCTACAGCTATGACGGCGTCACAGATGCGCATTGCCGAGACGATTGATGCTTTTTACGGTGATGCGGGCACTAAGGATGGCGTTAGCCGAAGCTATAAGCAAGCGGTAGAGGATTTGGATGCGGAAACGATCAAGGCTTTGGATGGTCCATACCGGTAGGACTACCCTGCCCTGCACAACAGAATTGGAATGGACCAGACGGACCAGACCACACGCCAGTGAGCATACAACTAAACTAACACAACTACAGGGCAACCGTCTTAGACCCCATCTCCCGTTTCTGCGCCTACTTCCCCGACGTAAACGAATGCATCAAAAAGCGCAACCACAAACTTCTCGACTACGACGCCATGCGCGCCAAAGTCAAGCGCCTCGTCGAGAAACCCGACAAGGACGCGACAAAACTTCCTCGCACAGAGCGCGAAGCCGAAATCGCAAAGCAAGCATACGAACAACTCAACGAGCAACTCTTCAACGAACTGCCCCAACTCATCGATCTGCGCGTGCCATATCTGGATCCCAGTTTCGAGGCCCTGGTCAAGATTCAGCTGCGCTTTTGCGCAGAGGCGTATTCGCGTATGGCGCAGGTTCAGCAGTATCTTGATGCTGAGACGAGAGATCAGTATGCGCGTGGTGATTTGGATAATCGTGTTGAGGAGGTGTTGCAGGAGATTCGCGATTTGAGTATTGCGGGGACAGTCTAGTGTGGGTGCGCGACTTGCAGATGGCATGGATGGCATGGCCTGGTCTGGCATTGGCTGGGCTTATTTTCTTTTCTTCTTTTTCATTATTTCTAATTCTTCGCGCTGATTCCTCTGCTGTTTCGTTTCTGCATTCATGAAGACTACATGACTTTGTTTCTGGTTTCTTGGTTCATATCCCACAGCTTGTACACGATCGGGACTTGGCTCTTTCTCTCTGCCACGCTCAAAAGGAGTTCATTCATTCAGATGGGGTATCAATCAATCAACGAGCCTATCGTACAGCAATCACCATCACCCAGTCTAAAGTGGTAGTGGTGTCAAGCCTGAATCTATAATATGCCAATATACAATCCTACTACCAGTACCATACCACGCCCACTTCCTAAAAAGAAGCAATAGCATAGCTTGTAGTAGCATCTTCTCCTCTAGCCATCCATCTCACCCCTCAAAAACAGTCTCCTCCTCCAAAACACCAACAACATGCCCAGCCGCCTTCTTAACAGCCTCCATCTCCCTACCATCCATCTCCGTCAAAACATAATCCGCAACAGCATTCTTCCCCCGACTCTCCGGCCTCCCAATACCGACGCCAACCCTCAGAATCGACAAATCTCGCCGAGCACCACCTTTCCCCTTCCCGTTGCTGCCACCAGCAACCCCACTCTTAGAAGGATATAACCCCTTCCCCCTCAAACTCTCACAAACACTAATCAACCCCCGATGACCCCGTAGACTCGACGCCTCAGGTCCGCCGCGCTTCACGCGGATTTTGCCGAGTGGTTGTTCGAGTTCGTCGTGGAGGATTACCAGTGTAGCGGGCATGCCTCCACCAACGCCAGCAGAAGTAGGAGTGGTAGTATCTCCACCCAAAGGCAAAGCAACCCCAGACGAAGAAATCCACTGCGAACCCTGGCCTTGGCTTTTGCCCTGGTCAATTTTCTCAAACCACCTCTGCAACTGACGAACGAGTTTTGGACCAGATTCGTTCATGAATGACGGGCTGTACCATGTTGTGTATGAGGTGAAGGGGAGAGGAGCGGGCGTGGTGTTTAGGAGGGGTGTTAGGGCGTCGAGGAGGATGTGGCCTGCGCTATGGCGGGTTGTGCGGTAGGGTTTTTGGTTGCCTATTGAGGCTATGAAGAGGGCTCGGCGGGGGTTGGCCATGGTAATTGTAATGGGTACGGTTGTGATTGTGGTTGCGGTTTTGTCTGTTGGTGTGTTGGGGCTGGTGTGTGGCTCTGCTTCTGGTTTCTGTGGTTGTGGCAGAGATTGCGCTGGCGCTGGCGGTTGCGCTTCGGGGTGGGTTTTCGTTGGCGGTTGTTCTTTGGTCATTAATGAGCCTAGTGGTGGGTTGTAGTTTCTGGAATGGTCGCAGGCGCAGGCTTCGGCGCAATGTATGTTGATGTCAAGTGAATGTGAATGTTAATGCAAGGGAAATAATGCATCGGAGTCGGAGTTTGGATCAGGAACGGGAGATCGCCTCGTGACGGCCACTCGGAGTTACCGTTCATCATTGCCTATTTGGGATCGGGAACCGTTGTGTCGGGTCGGGATTAGTCATGCATTCAGGAGTGAACAGTTCAGAGTAGAGTATAGGGATGATAGAGTATAAGGGGTAGTAGTGGATATACTATAGAGAGTATATATGTGGTGTATTCCTCGGGATTGGTTTTAGTCTAAGAATATATAGTATGTACGGAGTACTCCGTACACTAGCATGGCATGACAGCCCGGTAGAGTGGGTAGATCCCGAAATGAATAATGCCTGCCATCGAACAAAGTACGTCCGGTCCCGGGCTGCTGGATGGTGGATGCCAGTGCGCTGTATGGGTTTGTGTATTAGTAGTACATACTCTGTAGTACTATCTGGTATATGCATGTTACTAGTACTAGTATACTTAGGCATACATGTAGCAGGGGAGTAATAGTCTATACACTGCCAGTTCATGGATAGTACTACTCCCTACTATAGTTTAATCTTCTACAAGGATACTATTACTAGTAGTATTATACTCTAGCACCTATCCTCCTATAACTAACACTATACTTTACTACTCCGTACTAGATACTATACTCTTGTACACGCCCCACCTGCCCAAGCTCTCGGACCCTCAGCCATGTCAACCCCCTGCTCCACCCCGGTTCTCCCATCCTGCCGGGTTCAACTTATATTCTCTATCATCCTGACTGTCGGGTTTCTTGCTTTTTTACTAACTAAGGTATTCCATCTTTTGCCTCTCGCTTCCTTGTTTGCCTCCGAGTCTCTGCTTTTTCCTATTTGATCTATCCTGCCAGTGCCACTTCCTTAGGGTTTACTTCGCCAGACCTGTTCTTCTCCCTCCCTCGGGTCCCACTCTTTTCCCGTCAAAAACTTTGCTTGCGCTCGGTTGCTTCATCTCACCTGAGCTGATCGGCTCCTTTTTCTCCTCATTTCTCCTCAATTGACCCGCCGCTCTCCCATACCCACTCTAAAACCTGCCATTTCAAAAGCCCAAAAAAAGCCCTGAGACCCGCGTAACCTGGTCTAGTCTAGTCTATCATCTACTAATCTCACCCTACCCGTTCAAGTTCAAGTTCTCGTTTACACTTATTTCTCTCCCACGTGTAACGAAGCGCCATCCCCTCCGAGTCCTCTCAAGCTCCGAGTTATTTTTCAACTTTTTGATTCGATTCTGGTCCTTGCGACTACTACCACTGCGACTGTGACTACTCCCACACATCGTCATGTCATGGAAGACACATATATCCAGCCAGCGGACCCCCGCGACTGCTCCGGACCAGAGGAAAGCTCCGACGGCGAAGCTTCAATGTGAGATAACCCCGCGCATACCATTATATCAACGAAGCCCGGGTGTAGAAACAAAAAAAGAAAAAACACCCCACTAACCCTGGAATTTATCACTCTACAGAAAATCCACCCGCTCCTGCTCCTCCTGTAACATGCTCGAACCCGTCCACGAAAATGGCCGCCGCTACTGCGACTCAACCTACTTCATGCCAAACGACGAAACAGAACTAACAAGACTAAACATCCTACATCAAATCTACCTAATCCTACTAGACGGACACCTAACAACCGCACCCTTCCGGAGCAATCCGCAATCATCGCCGCGAATTTTAGACATCGGCACCGGGCCAGGAGACTGGGCGATCGAAATGAGTGCTGAATTTCCCAATGCGGAAATTATCGCGTCGGATATTGGGATCTTTGATTCGGGATTGGGACAGCTTGAGCTGCCGAATGTGGACTTTCAACTTGCAGATGCGCAGTCTGAGTGGACGTACCATGAACCGTTTGATTTGGTGCATATGCGTGGTCTTTCGGGGGCTTTTGCGGATTGGGGTCGCATTTATCAGCAGGCTTTTGCGCATTTGAAGCCGGGGGGTTTTATTGAGGTTGCGGATGCGGATCCGGCGGGTGATACTATTTGTTTCTGTCGGGAGTCTGGCAATGGGGATGAGGTTGAGGTTGAGGTTGAGGGTATGCGGGATCTAGATTTGGACTCGGATGAGGACGACGACGACGACGACGATTCGGACTCAGAACCAGAACCAGAACCAGAACACGAGTCAAAGTCAGAATCACAGCCAACCCCAACCCCAACCCAAACAAACCTCCAAAAATACACCACCGCCCTCCGAACCGCCGCAAAAGAAGCAGGATACCCCCGAGACCTAGAACACCTCCGCAAAACAGCCCTCACAGCAGCGGGATTCGTCGACATCAAGGTCATAGAAAGAAATATCCCAATCGGTCTATGGCCAGCCGACATCGGCGAGAAAACGCTCGGCAAAATGACCCTAATCGCGCTGTTGGAAGGTCTGGAAGCGTACGCTTTACGACCGCTGACGGGGTCTGGGAAATGGAGTCTGGATGAGGCGCGGGCGCTTTGTGAATTGGTTAAGGAGGAGGTTCTTGCTGCTGAGGGGTTGAGGGTTAAAGTTAGAGTTGTGACGGGGAGGAAACCTGTTTCGTTTGCGCAGAAGAGGAAGGATGTTCTTGCGAGGGCTAGGGCCAGGGCGAGGTTTTTTAGGGAGAAGGGGACTGTGCCCGGGGATGGGGATGGGGATGGGGAGGGTGTCGATTGGGATTTTGGGGAGAAGGATCATCATGATCCATCGTGATTTGTGAGGTGAGGTGAAGTGTGGTGAGCTGGAGAACAGACATGGGTGGTGTTTTTGGCTTCATTTTTTGGTTCTTGTCTTGTATTATATGCATGCAGCTGGGTGCTTTGCCTGGCTGTCGAGCGTTTTGAAAAGCTGATATCCCATTTCTTTTATTTAATGCATTTGCACTGTGCATATTGAAGTTCATATTCCTACTAGATTGCTAACAGCGGGGAAAGAAGTTCAATACTTCTCTCCAGGCATTGCTGTTGGTAGTTGTAACTCGGATGGATAAGATATTCTCTACGGCAAGGCTCGAACTTGTAGACATGTCTATATTCATCAATAGGTAAGTACTAGTAATATGTGGATCCGATAATACATGTAACAGCTTTTAAGACTCCCAACCCCATGCAAGCAAAATGAAAAGAGAAAGAGAAAAACTAAAGCTGGAACTTGGTCCTCGACTTCTCCATTCCTCCCTTCCACTCCCACTCTTGGCCACTCGCCCGCTGAATCCCCTTATCAACACGGCGCAACTTCAACGTAAACCGCGGGCCCAGCTCTTGCAAACCCGTGCGAATCCCCTCCGCACCCTCCATCTCCTTGCCATTCGCATCAACAACCGCCTTCTCTGTATCCCGCTTCTCACGGAAGACATAACGATGCCGACGAACAAAGATGTAATCACGCTGATTGTGCAGCGTAACAACTTGCCGTCCCTCAAACTCCGGCTGCGGCGGGAACAGCTTCTTGAATAGATGCGCCGTGAGCATACCCAGCGGCGTACGGAAGTTGTTCAAAATGAGCTCGGGCCAGTGGTCCGTCGCCCGTCCGTGTCCCGGTAGCCTCTTGCCCTCAATCCAGTTGCTGATTGTGAAGTGGAAAGTCGGGCCGACGGGAAGGTGCACCATGGTCAAGCCACTGGGCTTCTTCTGGTCCTCGTTCAGCACGAGCAGGGTAGTGAAGTTTCGGTTCGAGGCGAACTTGGAGATCTCGCGGATAGAAAACTTATGCGAGTGTCGGTGCTCCGCACGGCGGATGTACACACTGTTCGGGAACAGGTCTGTCAAGATATCGGCCTGGTCGTGAAGTGTTGAGTGCAGACCGGTTGTGATGAGCACCTTGGGTGGCTTGTCCGACTCTGGCGAGAAGAGCGAGGGGAACTTTTCAGCCAGGGCTTCGGGCGCCAGGCTCAGGTTTGTACTGCGAGTTGATTGTGAAGGGCTGGTGGCTCGTTCCGTGGCTGTAGGGAGGGAGGAGTTTTTGCGTCCACGGCCGGAGTCTTCGTCTTCGTCGTCTTTTTCCTCGTCCTCTTCGTCGCTGGACGCCATCATACTGTCAATTGACTCGTTGTCGGATTCTGCTTCGTCACTATCGTCCTCGCCTTCTTCTAAGGGCCGGTTGAGCTCGTCGTCTTCTTCCTTCTTAGCCCTCTTGATGCGCTCCACGTCGACACTCCAGCCGAGTCCAGTTTCCTCGGTATCATTGTCGGGCTCGTCCCAGACTCGCTTTCGGTCAAGTGTCAAAGGAATATTGCGACGTAGACGTTCGTCCTTCAACTTGGGGTTCTTGGCTTCTTCCTTCTTGAATCCGTATCGGCGCTTGAGACCTTGCTCTGTCTTCTCTCTCTTCCGCTTGATGTGAAGGAATTTGCGACGCAATTTGTTGGCAGGCTTTTGATCATCTGTAGCCCCTGGTGGGGGTCTTCCCATGCCTTTGACACCCATTGTGGTGATTGCAATTGTAAATCGCAGAATGTAAATCGCAAAAGTGAGGTTCACTGCTGAGCGCGCGGCGAGAAATAAAAAAAATGGCGGAGCAACGTTAATCCGGATCGCAAGGCCAGTGTTGATCACCCGTGCGTTTTCAAGGGGAAATCTCGAGGTTGAAAAGGCGGAAGAACTATTTAAAAGCCTAAAACCAATCGGTCCACGTCCGTTTCATCTCTTGTATTAACCATTGACCCCTAGCTGCGTGCTGGTTTGTCGTGGTGTATGCGCCGGGGCTGATGAGTCAATTCCTCCCACGAATTCTCCCCCGCTCTCGTTCCCTTCAAGTTCTCACTCCCCCACTACCTTCAAGTTCCTCCTTCAGGCAATTCACCTGCTCGTCCGCCCTCCAGAAGAAAGCGAAAGCCCACCGGAACCCCAAGATGGCCACCGTCAGCACCAAGACCGGCCAGGAGGTCGACCGCCTCACCCTCGACTCCATGCTCCGTCGTCGCATGTTCTACACTCCCTCCTTCGAAATTTATGGTGGTGTCTCTGGTCTCTATGACTATGGCCCTCCCGGAACCGCCTTGATCGCCAACATGACCGACGTGTGGCGCAAGCACTTCGTGCTCGAGGAGGATATGCTCGAGGTCGATTGCACCATGCTCACCCCGCATGAGATTCTCAAGACCAGTGGCCATGTCGACAAGTTCGCCGATTGGATGTGCAAGGACCCCAAGACTGGCGAGATCTTCCGTGCCGATCACTTGGTGGAGGAGGTGCTGGAGAACCGCCTGAAGGGTGACAAGGAGGCCCGTGGCCATAAGGTCGAGGTCGACGCTGAGAAGGAGGCTAAGAAGAAGAAGAAGTCCAAGGCTGCCCAGGCTGTCAAGCTGGACGATGCTCTCGTCAAGGAGTACGAGGAGACTCTGGCTCAGATTGATAACTTCGATGGTCCTGATCTGGAGAACATTATTAAGAAGTACAACATTCGCAACCCCGCTACCGATGGCGAGGTCCAGCCCCCCGTCGCCTTCAACCTCATGTTCCAGACCTCTATCGGTCCCAGCAGCAACATGCCCGGCTACCTTCGTCCTGAGACTGCCCAGGGTCAGTTCCTGAACTTCCAGAAGCTGCTCGAATACAACCAGCAGGCTATGCCCTTCGCCTCGGCCTCGATTGGAAAGTCCTTCCGTAACGAGATCTCTCCCCGCGCTGGTCTGCTGCGTGTGCGTGAGTTCCTCATGGCTGAGATTGAGCACTACGTCGACCCTGAGGGTGGTAAGAAGCACCCCCGCTTCGTCGAGGTCAAGGACGTTGAGATGTCCCTGCTGGACCGCAACGTCCAGTTGTCTGGTAGCACCAAGACCACCACGATGACCATCGGCCAGGCCGTCGAGACCGGCCTCGTCGACAACGAGACTCTGGGTTACTTCCTGGCCCGTATCCAGCTTTTCCTGACCAAGATTGGTGTTGACCTGACCAAGCTGCGTTTCCGTCAGCACATGGCCAACGAGATGGCTCACTACGCCGCTGACTGCTGGGACGCTGAGCTTCAGACCAGCTACGGCTGGATTGAGTGTGTCGGCTGTGCTGACCGCAGCGCCTACGATTTGACTGTGCACAAGAACAAGACCGGTGCCCCGCTTGTGGTGCGCGAGACTCGCCCCGAACCCCTCCGCATTGAGGAGTACCAGATCGACCTTGAGAAGAAGAAGTTCGGTCCCCGCTTCAAGAAGGATGCCAAGACTGTCGAGAATGCTGTCGAGGCTCTGTCCCAGGACCTGCGCGAGAAGCTGTCTCTGGATCTGGAGAAGGAGGGCAAGATCGAGATCGATGTCGAGGGCGTTGGCTCCGGCAAGGTCGAGCTCGATAAGGAGTTGATCAAGATTGAGAAGCGTACCCGCGTTGAGAATGTCCGCGAGTACACTCCCAATGTTATCGAGCCCTCTTTCGGTATTGGCCGTATCATGTACAGCATGATCGAGCACGTCTACTGGTCCCGTGCTGGTGACGAGGCACGTGGTGTATGTTTCCCTTTCTCTCTCATATCCTCACTTCCTTTGTTTATCTGATTCTAACTATCTACTAGGTCCTTTCCTTCCCTCCCGCTATCGCCCCCACCAAGGTCCTACTGGTCCCCCTCTCGACCAACCCCGCCTTCAAGCCTCTGACCCTGAGCCTGACCACCAAGCTGCGCCGTCTCGGTGTCTCCACCCGCGTGGATGACTCTTCCGCCAGCATTGGCAAGCGTTACGCTCGTAACGATGAGTTGGGTACCCCCTTCGGTATCACCGTTGACTTCCAGTCTGTCAAGGACAATACCTTTACCCTGCGCGACCGTGACTCCACCAAGCAGGTCCGTGCCAGCGAGGACGATATCCTCCAGGCCATCAAGTCTCTCACTGATGGCGAGGAGTCCTGGGATGATATTGCCAAGCGTCTTCCTGAGTTCACTGGTCAGGAGGTTGAGTAGATTTATGAGTGGCATGGCGATGGAGAGAGTGAGCAGTGATGGGCATAGTCTTGTTGGGAATTTCTCATAGACTATTTGCGACTGTCTATTCAAAATAAAATATACACCCTTTTTTTTTCTGTTCAATGTTTCCCTTGGCCCTATGAACTTCATCGTTTGCGCCTGTTGTAGTACATTGCTGGACCTGTGGATTACTACTAGATCCGGTTGGTTTTCCTCTGTAACTATCTGCTAGAATAACCAACAGTCCTGATATGGTATTTGACTTAGGATTAAGCAATTACTTTACTGCCTTATTAGCAAGCTCTGGCTAAAAGAAAGATGTTTATTTGCCGGCAATAATTATCTTGTTGTCTAAATTTTGTATAAGTATAGTTTAGTACCAAAGTAGGCTAGCCCTTTGAATTTATCTGGTTGTCGGTAGTAATATTTGAAGAGCTCTGCACGCTTGAAGATTCTAGAAGTAGTTCTCGCTCCTCCAAAGCATCGGCACTGTGTACCTTTTCCGACGAGGGGCCAGAAAGCCAGAGTCCTGTAATCGCTGCAACTGCAGTCGTGACTCCCAGCACTAAAGTTGTAGCTCCCCAGCCATATTGGTGGTTAATAAGACCTCCAAGCATTGGTCCTAACGTAAATCCCAAAGTTTGGGCCATATGCTGAAGACTGCAAGCTCGACCAATAGCACCGCTTTCGCCAAATGCTCCTGGCGTCGAGGCTTCCAGTTCAAAGATTGCATTTTGCATTTCGGCCATCACGGCAGGGCAGACCGCGTTGAGAGAAATACCGACCAAAAGCAGCAAGATTATAAAGATAGCTTGATGCTCTGCGTATTGGATTTCACAAGGCGCAGACAGGCTAAGCATGGAGCTGCCAAGCCAAATCCAAGAAATACATTCATTCGTGCGCCAAATCGATCGGAAAGATAGCCTTGTCAGAGTACACAACTGTTAGTTCTGAATAATCGATACACGGAATGACTGGGAAAAAATTCCTGAAAAGGTACTCCAAGCAGGTTTTTGACAACTCAACCGAGCCTATTTCTGCCGGACTGTTTCCCATTCAGAAGATATTCGCGTCTGGATCAGGTCGCTCCGATCTCTACATTGATGACCCTACTTTTAATCTTTGTCTGGATCCCGAGAAGACCATTATTGATCCGTTCGATGTTATTGGGACAACATATGGGCTATTAATGGGTGAACACATGAGGCGTCTATGTCTTCAAGAAGGATTTAGGTAGATTTGAATTGGTACATTTTGTGTCGAACATTGCCTGTCATCTTATTCCGGTTTTCAATGCTTACATACATTCGTCATATACCATCTGGTGCAAGTGCTGAGTGAAATAAATTGGCCTCTTTCTTGAATCCCTCAAAAGATTTACTATATGTGTCTCATTCAGTTCAAAAAAAGCTCGTTTCTCAAACTCTCAACTTAGTGCAATATTCATGTCATGTCATAAACATCGAAGTCCATGTGTTATTGACGAGTACGATGACGTCTGCTCAATAAGTTACCCGCAATACGACATCCTTGGAACTTGCCATGTTTCGAGCTGTACTTGAATCTTTCGTGTTCGTTGATTCCAGTTTTTTGAAACGCATTACACCGCATCGTGTATGTACTCGTTGCCAAAACACATATTCTTGTGACTGATATTATGCAGAACTCGCAGATGTTCCTGCGCAGTATGATGCAGTTCGTGTAACACGGTCCTGCAGCCGTGCAGCTCATTGAAAAATTTTTCTTTCAAAATGAAATTCTATTGGTTATTTCTCACAAACTTTACGTAAAGTATTTGGTTAAGCTGCTTCGCAATATCCTTTCAATCTTGTTTCTCAGCGCATTGAGCTGAGCTGCAAGATCAGTTGACATGGGCCCGGCTGGATGCATCGATTTGAGCATATTTCTGATTCCTCCTGCAGTTCACTCACCTCGTTCCAGCTTGCATGAATCAGCTACGTGTCCTTGAAACTACTAGTTTATTATAAACCGGTAGTGGCCAGATGTCGTTTCTAGCGTAACTTCCTAGGTTCAATTGCAGTCGTCTGTCTGAATGATGGGTAGACTCAATTCGGCAGCAGGCCTCCTGGGTCACTGAAAAGGGGGTGTCCAAATCTATCTACATAATTGTTTATCGTTGTGGATTTCCTTCCTCGTTGCACAATAGCTTTCTATCTTAATTTCACATATAGTGGATTGCTCTGGCCAAGTAGGCCCCGCCCTGGCTGGCTCTCCGGTGTCCGGTATCCTGATTGACTGATTCTCTCAACGTTAACAGAGTATCATTTTCGTGTCTTTCCTTGGTTCATGGACTTACTTCCTGATGTAATCCTAGACGGACTTGGACTGGAATTCGCAGAATTCGACAAGGTCAGCCATATACAATATACAATCTGATCATCAATATTTCTTTGAATGATTTCAGTGGTATTTTTAGTATAATGCAACCTTGGAATTACTATATAATATATCAAATTCCAAGGTTTATATAGTACTGTAAACACTGCCAGTGCTAAGCGTGCGGCCCGCAGTTTACCTCCGCGGTATTACCCAATCCGGCCGCGCCAAGAATCCGGGGCAACTCGCCAGCTTCCGCCTCGGTTTCAAACTGTCCTCTTCCTCTCAGCGAGAGATACAACCTAACCAACATGGCGCCCAACATCTACGCCGCGAAAATCACACTCTCGTGTCCTCTCTTCGCCGCCGATTTCGACCCGCGCGACAATGGTCGTCTGTTTGTCGGCGGCGGGGGCGGCGAAGGTCGCAGCGGCGTCGGGAACAAGATCGTAAGTGGCGCGTTCTAGCTGAGCCTTGGCTATTCAATATTCTGACTCCAAGTCTTTGATATAGTCCCTCCTTGACACGTCGCGTCGATATGAGATCACCGAAGCCGTCGAACTAAACTTGTCGCGCGACGAAGACTCCGTGACGTCGCTGGCTGCGGCGCCGCAGAATGACGATGACGACCACTCCCTTATTGCCCTGGCTGGTATCAACAGCTCCCTCGCAGAGCAGAAGAAGAATAACAACCAGCATATGCGTGCATTCCGGTTCAAGGCACCACGGAAGGTACAGACAGACCAGGCCGTGACCAGCGCGGGCGCGGGCGGCCAGCAAACGATCGAGGGTAGCAAAGAGAAGGAGGAGAAGAAGAAGGTGGAAGTGATTCCTGGGTCATCAGAAGCAGTTTCTCGTGCGTCTATCTTCCGCACCAAGGGGCCTGGCTCAGATGATGCATACCAGCGTATCATGAGGCTGTCGCCGTGGAAGAAGCAGCCCGAGGGCGAGGACACAGACAAGAAGAGCAAAGACACCCGCATAGGAGCTATTGCAACTGGCATGGCCTCATCTGGCGAGATTGTTTTCTTCCGCGCGACTGGTTCTCCCAGCGAATCCGATGTGATTGGCCGTATTCGCCTTGGCTCCAACGAGGAAGCTGAGGATGTGGATTTCGCAGACCTCGAGCTTGACCCAGAGCAGAAGGATGCTCGGGGGAAATATCGCATGGCATACACCAACGGCGTGGACGTGATGGTTGGAGAGATCTCATCTTCCACCCGCTCCAACGCTGCCCCCAATGTCCGCAGTATCTACACAATTCCTCTGCCCAGCAGCGGTGCCAAAGCCATGCGGCCCAAGATCCGCTCATTACGCTTCATCTCGACAAACACAATCCTGCTCCTCCAAAATGCCCCCGACCGTGGCGGAAGCGAGCTGGTCCTCATCAGCGTCCCTAAAGACAAGAACCACATCTCAGCCGTCCTCCGCCGACGCAAACTGCCCCGAAGCGTGAAGATCGGCCTAGGCCTCGACGTCTGCCCACTCGGCACAAACCCAGTCGGCCAACAACAAACCATCGTCGCAGCCAGCGGAAGTGACAACTCAATCAACATCTGGACTCTAGAAAACGGCCCAAAGAGAGGATGGTCCCGATTCAGACCCTACACAACCCTCACCGAAGTCCACCCCTTCTCAATGACAAAACTCGTCTTCTCAACCTTCACCCCACCCGCACACCCCATAACGCCAGAAGTCCTCCCCCAAAGAGTCAAACTTGCCTCAATAAGCATGGGAAATACAGTCGTCGTTCACACACTACCCCTCTCCCCTTTCCCCCCATCCTCCAGAACAGCCCGCTACGTCCTCGTTCTCCCGGCCCCGCCGAATTCTGGGAACTCATGTATTTCACGACAATGTGTCTGATCTCTTTCCTCGCGATTATGACTGCTTTGTACGCCTACGCGGAGATTCGCGGCGGTGTTCCGCCTTTCCTTGGCTCGACGGAGTGGTTACCTGTATCATGGCAAAACTCCTTTGCAAACGAATACGTCCTCCCACCATTCGAGCAGCGCTCGTTTTTGGATAATTTCTTCATTTCTGATCCAAATGCCAATACAAAGGCGAAAACTCCCATCCCAACAGCACAAACCACACCTGAAGAAGAAACTCAACTCGAACACGAATTATCCAGTCTAAAAGATATCCTCGACCGAGTACACTCATCCGGCGCCGCACCAGCTGACATCGAATCTATCTCCTCGCACGAAGTCTCCGTCATCGTCCGCTGTACCGAGCACAATGATGCCGAGACGAGTATTCTCGTTGAAACGGCTTCATCCACGCATGCGGAGAAGGTTTCTAAGATGGAGGAGTTGCGCGCTTGGAAGGAATTGAGTGAGTCTGATCGGGATCTTTGGAAGAAGAAACTTACGGATGCGGGGAGGTGGACGGCGCATCAGGGGGAGAGTGTGTTGAAGGGTGTTTTGTTTGGGGAGGTTTGTGGTGGGGTTGGACGGGTTGCTAGGGATAGTTTATAGTTGAGCTAAAGTGGGTTGGATTGAGTTGTTAGGCCTTGGAAGGTTGATGTTTGATTTTTTTTTTTCTATATATGATTATGTATTTATTGATTTATTGAGGGCATACTACTGCAACTGCAGCAAAGAACTTGAAATAAATGAACAAGAAATTGGCTGAAATTAAGAATCTTGGAAGAACCTAAATCTTGGGAATTTCTCTAAGCTTTAGGATTTCTCCGAGGTAATCATGCACATCCAACTTGAAGCTTCCGCCCGCGATCCCGCGATCCCAGTGATACAAATGACCTAGGCCAACACAAGTAATGTATCAAAGAAATGTTAGAAAGTATAATCGAAATATACAAGGAATGTATCAAATTTAATTAATAATAATAGTAGGACTCAAAGAGGCCTATTGCAAACCATGGAAGATCAGAGAGCGCCATGCTTAGGGCAAGACATCCCTACTACATTCGAATATACTGTAGTCAAGTAACCAAATACTCTACCGATAATTTTTTTTCTGGGTATATATGTAAGGGAATATAAAATACTGCTTTACAAGAAAAGAAATGATGCCTCCGAATTTTTTTGGTTCGAAAAATAATCAAATTGGGGGTCTCCCCTCCGCGTGTGTTGAACCGACAACTTAGAGCGGCTCGTACTTTTTTTTGCGGCACTCTGAGCAGAGATCCGTATGTATTATGTTTTAGCCAAGCAATAAAATACATAGATTAAAATATAATCATGCCACGATCAAGAAGAAAAACCCCCTACAAAAGTCAATATAAGAATTCCGTTAAAAATGAGTTTGACACAATTCGGGAGGGTGAAAATCAGCCTCCCCGGACTTCCAGGCCAAGACGGAAAAAGAGCGCAAGACTAGAATACTGCAAAAAATGAGTTTGAGATACTCTGCTGGAGAATCAACCTCCCAGGCCAAGAAAAAATTAAGACAGAAGAAGAATACGGCAAAAAATGAGTGTTGAGACACTCCGCGGGGGGGTCGAACCCCCAACCTTCCGATGCTCTTGATCTTGGCCGAGGCCTTGAATTAAAAGTCGGACGCTCTAGCCTAGAGGGGCGGAAAGGAGGCGAAGGATGAGCCCAAGAACAGCGAAAGGGAGATGGGAGAGATAATTACCAATTGAGCTAGCGGAGTTGCATTCCACTCGGCCACAAGGCCTTGGTTGGAGAATGGCTGGCAGAACGGAACCATATCCCAAGAAAATTTATGCTGTTCTCGCTTTGCTCAGCCACTCATGGCCCTTGGGAGCTCTCTCCGCCTGCGGGAACGCTAATTTTTTGTTGTTCTGCTACCCGTTCAAAATTCCATCTACTTATCCGACTTCCCTTCCCGTCTTTGGCTTCTACATCTATATTAATTTTTTGGCGGGCAAAACTTCTCAACAAATCTAACTTGCAGGCCAATTCCATGCCTGTAGCTTATTATCTTATACGTTCAATAATCAGAGCGTATGGACTCGTACTTGTGTAGTAGAATACTCAATCTGTGGACATGCGCGCCCCGAACATCTTAGTCTTACTTTCTAACTTTCATTAAGGTATACTATACCAATTGGCTAATTTATTTTGATATGATCTTAGTCTTGTGTATTCTTCACGGGTTCTGAGCAGGTAGAGTAAGGTTTTGATGCCGTGAGGCTGGTTCAACTTGTAAAGTTGCTAGCCCTTCTGAGTTTCAAATTATATATATATGTAATACTTGTATTAACTGGCAGTATACTAGTATACATCTTTGAACCTAAACACAGTCCTGTGCAACCTGGTAGTACTAGTGATTGAACATACCCGTGGCAGATAATTATTCCTGCATATGCATCCAGGCTGAGGTCGTATCTCTTGCAAATCTCAAATCTGGCGTATGTAGTACTGGATTCTTGAGCCTGAAGATCCTGGCCATCCCCACCCCGAGCCCTGGAGATTAATCTGGGTATTTTGAGTCACTCATTTCTAAGCTATTTATCTTGATATCTAATTTTGTACTATCCTGCACTAGGTATGGGTATTTCCAGGAGCCCTTTCTGTGACCGCTCTTTTGATAATCTCAAGGTTGTCCCGAGTTCTATTTGAGTATTGGCAATAGTGAGGTCATACCTACTACCCTCTGACAACCCTCCTAGCAGAAGAATATCAGTACTAGTATTGCCTCTGATAGCTCTGATAACTCCTATCATTCTCTTAATCCAAAAACCAAGACTCTCATATCCTTCAACTTTATTCGACCCAATCACACAAGCGCCCACGCCTCAGAAGCACCTTTATCCAATACCCTCCGAATCAACATGACAGAAGAACAAGAATTCAAATCGACAAGGCAACCGACAGCCAAACCATTCGCAAAATCCTAGAAGCAGAATCAAAAAGCTACTTCGAAGACCTCGAAGAACAAGATATCTTCACTTTCAAATACTGCAACGGAAAAGCAACAGAGACCCAACAGGGCACACTCAAAGACACAGCCGAAGAAGTCTGGAACTCACTAAGACTACTCTGCGAGACGAATATCGAGGACCTTGACGTCCCTTATTTGGATACCAAGGAAAAACAGGAGATGCTGAAAACGGCTATGCGGGAAAGAGAGATCAATGTGGAATCTTTGGTGGGGTTTATTAGACTTGCTTGGCCGAAATATCTTGATTATAAGAAGAAATTTGAGAGGCAGGTTCAGCGGAAGGAGAGAAAGCGTCAGGAGCGTTTGAAGGAGGGAGAGAAGGAAAAGACTGCTTCGACTGCCTCGACTACTCAGGCTCTCGCGGTTTAGGATGGCCAGAGGGCGATTTGTGGGGAAGATGTAGGCGTGCTTAATCTATGTACTATGTCTAGTAAAGTCTTCTGCCAATTTTTCAGATCGACAACCTCAGATTGTGGCTTTCGATTTCTCTACTTGAAAGTCTTTGACATGCTTGTTCACAAACCTACTAGCATAACATTAGAGAAGAAAGTAATGTTTCGACTCACTAATGTGGAATAATATACCGCGTTTTTTATTATATTCTCCACATAGCCAAACAACTTGAAATATATGAATATAAACCGCGATCAAACACGACCGCCACGCACCTCGGAGGGCGCGCGGCCAAATTCCCTGCCTCCGCATACAGCACCTCCACCACCACCCCTTGTATCCGAGTCGCTTTGCGACCACTAGTACTGATTTTCCCCAGTCCTGATTACACAATTACCTCAAGGCATTTTGTAAGTCATACAAGGATGCTTAACTTGTGGCGTCTATGTAATGAGCCTACTCCGAGAGATTATTTACTTGAATGTAGCAGAACTCGCCTACGCCAGTGCCTAAATGTATAAGAAGATATGGATAGAGAAGCGAACGGTATCGATTGATTCTTAAAGGTACATTAGAAGAGGATACGCTAATTGCGGCCTGGTTTCCTGGGAAATGGAAAATCGGGAGGGGAGGTCACTGTAGACACATCCGAACTGGTAGGCATCCGTGCTGTCGAGAACATCGTGCCGCGCAGTAGCATTTCAGAGACTGGTGAAAACTGCTGGAAATAGAGAGATAGATGAAAGGTTGTTTGAGATTGTGTGGGTTGAGGTTAGGCCTCTGCTACACAGAGGCCCGTCGGAGGCCCGTCGGAAGCGGACAAAAGCAGCAGGAAATAGAGCGAAATGCCAACGATCAGTTGAGATTGTATGGGTTGACTTCTGGTAGATCCTGATTGGCATAGCTCTCGGAGTTGACAGGGGCGGTGGAATTCAACGAGCGGGTATCAGAAAAATCTCAAACGGAGTTTTCGAAGTCTTCAAGAAGCCTTTTCAAGTCTTTCGCACGCTCATAAATGGGTCGATGCAACTCAAAAACCACTTCATAGGCGGAAGGAATTCTCACCAAAAGTTTTCTCACGTCAATTCCTTCATTCTCGAAGTTTGTACACATATCGGTCAAGTTCGACTGACCAATATGGGGAATCTTGTCCACAGGATTGAGATATTGGTCCTTTTTGCCACAGCCATCTGGCTTTTGGCATGTTCTGCGAGGGATACAATATCGGGCAGGTTTACCCCTGGTGAAACGAGGAGTTGTATCCTCTTGGATGTGTCCGCATCCTTTGCACTTGACCTTGACAATGGGAGCAAGACCCTCGAGCTCTTCCGCTCCAGAACGGTAGAATACCTCATTGCGAGGCTTTCTGCCTCGGAAGTCTGGAGGGTTCTCTAAGTCTTTCTTCACGGCCCTTATACTGGGCTGGGTATCGTCCAACGGGGCAAGCTGAACCCTTCCTCGGCAGTGCGGAAGGCCACAGCCTCGACCCTCAAGTGTTCTGACGACATAATGTTTAGGAGACTTCCGAGCAAATTGCGGGAAGGCATCATCAAGGACAACAGAGTGACAGACAGAGTATTTGCGCTCCATTATCTGGCCGCATAGACCGGGTTGTATCAGGGCATCGACAGCGCCAGAGCGCCTCTGACTGTAAACATGACCGACCTTGACCTCCTCAGAGCTTCTAAGACCGCAAACTCGATGAACATATAGCGCTCCAACTGCCAGGGCCAAGTCTCCTAGGGCGCAATAGTCATAGGAACCAAAAGGGAGATTTTCTTCCCACCCATGCAGAAGCCGAAAGGCCTTCTCCAAGCCATCTCGATCTTTGATGGGTGATCTGGCTATCTTTAAGCCACCTTGGGCTTGAAGCCAGGTCATCACTTCCGGAGCGGGCTCGTCCCATTCAGCGGATGTGGTTTCGTCCAGCCACTCCACGCCATCACTCTCGGCCGAGGAATTGGCCGAGGTCGCCTCTTGAGCGTTTTTCAAGATCAAGGTCCAGCTTTCGATCAGCTGGCGCACTCTCGCCGAGTGATCGTACTGGCTGACCTGTGATGCCGGTTGTTAGTGACAAGCCATAGGGGAATAATCTATTCAGTCCTCTTGCCTGATCAGTTTCATCAAAGTGAGACGCGTCTGTAGCCTCCTTTTTCTCTAAGCACTTTGCCATCATAGTCCTATGAGCCTCCTCAAAATACTGGCTTTGTGTGGGTTTCGCTCGAGCACGTTTCTTCTCAGCAGCTTGCATTTCCACCAGAGGGTCTTCCAGAATGCCCTGAAGGTACTTTCGAAACTGCTTTTTTTCTTCCACTTTCTCCTTAGTACGCTTACCCTGCTCAGGAAAAGCCTCTTCTAGCTGCTTTCGGGCCTGACGAGAAAGCGATCTGGCCAGTTGATGTTGGGCCCTAGAGATACGAGGATAGACCCCTTCAGGATAATGACCGGCAGCATGTGAGCATTCCTAAAAGCGCTCTGGGATGGTTAAACCAACGATCTTGGCTGCAACTTCTAGAGAGCGATCTTGTTCAACCGTCCAGTTCTTTGCAACCCAAGGTCTGTGACAGAAGAACTGTGGATGCCGCAGCTTTATGACGAGGCGTTTGACCTTGTTATCGTTCATCTCAAGGTACAGCTGCACCTTGTCATAACGACCCCACAGGGGGAAGCGAACCAACCGGTAATTTCTTTCCATGACTCTCCAGACCTCGACTCCCCAGCAAAGCTCGATAACAGCCGCCATGTTGTCGCGCAGTACCTTGACAAAGTCTTCATGGGGCTTCCGGACCTCTTCTGTCCAGAAGTCAAGAAGGTTTTGCGAGGTATCGCGGCGAAAGATACAGTCAAACACGAGAGAATTCACAGAAGAAAACCCACATTGGTGCATCAGGTGAATCGTGGGGCTAGCCGGGTTGTCCATTACCTGGAGGTACGGATCGGGGACAAAGAAGGTCGGGTTTAACAACTGACAAGCAAGGTCTGAACCTAGTGATCCACTTGGAAGAACGAGAAATTCAGCGGATCGGTCCACTCCCAGTCTCGCCCAAGCATCGACTTCTTCTTGCTCGAATTCTTTGAAAGCCTCGTCAAGATTCCAAGTCTGCGGGTAACCTGGTGACTGTGGTAAGCGATGGTTCCTTCGGAGAAGCTTCAAGGATCTAGATGGACTTACTGCTTTTGGACTGCCATGCGGACTCAAGCTCGCGGATCAGTGGCATGTAGGTCTTGAAGACCACATCTTCCTTCAGAGGAGGGTCCTCAAGGTCAAGACCACCGAAGAAGTGAAACAGGGACGCGTTCCCGGTTGACAGCGACATCTTGCCAGACGAGGGCGAGGGCAAGTGCGAGGGAGCAAGACTCTGGAATGCGGTGCTGGGAGCTTCCAGGAAATGGTCAGGACTGTCAAAACCTGATAGTTTTAGTTGCAGGTCAGAGGAGGTCAGCGGGGGTTGGACAATAAAACTTACTACTCGCTCTGGCGAGATAGGCTGATATGGACCAAGGTACAAAGGTAGGGTTGGGATGCGAAGGTTAAGAAGAGCAGGGTCAAGATGATAAGGGTCAAGCAAGATGCGAAGGCTGGAGAAAGAATCGAGCCAAGTGTATCGCTTGGACAAGATGGAAACCGAATACGCGTGTAGTATTAGTGGTATTCGACAAAAGAGGGCGATGAGTATGGGTAAGGGTATGGGTATGGGAATGGGAGAAGGTGGTGGAGGAAGAAGAAGAGGAAAGACGAAAGACGAAAGAAGAAAGAGAAACAACGACAGTTTTATGCAGGTGGGTGCCTGGGAAGGAGCAGTGAATGAAGACCTCGAGGAAGGAGCGTTTGCTGTCTGATCCGATTCGGACTTGACGGGTATACACTGGTAGCTGCCTACTAGTAGGTGCTAGTATGGGACGACACATTAACTATACATCATCATGGTAGGCAATACTCGTAGTCAAACCGTGATCATATCATATTGAATTAAACTATAGTAGCCTACTAGTACTAGTACTAGACACAGGCATATAAAAACACAGAAGACTACCTAGAAATCGACTCAGAATCCCATACTTCAACTTCATCTTCAATTTTATAGACAATAGAAAAAAGCCCTCAATTCAACTGCTAGCTTTTGGTGCAACATATAGATTCATGGGATAGAATAGTATGGGATGATAGGTGCCATATAGTCAACGTAATCGTAAGAATCCATTGGACAAAAAAGCAAACAATGCAATAAAGACAAGAACACAACCAGGCATCGCAATGACGGAAGGAAAAGGAAAAGGAATAGGAACATGAAAATTACCATATATGGACGAGTCTTTGTGCATGTCTTGAGTCTGTGGGAACAATTTCCGAGTCCACTTCCCTTTTAAGTTCGAGGCATTGAGCCGACATCGAGTCTTCTCTCCATATCAACACCCGAGCTAGTCATGCCCACTTGCTAGACAGACTCCAGGGGTTGAAGAGAACTTGAACCCTGTATGTCGACACTGGTAAGTATAGTATAAATTTGGATGAGACTTGCATCCATCCGCTCCGCTCCGGTCCATAGGACTTGGACTCAAACTTTTGATGAAATCAACTTGCAATTTGAAGTTCGAAGTTGATTGATAAATTTGCATCGCACAGTCAACAAGCATTCAGCATTCAGCATTCAGTAGATAAGATTGATTGAAATTGAATTTTGATTCTGACATTGACATTGATATCGACTGGATTCTTTTGATTGGATTCGGGATAGGTAAGGTAAGGTAAAACCGTAACGTAAAACGGGACTTTGACTTTCAAATTCAAATTCATGTTCATGCTCATGATTATGGACCATAGCCCTTATGCAGGATTTGGATTCGGGCTCGGGTTCGGGATTCGTTCGTGAGGGGAAAGAGAAGAAAATAAAAATAAAATAGCATAAAGCAAAACACGAACAGACAGGACAGGACAGGCAGACAAGGCAAGATAAGGTGAAGCAGGCAAAGCAGACAGAGCGAAGCAAAGCAAGAAAGCAAAAATCTCTACCGGAGGCGCGTCAAATAAAAAAAACCCATATGTGTGCGTCGTTTGGGGCGGCCAGAATGTTCAGCTCCAATTTTGAATGGAATGGCGATGGCGATGACGATTGGAAAGAGGCTAAGTTCAAGTTCAGAGGATGGAAGAAGTGGGTGGTATGGTGTGGTATTTGGCTGAGGGAAACGGGGAAGAAGAAAAGAATCGCAGTCGCGGTAACGAGCACGACCACGATCCTGAAATCGGACGAATTAATTACTGGCCATTGGCCTTCTTCCACCTAAGAAGTTCAGCCAGACTGGCAAGGCTGCAACCAGTCTGCAAGAATTCGTGGGCGAGTAGTTCATCCGCAGTAGCACGGCTGCGAACATCAACACACAGACAAACGCTCAGGAAAGCCTTGAGCTCCTTGCTGAGTTTCTCCGGCTTCTTCAGACGAGGGGTTCCGTTTGTTGCGATTAGGTAGAGTGCCTTCAGAGGCTCTTCGTTCAGGTAAGGCGGTTCAGACTCGATCATCTCAATAGCCATGATACCCAGAGACCAGCAGTCGACCTTGGGGCCGTACTCCTTTTGCTTGACGACCTCTGGCGCCATCCAGTATGGTGTTCCGACCATTGTAGCGCGCTTGCTCTTGGATTCGGTGAGTTTAGCGCAGAATCCGAAGTCGGTGATTTTGACGTGGCCGACTCGGTCGAGGAGGACGTTGTCACTCTTGATGTCTCGGTGGATGATGTTCTGGCTGTGCAGGTGGGCCAGCCCCTTGCAAGTCTCAGAGCAGATGGTGGCGATTTGATGCTCGGAAATCACTTGGTTATTGTCGATTACGTCTGTCAATGCTCCACCTTCCATAAATTCCATCACTACCCAGAGCTCGTTGCTCGATTCTTGCAGGAATGAGTCTAGGAAGTTGACAATGTTGGCGTGTTGGCTGTCCTTCATGACGATGATCTCGTTCACGATCAGCTCCTTGCGCGGCTGGCTGCGTAGATCCATCTGCTTGATAGCGACTTGGCAGCGTGGGCCGTACTGTCTGTACAGCTCGTGAGCCACAGGTGATGGCGCATTCTCCTTAACCCGCGCCACGTAGACTGACCCGGAGGCACCCTGGCCAATCTTGCGCTGCTTGCTGTACGATTCGTTGGGGTTGTCCTTGGATACAACGGCTCGCAATCGATCCATCACTTCATTCTCTGTCATTGCCGACATGCGCACCTCCTTTTGTCGCGGCTCTGGCTTCTTAGAAAGAGCAGCCTCTGCTTGACGAACACCATCAGGAACGGCTTGTTTGTTAGAAGTCTGCTTGTTGGCAATGTTCAGCGGCTTCACGGCCTGGACTGGAGCGGGAAGACGAGTAGGAGGGGGCCCCTGAGCTTGCTGGCCCTTGCTACCACCGTTCTGAGGACGGTTGGCGGCCTGAGACCGAGGATCATTGGCGGGATAACGATTAGGCGAGCCCTGGTCTTCGCTGCGGGAGCCACCGGGTGTGCGGGGTGCACCTTGTCCATAGGGGCTCTGCGATGGAGGAGGAGGGGCGGGACGCTGTGCGGTGAGTTGGCGAGGATCTTGTCCTGGAGCTCGAGCACCAGCGCCAGGGGCCTGGGGGGGCAGGACGACTGGGCTGGTAGCGGCTGTTCATGGGGGAGGGCTCTCCACCATAACCTCCAAGCTCTTGCTTGGCCATTGGAGTCCGCGACTGGGGCAGGGAAGAGTTGTATGCTTCGTCATCCTTGCGGCGTTGTTCTTCCTCCACACGGCGACGCTCCTGGTCGGCCATCTCCTTCATACGCTCCAATTGTTGCTGCTGCTCCATAGCACGGTCTCCACCTTGTGATTGTCCAGGTGACGATGTGTTTGAGCGCATGGAGCTGTCCATTGAAGTTTTAGATTGACCGCTGTCGAGACGTTGCAGCGGGCCTGGTGGTGGAGGTCGAGGAGGAGCAATGGAACTGCCTACGTTGTTGCTGCCGAGGGGCTTAGGCTGTGAGCTAGTTGGTGCATTCATACCACCGTAGTACTGAGGGTTCTGTTCGCGCATCTTGATATCGGAGTAGAACTCGAGAACCTCGATGACCGCCTGGGGGTTCTTCTTGTAGTCCTCCTTGGTAATGGCCGAGGCCGTGAGAAGTTTCTCCCACTCTGGCGGTAATCCTACGAAGGCGCCGGTTTGCGGATCAAAGCCGACATGGACGCGGTGACTGAAGTTCGTTGGGTTACTCACACCACCCATTCCAGGGCAGCGCTCGTAGATTTTGTCGATCCACTCATAGATCTCATCATCGGATCTCACCTCGCAGGTGATGGTCTTGGTCGCAACATCTCGAGTGATCATTGCCGTCTTGGAGTTCGCATCCTTGGGGTTGGCCAGGCGGGTGATTTCAAAGGCCATTTTGGTATCTTCGGAACGAGAAACGGCGGTGACGGTGGTCAAGGGGAAGTTGGTGACAATCTTGCCGGACTCATTTTTCATAAATTCGATGCGAGATTCGCGCAAGATCAAGTACCGCTGGTTCCAGGTGGCTAAGAACTTGTCCTCCTTACACCGCACGAATCCCTCTTTGACGATTGCGACCCCACCCTGGCCTCCGGTCTGGCTCCGGGTCAAAGATGGGGTGCTGGTGTTGGGAAAGAGCGAAAGGTTGCCGGCGCTGGGGGTACTGGGCGAATTGAGGGACATTTGGTTGAAGGAGGTGGCCACATTGTTATTGGCGTTATTGGTGGGGAGAGTCAATTTTGGGCGATCAGTAGGGGGGCGGGGAGCCGGCCCCGGATTCATGAACTGATCCGGCGAGTACATGGGACTAAAGAGGTGAAAGAGGTGAGTATGAGGGGAATCTGCAGGGTGTGGGAGGCAGCACTCACTTTCCATTCTGATAGGAAGCCATTTTGGCGAGAGATATAGTCGTAAGGACAAGAAGCGAAGGGTGCGCCGAGACCTCCTGAGGCCCCTCGAGGCTAGACTAAACTGGGTCCGGTCAGTGTTTGTTCCAGGGATGGGATGGGGCCAAAGAGCAGCATACAGGGGAAATACCTAGGGTATCAAGAGCGGACCTCGCACTGCGAGGATAGCTCGAATGAAAAAAGCAACGCGATCGGGGAGGGTTGGGAGGATAACAAAAGATAGTGGGGGGGGAGGGAGAAAGGGAAGGGAAAGGGGTGATCAAGCAAAGTCAAGGGAAGCGGACCGCCAAGGCGTTCCGAGGGTCGAGCCAGGAACTGAACTTAGAGTAATTTACAGAAAACAAGGTGGGGCTGGGGTAGTAGAGTAGTAGAGTAGTGTATATTAATTGGAGTTATTGGAGTTGTGGATTACTATTTTATTTATTGTGGTGGTGATTATGGTGGTTATGACTATTGTACAGGTGCCTATTCACATAGACAGACAGGATGGTATACACTATGGTATACACTATGGTATACACAGTGTATACACTGTTGACTGTTGACCAGGGACTGTGGACTGTGGACTGTGGACTGTGGACTGTTGACCACTGAATTACTCCCCAAATGGATAGTTAAACTTCAACAACCCATTCAACCCTCCAACCCATCCCTCGTGCGCCTCCCCGCCCATACTTCTCCGCATCACACTCGGCACACCACCCTGCCATTCATTCTTACCATGCCTCATCTCCTCATTCCAAACTCGCACCTCCATACCAACCGCCATCCCTTGTCCAAGATTCACCCCATCAAGACTAACTTCCAACTCGCGCCCGCGATTCTTCTCACTCAACCGCAGCGTGATAGGCGTACTCAACGGTAAGACCAGGGGTCGAAAACTGAGACTGCGCGCACAGATCGGAGTCAAGAGGATCGACGGAACCAAGGGGTGCACAATACTGCCCCCACTACTGAGACTGTATGCTGTACTTCCGGTCGGGGTCGAGATGATAATTCCATCCACCACCGCCTCTGTTAGAAAGCGCCCGCCGACGAAAATGTCTACCACGGCTAGATGGGGTTCTTTGCCTCGGTGGATGAGTAGCTCGTTCATTACGTAGACCCCTTCGCCTTGGTCGGATTTGCCTCGGATGGGCGTGGTTTCTTCGCCGTCGCCGGTGAATAGGCCGACTTTGAGCCGGTTGCGCATTAGGATTGGTGCGCCCCGGGTACAGCCCATTGATTTTCCTCGGACGGAGGACCAGCCTGTTGGACCCATGTCTGATGATGAGCTGGGCGCCCCTGGTGTGGTTGTGGTTGTGGCTGTGGCTGCGGGGGGTTGGGGCTCTTCGAGAACTGGAGTACGGTCTCCTGCGCCAGCTCCGGACATGTAGACTTCTCGGAAGGCGCGCTTGAATTCGGAGAATTTCCATTCACTTAGGAAGCCGAGGGTGCCCATGCTGAAGGAGAGGACTGGGGGTACATTCGAGCAAGTAGCAAAGAGTGATGATGCGTGTAGGATGGTGCCATCTCCGCCGAGTGTGACGGTCAGGTCGACCTTGTCATGGAATGCTGTTGGTTTCTCGTCCAGCGAGGCGGAATAGACGGGGTAGGAGAGGGTTGAGTGGACTTCGGCGGCTGTTCTTGACTCGAGGACGACGGAGACGGAGGGATATGTTGAGGTGATGTGACTGGGGGGGAGGGAGTTAGCTGGAGCTGTAGAGGCTGTGTGTGTGTGTGTGTGTGTGTGTGTGTGTGAGCGTACTTGGCAAATTCGACCAGCGAGTCAGTCACTTCTGGCGCGCAGTTCTTGCGGACCAGCAGAATGTTTCGCGGAGCTGCTGGCCATTGGAGAGAAAGCAGTTCGCCCTGAGATTCTACCAGGAGTCAGCCTCGTCTTTGGGCAGCATCACCTATACCACAACCACCTGGCCTACCTTGGTATTTGGGAATCAGCCGCTGTGATAGGGAGGCAACATCGCGAATCTCGTGACGTGTTGCAGAGGAGGAGAAAGGTCGCAGGGTGAGGAATCGGCTGGGTTGGCCGGGGATGCGACGGAGGGAGTGCATGGTGGAGAGGAAGAGAAAGAGGACGAGAGGACGAGATGACCTCGGTCATGTGTCGCAGACTATACTTGTCACATCCATAAGCCTTGACAGCGACAGTGACAGCAAGCAGTAGCGAAAGTATGAGTATGAGTATGAGTAAGTGTAGGTTGAGGCTGTACGTAAATAACTAAAATCAGCCCCACTGCTCCAATTAATTAGCACTGCTGGTCAACTATTCCGCAAGTATTGCTCAGGTTAAGTTTGGCTGCGAACGGTTCACGAGACCACCCCCGCGTTCTTTGTTGGCTTCCTTCCTTAACTTCACCCTCTCACTCACTCCTCCCTTTATCATTATTATCATTACCTCCCACTATTTGAGCAGTCGTGAAGCTGTGGAGCTCCCCCAGCGAAGCTCTCATCAGCCGAGGCCGCACTTGTCGATCTCCCCATCCGCCGCATCCCGCGCACCTTCACTTTCACCTTCACCTTCACCTTGACCTCTTCTTCCCAGTACTGGTACTTGCTAGTGCTAGCTGGCCCTTCTTCATAGTCACTCTTCCTAAAAGACCACCCTCCAGCTTCCAACAGCTTGATCCCTCCTCCAAACCTACCCGGGGCCATTCCCCTCCCTCCACCATCCATCATGGATTCCGAGGTCCGCCAACGCAAGCCCACCGCCACATCCCCCACAGAACAAGACATCACCGAACTTCAAAAACACTCCAGCAAACCCGCCTCCGACCCACGCCTCAAACATGGCATCTCCATGCAAATCATCCGCTCCCTCCTACTGGCAGCCTGGTTCGAATGCTGCATCTTCGCCATCTTCGCAACCCAACTCATCGGCTGCCCACTATACATCCTCAACAAAGATTACTACTACACCTACATGGCCTACACAAAGCAATGTTTCGGACTAGCAATCACAGCCCTAACACAATGGGCCGCACCAACACTCTTCCGCGTCAGCGGCGACAAAAGCGTAAGAGGTCAACTCCACCTCTCAGATGACGGCCTACTACGCACTCAATTCCCAGAACGACTGGTCATGATCGCCAACCACCAGGTCTACACTGACTGGATATATTTGTGGTGGTTTGCCTATACGAATTCAATGCATGGGCGTTTATTTATTATCCTTAAGGAGTCACTCAAGTATATCCCCGTCGTGGGACAGGGAATGATGTTCTACGGATTCATCTTTATGGCGAGGAAATGGGTATCCGATAAACCGAGATTGGAGTATCGATTGCAGAAGTTGAAGTCTAAACATCAGGGTTCGCAGTCTGGTCAGCCGAATTTTGATCCGATGTGGTTGCTTATTTTTCCTGAGGGGACGAATCTTTCGAATAATACTAAGCGGAAGAGTGATGAGTTTGGCGCTAAGCAGGGTTATCCGTCCTTTAAGCATCAGATTTTGCCTAGGTCTACGGGCTTGTTCTTTTGTTTGCAGCAGTTGAAGGGGACGGTGGATTGGGTTTATGATAGTACTATTGCTTATGAAGGACCGCCGTATGTTGATCCCCTTCCTCTTTTCCTTTTTTCCTCACTGGAAAAAGGGTAAACTGATGCTAACTCCTTTACAGAAATGGAAGCTATCCCGATAAATACTTCACCCTCCGCTCAACATATCTCCAAGGAAGACCGCCAACCTCAGTGAACGTTCACTGGCGACGATTCGCCGTAGCAGACATCCCCCTCGAAGATCAGAAAGAGTTCGACGCTTGGCTCCGAGCACGATGGGCTGAGAAGGATGCGTTGATGGATCAGTATTTCGAGACTGGGAGATTTCCATCCGAGCTGGCTGGTACGATTGAGGCTAAGAATCCTACCGTCGAGCAGAAGGTGGCTCTTGAGGCTGGATTTGTAGAGTCTCATGTTCGCTTGCATCACTGGGTTGAACTTGGTTTGATCTTTATGGTGCTTGTTGGGGCGGCGTTGCTTTGTCGGGTTGTTCTTGGGTGAGTGGAACAGAGCAGTGCAGTGCGGTTTGGTTTGGTTTAGGGAATGGGTGGATTATTGATTATGGTTATTGAGCGTTGATGTTTGTTCTGGTTTGGATGGATGGATGGGATGAGATATGACGACAAGACCTAGAAATACTTTCATTAGATATGGCAATGCCATCACAGTGAATATAAATATGAATATAAACATCGACCAAGGTATCAAAGTTGATTATTGAGTATTACCCTGCCTTGTATTCCTCTCAGTACTATCCTCATTCATTTGTCTGTCCATATCCCCTCGAGTCTCTGAGTCCGAATGTCTCTCCCCATCCTGATGGCTCTCCGTATCCTTCCCCATAACTTTATCACCCGGCTTACTACTAGTAGTACTAGCCTCCGATTCAACCGGCGGCTGCTCACTCCCTCCCTCCAATTCCAGCCTCAATCTCTCATCTCCTTGCAACTCCGGCGCATGGCCCCGAGACTGCAATTCCGACGGCATCGGAGCCTGGCCAACCTTCGGATCCAACTCGGACGGTTCAGATCCAGAAAGCTCTTGAGATCAATCAGCGTCCTTATCCGAACTGATTTCAGAATTCTGGGTCCCATCTCTCCTCCTTCTCCTCAGGAAATAAAACAATCCCACCAACACAACGAACACAACCCCCAAACTAACACCAACCCCAATACCCGCCTTTACCCCTGTACTTAACCTCGATCCAGATTGATCACTAGAAGATGTCCGAGTCGTCGGTACAGCAACAGCAGTGCCAGCCAAAGGAGCAGTATTATACCCGCCCACGTAGGGATAAGCTATTACGGTCCGGTAAGACATGGTCCCGGTTTTAGCGGTTGTCGTCTGATGACTTCCGTTTGTAGTGACGGTCCATGAATCATTTTCCTTATATGCCCATGTGAAATCGTCGTATATGTTCACGCTTGATATACATGTTCCCCAAATTCCAGGTCTGGGGTCATTGTCTTGATTTAAGAGTTTGCCGTATCCACTGTATGCATGGAAATGAAATGAGCATGAAATCAGACAGAGAAAATGCTAGAGAAGATGAATCGGGCAGCTCATCTGGGACAGCAGTACGTATGAGTAGACGAACTCGAAAGAACTTCCGTCCTAGCTTCAGTCCAATTACCCGGACACCTGAAAGGTCCGAGATAATGCTGAGTTTTCGCATTGCTAGATGATGCGTATTGGGTAAATTCTGGCGGTAGACATTTCTCGCCTCCCTTTATTGATTCGCTCCATTCGGGCATGAATGCGGTTCGTACGAAGGATCTTGTTTTTTTGGCCGCCATGAAGAGCGTCGAACATTCTGGTGGTTCGATCCAGAGTGTTGTGAAGGGGTGGAAGGAGGTTGTTGAGTCTTTGTATGTGAATGGGGGGGATTGTTGGGATAGGTGCTGCGGTCATGATGATTTAATAACAACCCGAAGAGGTTGTTTGAACGGGAGTCTGGAGATATTCGTGTAGGGCTGTGAACTGAGTGCTAGTACGGAGTATGGTAGGATCTAATGGGAATCGTAGACTGATGTACGAGAACAAAGGGTGCCGGATCTTCTGCGGGCAAATCTGTCTGTGATCGGGGGTTCTTGGCAATTTCTTCATCTGGTTCACATTTTAAATGTTATTGCATTTTTACATAGCTGAAAATGTACATTTATTCCAGGTTTCAGCTCTGTGTGGTGGGCTGGAGTAGAGACTAACACCTTGGCAGGCGTCCCGTTCTGTTACATACTGTGGGGTTTGATGTGATTTGCACTCAGATCTCTCCCGGGAAATTATAGCGGTAGGGCAGTGACAAGCCAATTATAGATACTTATACATGTATGGATTCGATCGGACTCAGATCTATTTACCCTGTGGCTTGTTGTGATGTCATGCGGCTTCGTCTTCGAATTGGTCCCGCATATGGAAATGGCATTTAAACTCGTCTTTATTGCTCATCTAGGTAGAGATTTGATGTTGTTTTCCCCTCGCCACACCGTCGGAGAAAGCTGCGATGAAGGCCTATCTAAAAGGAAGAAAGAAATACTACTGTCATCGTGAGCAATGCACCACAGCTCATCCAAGGTATTGAAAATGCCAGGCGAGCCGCGCTCTCTGGAGTTGAGCTCTCTGTTGCGTCAGCGTTGGCGGAGCTCGTTGTTTCAGAACCCTGACTGGGCGAGTCTGATATGACGGTCTCACCGCTGGAGATAGCGTTCCCTGCACCTTCTGTGCTGGAAGGGGTGGCAGTCATCGTACTAGTTCCCTGGTTCGTCCCCTTATTCTCTTGTGGAAAGTCGTAGCCCAAACAGGAATTGGTATTTTCCCAGTCACTCGAATAATTTGACTGCGTCTCCCACAATAAGTAAAGCGTATCGTTGCAGGGAAGTCTTGGTGAATATGACAACCCGACTGATCCCAAATCTTTCATATCAGGTAGGTAAATACTGAATTGTGTTGCTCGTCAGCTAGGCAATCCCAGGATTCGGGACATGGCTCACAAACCTGCGTAGTTTTCCCCAGACGTAAAAATGTTGGGCTGTCTGTATAGTGGAGTAGAAAGCGAGGGGTGTGTCTGTATTCAGCGTCGTGCGTGCTGTAGTATTGCCCAGAGAGCCAAGGCTTAGACTAGACAATTTTTAGAATGAGACATTATCGACGGCTTGTCGGTATGGAACCCGGAAGATAACTTACCTTGATAAGCCGCCGTAGGCCTCAAATGACCCATTCAGCGTGTGGAGCTTTGGAGCGTTGAAATCAAGCGTGTCATTTGTGCTTTCGATATTGATCCGCAGGCCCTGCCTGGGAGAGTACACTGACGGTTGTCGGACTATGTATCCTACGACTTCCAGCTTGGGCACAGATACACTGAGAATTCATACATATCAGCAGGAATTTCATCTTCGGGGAGAAGATGCCAGACCTTTTTACCGTCCCTGCAACTTCGAAGTAGTCCGTTTTCTCGAGCAATGGTAGGTCGACGTCAATGTAGGGGAATGTTCTGTCAGGCCCATAGATGGAACAATCCTGGGAAGCGCAAAATTGAGTACCCAAAGTGACTGTTTTCAATGAGTCAAATTTTGTACTATGGCATGTATGAGAAGAAGTTCGAGTTAAAATAGGAATCCAAGGGGCTGGGCATCGTGTTATACCTTGTCCAACTCCCACGAATTGAAACATCATTAGCTTCGGCCAAAGAACTCAAGTCAATTGACCCATTAGCCGACATTTGTACGAGCTCGATATCACCCGTGCTTTCGAGCTTCGGTAAGTTAACATCGCCAATAAGACCGAGCAGGTGTATATGATCGATCTCGTTGAGATCGCGCAGCTCGAATAGGCCCAACCCTGCTGTACCATTCTCGACCGTGGAAATGTTTCCGTGAAAGTTAGTCACTTCGTTCAAGACGAAATCACCCTCATAGTCGGATTCAATAACTATGTGTCCGTTCAATGTAGTGCATCCCTCGAACGAATCTAGTTGCTCAGAATTGTGAACGTGAAGGGTTGTCGCGATGTCCTCATTCACGCTGGTGTCCGTTTTGCATTCCTTCGTCTCGGCACCTAGTTGAACTCAGTGGTTGCTTTTACAATCAATCAGTGAAGCAAAGAAGTATACCAAGACATGATGAGGACAAGCCTAGGGCGACTGCAAAACCAGCAACCGAATTCCTCATCATGTTTGCCGATCGTTAATGTCAAAAAATGAGAAGGTGAACGAGAAATCAAAATCAAGCCATTTGACGAATATCCCGAGGGGTCATTCTTCTTGGCGAGCTATAGTCATGCTCGGACCCTGTTCTCGAGATTATCCAATGCTGGCCCTGGGGGGCCTTTTCCAGAACAAATATGGGGCCGGAGTTCCCATTCGCCTAGTTTACGAGCTAGTTTCAGGTTCGCAGCCACCGTTCTCTTGGCTCTCGGCCGGAAGCATGCGGGCGGACAAGTTCAATTTGAGGCGAAAGAGCCTAGTTGTTATTCGAACCTGCAAAGAGCATAGATTCGTGGTGGATACCTCTATGCCCAGCTCGCTTAGAGGGTACAACATAATCCCCGTGGGGCAAGGACAAGTTACTTAATGTCACTGTCGAGCCCATTCCCAGGTCCCCCATATATTCAAGTTCTTATAACCTGAAAATTATTCTTCCAGCAACACATAAATGACATTAGAACTTAAATCCAATATTTGGATATTTTGTGCTGCTATGGATCATGGTCCTTCTCGAATAACCAAATCTATTTCCTGGCCGAGTCTCTCCAATTCCTTGATTCGTGGAGGTTTCGCGAAGAATTCGTTGATCAGGTTTGACGGAATGGTAGATTCTTCGGCAACGGAAGCGCCTGGCTGTAGAGGTTCTGTGAGTTTGTGCCAAGGTCCATCTATACCATAAGGCTTGCTCCAAAAAGTTACTGAATATTTTGTAGGCTGCTCCGGGTCTTCTGGTGACGGTGACGCTTGGTTTGAGACAGAAACTTGAAAGTGATGAATTCGTAGGTGCTCATGAGGAAGTATATTCTCCTGAGGGCCTCCATCGGGTAATTCAAGTTGGTTACTACTATTAGTACCTGCCTCCTCTATCTCCATAATGCGGGAGAAGATAATGAAATACTTCTCTGCATCTAGAAGCCACTCGCGACCGCATATTCTTCTAAATAAGTCGAGGCCCCAGCGACGAAGACGCGGCCATCGGCATTTCCAAGACAATGTATGGAGGCAGTATATAATAGCGAAATCCAAACTCAACGGCCTGAAGTTATTTCCAGGGCAGAAGCGATCTCGATCTGTGATGAGATTTTCGATAAGGGACAACGCTTCTTCAAAGTCTGCTCGTCCAGCATCCCATGCGCACTCGCTGTCAGCGAGATAGTTACGGACTCCGAAGCTGAGATCAAATTTGATGAGTCGTACGGCATTGATCGAAGGCCTCTGCCTTTTAACCCATGAAGAACCACGTCGAAGGGCTAAATCATCAAAATTTGCGTCCCATTGAGCGAAGGTTTTCTCAACGCTTTTTATGATCAGGGAGGCTTTTTCGTTATACTGGGGTCCCAGCGGACAATATTTGTCAAGCTTGTCGAAGCGCAAATTCGTCTGGGTGATCAAGTCCACCAGACCAACTCTAGCCTGTTGGACTGTATCAAATCGATCTCCTAGCGTGAGATCACCATGCACGTTGACAGGATTCATAAGAAGCCTAAGATTCTTGGCAGTGTCCCTATCCAGCACAATGGTGCGAAGTGATAAGAGAATCGGTCCGATTTCTGTCTCCATGAAGTGCGACCCAATCGATGTATCGTCTCGTCCCGATGATTGGTTCTGAGACTTCTTGTTTTCCATCCAGGATTGAAAGATTTGAATCCCGCTTGTGATATGAGACCTTGACATTGCCGCATTGCCACGTAAGTATTCCAGACATGCGAATAAAATACTGATCATAGCAACCAAAGAAACCGCATTCGGTTCTTTCATCGTTTTTTGTACAATTCCACGGATTGCTTTATTGTATAGCTGGATAGGGGAAGTTGAGCCAAGACTTTGCCCCTCCACTGGATTCAGGGTCTTCCCCTCATGGACGATGGCAATGGCAGCAAGGGTCTGACGGATGGCGGGTTCTTCAAGGCTAGCGTGGAGAACACTACTTTGAAAGAACGCGCCATCAAAAAATCCCGCTAACTGCGGTGCTGTCCTATGGAAAAAGTATTCCAAGGCTCGGGGTTCGATAGGCGAGTCGACTCGAGCTGCGGGCACCAGGGTCCGAGGCGTCATCACAATAGGCGTTTGTGGCTGGTATCCCTGGCATAAGCGACCGGAAAGTGAGCATCTGTTTTGTTCATGATTAATTCAACGCGGATCCCCTCGAAATTCGAATTGAGAATGTACCTAGCACACGCTGGTTTCCCTTCGTCGCATTTAACTCGTCGAGCCCTACACTGAATGAGTAATCCTTCTAGTTATGACACCTCGCGGTCGGTGCGGCGCGCTATAAACCTGGACTGACTTGCAGGTGATGCAACCTGTGCGCACTTTGCTACCACAGTTGCGCTTCACTTTGGAGACTGGTCGGTCTTGAGTTCGAGCCATTTGGGCCATTTGAGCTATTCAAGGGAGCCAGTCGGCATGAATATTCTAACAGAGTCATGCCACTAATAGGGGACGCGAGGTGAGTCGAGACCTTGAATTCCATTTGATGATTAAGAGGCGACTTGGCGAGTTGAAGGCGATTGGCTCAATTTGTGTTTGGTCTGTCGCATGCGGCCTTATGCTTTAAATAGGAATCCGCCCCGGCACTCTCCTCTGGGTTTAAACAAAGAATCGCTCACAGTGCCAGCATCCGGTCAGTTTCAGAGTAGGGAAAACTATCTGGCCCTTCAAATATTTGAAGCTTCCTGAGAGATTTGCCGGTTTACTGCGCTCGGTGCTGATTCCTTCTCTCCTTATTTGTACCCCGCGAAACGATACGAGAAATCGCCCGGCGTACCGCCGTGCAAGCCAAGCCAGCCTGAGTCAAGGATCTTATAAAGCGGGGGAGACCTTTGGCAGAAAAATTTCTTGCTAGCTATAGAATGATCTCAATTTTGCGCACCGCCTCCCGAGGTCTCTCTAGATACATATAATGTGCTTGGGAAAACTATTTATCCCAGCTGCTTTTAAATACGGGAAGCGATCCCGCGTCTAAAACTTGAACCCAGGTTGAGTTATATATGTGTGTCCATTGATTGGATCCCATACTATTTTAGCACGTAAAGTGGCGTTGTAAAAGTTGTGATCTACCGTTAGCAAAAGTACTAGTACTGTTTAACTCGAGTAGGTAGATGCCCAGGTGATTAGGTAAAAAAAAGCGATAACATATTCGCCAAGCGGAGACTGCTAGTATATAACCTATTAGGTACTAATAGAAGGGTTAGTGTATACAATTAGCATTGTGTATCGGTAATCTTCGGTGGTTTACAAAGCTTTTCCTTCTACGCAATAGGCAGGCGTGAATAGCAGTGTTCATCTACTAGTATCATGAATCATTATTCTATTCTATGCAAACTGAGCTCAGCTGCCTCGGAAATACCAAAAACTAGTACACTTCCACAAGACATGCTGCAAACAACCCAAGCACCAAATTACCCATAAAGAACAACCCCCCCACCCCCCTCCAAGCGTTCGGCAACCGAACTTATATCCATGCCATCCATAACCATCGTATCATCGGGACATACCTCCAAGTTAGGGTCCGGATAGGTCCGCCATGTAGAAATATACTCCAGCCTCGGAAACAAATTTAGCGCGATCAAGAACGACTGTGAGTAGACGATAGACCATTCGGGGCTTCTCTTGTGTTGGCTCGAAGGCCTGTGTGGGTAATTGAGGGCTCCACGAACTGCTCGAGCATCACGCGGTGACCCAGATGGTCATTGTAGGCGTGTACCTGTTGCCAGGAACTTTCGGGCATGGTGAGTTGGCGTTTGGAGTATCTCATTTGGACATGTGTGGGTATGAGGTGGCTGATTACGCGCTAGTGGTGGCTGACTGCCGTAGTAGTGGCCTGCCCTACTACTGTATCGGTGCTATGGCGATCTTGATCCTATAGCTACTACTATTTTAATATCAAGTCTGGCCCTGCCTCCCCAGTAACTTTAACTATAGAGTCTTTTATTCAATGATTAAATGATTATATAATACTTGTTTCACCGATTTGAAAATACCCGTTCTTCTGGTAGGTAACCTTGGAATCAAACAGCATTGATTGTCTCGGATCTGAATTCCGCAAGAGAAACATGGAAAGATCAAACCTGGATGCCGCATAATATTGAAATTTAAACCCTACTACTATATGAGATGGCAAAGTTGACATCCATAGGCACTGCCAGTCTTGGAATTATCTTGATACTTGACATCCACATCCATCCCCCTTGCTAATCAGGTGCTATTCAAAATGTCCAATTTACCTCAAAATGAGTCCGATGACTCTGATTTAGAGGGACTACCTCCATCCGTGAGACATTATGTCTATGAAGGACCAGATCAATTTTCTCGAATCTTTAGACTTGAAAATGATCGTTGCCTACGTTCAATGCCCAACGCGTTTGGAACTCGCATCAACCCCGATACGGCAACTGGGAGCCTACGTACCAAAGTAGAGGCAGAAACGGAGATCAACGAGTACTTTGTTCTTTCGATTGATCCAGGCACCTTCAAACGGGTTTTCATCAGTGACAGACTGGATATTCCTCACATTTCATCATCCGAATTCTGCGCACGGACAAGCCGTTTGGTGATCAAGATGCCGAACCCGGTACATAACCAAGTCGGAATCCGCCTTCATGATGCCATTAAGTTGGCTCTTGTACCTATGAGGCTTGACAATATGGTCTTTGACTGGGGAACTGTGAATCTTGACGTGGGCAATGACCGCAACAAACAAGCCGACTTCGGGTGGGGACCCCGGAGACGCCCTCCTAGGACTCCCAAGAGACCAACGGTAGTGCTTGAGGTCGGTCTCTCTGAGAGCCACCAGAGGCTCTTCCATGACATGGAGACTTGGCTGAACCCCCACAAGGGGAATGTCAGGATGGCACTCTCCATCAAAGCAGTGAGAAACCGACCCAAGTTCACGATCGAGAAATGGGTCTGGGACGCGACGAACCGCATACCCAGCAAAGTTCAGGGTATCGTCCTGGAGAGAAACGAGACTGGTCAAATAACCAGTCGCGGGGGGAACTGATGATCCCTTTCAGGGTCATATTCCTGAGAGAGCCTGAACATTCTCGGGAAAAGGACATCATCATCGACACCAGTGAACTGCAAGCCATTGCGGAAATCGCATGGGACATACAGTTCGAAGATGAAGATGGAGACTAGCCGGACAGACTACATCATCCTCCACACCGCCTGCCACCCTAGCCACAGCAACTACACCAGCCACACATCCAATTCTCAAATCGAACAGCACCGCGACCTCCGCCTCCGCCTCCCCGAGTCACTTTCGCGTCTTCCTCGACCTTGCGGTTTCTCCACCGTATCTGGTGCAAGCTCATCTCTATCACGGACTTTTGATGGAATAGCTCGATCATGAGTTGAAGCTGTTAACGATTCCTCATCAAGTCGCATCCCGACCTTTCACTTTACCTCCCTCTCTTTATCTCTCCCCCCCCCAGGCGCAGTCGCAACAATGGCGTCTCTCGAAAACGGCCATGCCAATGGCTTAAACGGCGATTCTATACCATCTACAAGCTCCCTACCTAACCTACGTTTCTCCGATATCCCCGATGCCATCGATATTCCCGCCTCCAGTTTCGACAGCGAAGTCGAAGTTAGTCTCCTCGACCTCCCCGAAGACCCAACCGAGCTCTGCACCCTCCTGGAAAACGAACGGGCGGCCAAGAATTTCTGGGTCATCATTGCATTGGCCTACGCCAAGCGAAAGCAGATCGACCATGCCATCGACATCCTGAACAAGGGTCTGGCCTCCGTCGCCCACGGCGCTACCAAAGAGAAACTAGGCCTTCTGGGCTGGATCTGCTGGCTGCTCATGCTGAAGAGTCGTCAGGCTCCTCGTGTCGCGCCAGAGGGAGAGCTTTACTCAGAAGCCAAAACCAAGGACCACTACCTGCAGCTGGCAACTTCCACTCTGAACGAGGCATCGCGTCTGAACCCTGCGTACCCTCCTCTCTTCCTAGCCCGCGGTGTCTTGTGTCTTCTCCGTGCCTCCTTATACCCTCCGCGTGCGGTTCGACCCGGTGCCATCGATACATCCGAGCGGGTCGAAGCCCTGCGGCAGGCGTTGAAATGCTTCGACGAGTCCTCCAAGGCCTTTGGCGGTCGTAACATTATGGCTATCCTAGGCCGTGCCCGCGCACTATACATGCTGGGAAGATACGCAGAGGCTCTTGAAGGCTATCAAAAGGTCCTGATGAAGGTACCTAATCTGACAGACCCTGATCCTCGTATCGGTCTGGGATGCTGTCTTTGGCAGCTGGGTTTCAAGGACCAAGCGAAGGTGGCATGGGAACGATCACTGGCTCTGGTAAGCTAGAACGCTGGCACTTGTCCCCCATTTCTTTGAAAAATATTGACTGACCGCGCATCACGCTATAGAACCCCGAGTCCAAGGTCGCGAACATCCTCCTCGCCGTTTACTACCTTTACGACAGCTCCCGCCGCTCTACTACCGACCCCATGTTCGGCTCCTTGTACAAAATGGCCATGACCCAATACACACAGAAGGCTTTCAAGCTGGATAAAGAATATCCCATGACCTGCGCCTCATTCGGAAGTTACTTCCTCCTCCGCAAACAATACCCGACCGTTGAGACACTCGCCCGCAAGGCGATCGAAAAGACGGATGTCATGCCCATTGCTAGTGACGGATGGTATCTGCTTGGCCGAAAGGCACACTATGAGGGCGATGGGGCACGCGCCACGGAGTACTACAACAAATCCGACCAGGCTCGTGGTGGTGGTGAAAAGGGCTTCTTGCCTGCTAAATTCGGTGCTGTGCAAATATCCGTCTCGAACAAGGACTTTGACGGTGCCAAGTTCCGCCTGGAGAAGATTGTCCAACAATCAAAGAACGCTGAGGCTATGATTCTGCTCGCGGCGCTGCACGCGGAAGATGTCTTTGCCTCACTAAAGGCCGGTCTCAAGGATGATAAGTCGAATGAGACGAAACGTGCTATCCATTTGCTGGAGTCTGTGCGCTCGATGTGGAAGGATGAGAAGCAAAAGCTGACTCCAGATGAATCTGTCCTGGTTTATCTGGCTCGTCTGTACGAGTCCACTTCTCCGGAAAAGTGCATGCAGTGCCTAGCCCAACTAGAGGAGCTGCAGATTTCTGGTATCCCCGAGAGTTCTCGGCCTGATATTGACGATCCGGAGGATCTGAAGGCTGCCCTCCGCGAGAGTCTTCCTCCGCAGCTGCTTAACAATATGGGTTGCTTCCTCTATCAAAACGAGAAGATTGCTTTGGCGCGTGGTATGTTCCAATCCGCACTCAATGCTTGCGTACACTCGCAAGAGAGAAAAGATGGTTCCGACAATGATGCCCTCGTCACAACTATCAGCTACAATCTTGGCCGCACATATGAGGCAGCAGACATGTGGGACGAAGCTAAGAAGGTCTACGATGGACTCCTCGAACGACACAGCGACTACACCGAAGCTAGTGCACGTTTGACCTATATCGCCCTCCGCCAAAGCCCAACCGAGGAAGGACCCAAGAAGATGTCCAAGCTCTACGAAGCCGACTCCTCAAATCTGGAAGTCCGATCCCTCTTCGGGTGGTATCTCAGCAAGTCCAAGAAGCGCGTGTCCAACCTGGCCGAGGACTCGGAACAGCGCCATCACAAGCACACCCTACAATACTACGACAAGCACGACCGCTACGCTCTAACCGGCATGGGCAACGTCCACCTCCTCGCTGCCCGCGATATGCGCCGCGACACCGAAGCCGACAAAGAAAAGCGCCGCAAGGTCTACCAGCGCGCAGTAGAGTTCTTCGACAAGGCCTTACAGCTTGATCCCAAGAACGCATATGCCGCACAGGGAATCGCCATTGCCCTAGTCGACGATAAGAAGAACTACAGCGCCGCCGTGTCATTCTTCTCCAAGATCCGAGACACACTCAAGGATCCGAGCGTCTACCTAAACCTGGGCCACGTCTATGCCGAACTGCGCCAATACTCGCGCTCAATCGAACACTACGAAGCAGCCCTCGCCAAGGACCGCGCCCGCGACGTGCAAATCCTAGCCTGTCTAGCCGAGTCTGGTGGCTTAAGGGCAAGCAAGAGATGAACCTCGTTGCAATGAAAACAGCCCTGGACTACGCCCTCCGCGCCCGGGATGTCTCTCCCGACCAACTCCACCTCCAATTCAACGTAGCCTTTGTGCAAAACCAAATCGCCTCCCTGGCATACAGTTTGCAACCCACGCAAAAGACGCTCCAAGATGTGCAGGAAGCTGCCGACGGATTGAAGGAAGCAATTGAGACCTTTGAGAAGATCTCGAAGGAGAAGAATCCTCCTTACCCAGCCCAAGCACTCGAGCAACGTGCAAATATGGGTCGCACGATTAGCAAGCAGCTTGACCGCGCGATGCAGAGCCAGAAGGAGTACGAGGAGAAGAATGCGGCGAAATTACAACAAGCGCGCGACGCGCGTGAAGCAGCTCAGGCGAAGCGTGAAGAGGAATTGCGCAAGGCTCAAGAAATTGAGATCGAGCGGAAGAGGAAAATTGCTGAGGAGCGCGCGCAGATGGCTGAGGAGACGCAGCGCAGCGCGGCGAGACGGGCGGAGGCTGATCGTGCGCGTGAAGAGGCGGAGCTTACGGATGGATCGCAGGGCGAGAGAGTCAAGAGGAAGAAGAAGACTGCGGCTAAGCGGAAGAAGAAGGGTGGCGATGACTTTATTGCTGATGATGAAGAGGGTCTTGGTGGTGGTGAGGATCAGGATCGCAGTGGTGCGGAGGGTGAGAGTGAGGGTGAAGCTGCGCCTAAGAAACGTCGTCGTCTTGAGCGGAGGTCTGGGGGTAAGGTTGCTGCTTCCAAGGCTTCTAGCAAGTACAAGAGTGATGAGCGGGTTGTTGACTCGGATGATTCGGATGAGGAGGCTGGTGGTGAGGCTGCGCCGGGTACACCTGGTGATGAGGATAAGGAAGATCTTTTCGGCGATGATGAGCAAATACAGGAGGATGTTGCGCCTCGTCGTCGGGGTAAAGCGCGTCATATTGCTGATGATGACGATGAGGATGAGGATGAGGAAGAAGGTCAACAGGCTCCTGCTAAAGCGATCGAGGACAATGATGACGATGACCTCTTCGGGGATGAGGAGAAGACTCAGACTCAGGATACGGAGATGCAGGACTGAGTTGAGTTGCGTTAAGTTGTCATTTGCCATATTACCTCCCACCTTTACTTCTTTTCTTCTTGTTCGTTCGGCGTCTGGGACATAGGCTTAGATTTTGCAATTGTTGCGGAAGCAGATTGTTTTTCAAAAAAATTAGTATTTCTAAGTTTCAAGTTCCCTTTGAATCCATTTGTGTAATTAGCCTTCTATAGTCATCAATTAAGTTTTCCTGTTTATCTGGATATACGAAATGTTTCGTCAGTGTGTTGTCCATTGGAAGGTATACTTGAAATCTCATATCTTCGGCGTGCTATTGCTAACTAGGGCTATGATACAAGTTAAGGTTGTCTGTGAAATAGTAGTTATATCTCACAACCTTCATATTAAAATCAGTACTAGTAGGGCTGCCAGTCATATGATCATTGCTAATCAAATTCCATCTGCAAGCAAATAGAACCCTGGTCTTTCATAGAACCATACGCATGTCCTTTGCTTTAGAAACCCCATGAGCCGATCGGTCATCTATCCAATTTTGCTAGTCAAGATCACATTCAGATCAACTGAACCCTCGATCTGACAAAAGTACCAAATCCTCCTCGCCGAAACAACCGCCCCCCTTCCCCCGGCCCGCGGCACGCAAAATAGATTAATAGCCCCTGGCCCCCAGGCTTCCACCCGTGCCATGCAAGTTGGTCCCGGACCCCAACTCACAAGACAAATTCGCCACGGGATATATGTATACTTAGGAAATGTACGGAGTAGATGGTACACTATCCCCATTTGTAAAAGATACCTCTCATACTCGTACCTTGGTAACAAAAGCCATCAGATACTAGCGTAAGCGCGGGATAAGTTATAAACCCGCAACACTCCGCGTTCCAGTATCGCGAGATCTGTCGGATCTGACCTCCAAGCCCTGAATGTTAATCTAAACAGACAGGAAGAGTGATATCGCCGAGGTATTTTCTAAAATTAACCGTGACACTCATACCCACCTGCCGAGGAAATGACATGACATGTCATGGCATGAGCTAACTACGAGTAGTTACTAGTAGTTGGCCCCAGTGCGGCGAGATCAGACCTCTTTTCCATAGTTAGCTTAGGTATAGCCATACCACAATAACGAGGGTCTAGAATCAATCTTCAATCTAATTAATTTCCGACCTGCACCACATCACACAATACTATAGTTACCACATCGCTTGTTCTCGCTCCGCCTTGCCTCGCACAAGACAATGAAGCTAAAAAAGAAAAAAAAAAATATCCGACACATGCATATTAGAGCCCGTTTATTTCACTCTGCTTTTTGTTTATTCTCCTATAGGCTATGTTCCTTTCCTCGCAACCCCATCCAAATCTCCACTCTAACTTGAACCACCTGCATTCGCCCCGCCCCCTCCTTGTCTAAGTAAAGTAAGCAGGCGAGGGGTAAAATTTCCATTGAGACTGAGTCACGATAAATTAGTAGTGGTACATGCGGATGTTCTGACCGAGAATGAATACTTGGCTGGATACACGTATGGTATCTGAATCTGCATCTGCATCTGCACCTGCGTCTGCCCCGATCGGCCCTAACGCTATGTACGATCCGTCCCGAGCTGAGCTGACCTTACATGGGGGCCTTGCATCTGCACGAGCGGGAAACCATGCAGCAACGGGCAGTTGGGGGCTGTATTTGCGGTAATTGGGGTATTTTACTGTTAGTTACTGTTGGTTATGTTTGAAATGGTAAGCGGTCACTCTACAGCGTGAGAATTCTTTTGTGCGATTATTTTTGGTGTGCGCATGCTGACCGATTCCTGACAAATGGTACATGTAAATTGATTGATTAATTCGCTTATTAGTACTAGTAGTTCAAGTTAGTATATAGCGCAAGTCTTCGAGAAAACCACCTGAGCGCAACATAAGCACTACTAAGTAAATTGTAGTTGGCTTCTCCTTATGCATACCTAGGTAGCAATTGATACTATATGCCGTCTTTATATGAGTAGCAGATACAAACTATATAGTACTTGGCTTGCCATAGAAGGAAAATAACATCAGGTAGAGGTATGAAGTTTGAGCGAGTCCTAATTAGGACCTAAAACTACTAGTATCAGGCTTGAAAATAGCTTCCCATTGGAGACTACTATGATTCGTAAAATCCAATAATGAATTCAGATTCAAATCTACAGACCGCCTCTGATTCTTGGTGTATTTCTTATTCCTTATTTCATTTTCGCTGTGTTGTTGCTGCATGTCCTATCCAAGAATGTGATGTGAATGTCTCACGTATGCACACCCACCACCAGCGAATCCCGAAGCAAGGAAGACTGAACACAGAGAAGAAAACCACTGTATCGAATGCTGAAAATAATTCCGCCTCTTGTACGTATAAGAAAAACAAACCATAGGCATGTTCCAGTATCAATGTTCCTGCCTCCTTCGTTACGTTACGTAGGGCTGAGTGAGGATGGATGATCGCCGCACGCGGAAAGAGTCCAAAGATCGTCACTCCAACAACCCAACACAGGCCAGACAAACGGGCCTTCGGTGAATGAGCACTTGATCTCAAGACTCGATGACATGATCCTGCAGAACTTAAGGAAAATGGCCGAATAAGAAAAATCTTCAAGCTTTGTTGAATATGTCCGAAGATGGGAGAGATCTACATTTAACAAGCTTTTCCGTCCAAGGAACCGCTGAAGACTTAAGCTGCCCTGTATGCGCTTGTGGGGCATTGAAAACATCGCATAGTGTAACCTCATTGATTTTTCACGCAGCTGGCGGATCGCTTCCAATTTTATTCAAGTTGAGATTGTTGGCGTTCACTTGGCGTGGTTGAGGCTTGGCCAGGTGGCGTTGAACTGAGGTTATCAAAATGGGGATTTATACTCCGTACTTTGCGCCTAGGAAGGAGAACAAGATAGAATATAGCCATCTTCACCACCAACTACTCCATGACAATACTTGACTCCCCAAATAACCCCCTATCACCCTCTGTTCCGAGTCTGCTCAGATTGATGGATGTTTCTAAAGCTACAACAATGGTATCCTAATCATAGTATTGTATCTTCTATAACTCCATGCAAAAGCCAGTGGCAACTGCACTGTAGTATACTCTAATTAGAACGGCATCGATTGAAATTTTCTGCCAATTATATTAGGCATAAGTCCCACCCTAAAAGCTGGCCGGTATAAGACCGCCGATCGGAACAAATTCAGTCAACGTCCCATCAGCATCCCGAGTCATACTCACTCAGGGCTGAAGTGAATGAATAAAAGATGATATCACCGACGGGATACGTCGTCAAACTACGACCCTGACCCCTGCCCATTATTGTTGCATATCATCAACAAACCCACACGCTCTTCCATGGACACTCGCTACTTTACTCTACAAACGCCTATAAACCGTTGAAACAGCTGGGCCGGCCAGGTTAGGTCTCCACACAATCTATTGATGTCCGGTTGCATCCCTGCGGCTCTAACCTTATCTATCATGTCATCGACCTAGAATGAAGCATCGCTCCGGAATACTTTTCCTGTGGGGCTAGATGCAGCTGGAGTCTCCATCTCTCTTCGTCTGGCGCGCGAGACTAAACATAGGGCTAGAGTTCAGTCAGGCCCGGAATAGGCGGATATGCCTTTCATTCGCTTTTCAATTCATTTGCTCCAATGACGTGCTGTGCTGGTGGAGCACATTAACGCTTCGATCATATCATGGCATAGCATAGCATGGTAGGATGGAAACGGAACCTACAACGTGAAAATGAGTAGGTGGCTGATGGAATGGACTTTGCTCGTTGGTACTTAAGGGCCTGACCCAAGGCCCTGGGGTACCTTTTCCTTTCTTGCTCTCTTTTCATCCAGGTCTGAACCTCCATCCTGTAAGTAAATAATTGCAATACTGGCTGCCATTGTGAGAAATCGTGCACTTCAATAAACGCACTTGCAGTCTTCCTCTCAGTTCTTCCACCATCGCCCAAGGCAGAAACCAGACGCAAAGGCAACAGTAGCATTGGAAAAAAGAACAAAGGCTAATCCTTACCAGTCTCGACTCCCCGCAAATCCACCCTCACAATGCGTTACGCATACACATTCCCTGCGGTTTTCGCGGCCGCAGTCATTGCCGCTCCTCTCGAGAACGCCAAGCGCAGCGATGACTTCAGTGATCTGATTGGTGATGTTGGAATTGGGGCTATTCTTGGTGGTAATGGCGATGCTACTGGTGTCAAGAACGCCAAGCGCGATGACGAGGCCCTGATTGGTCTGCTTGACGACGATGATTATGAAAACTACGAAGATGACGATCTGCTTGATAATCTTCTGAAGCGCGACGACGAGAGCCTGATTGGCAACGATGGATACGATAAGCATTTGCTTGACGTCAGTAATGTTGGTGTCCTGAAGCGCGACGACGAGGACCTGGTTGGTGGCGGTAGTGTTGCTGGTATCCTTAAACGCTCTGAGGACGGCCTCGCCGGTGATGTCGGTGTCGCTGCTGTTGCTGCCGGCGATGGTTCTGCTACTGGCGTGCAGAACGCTAAGCGCGATGATGAGCTTCTGGTTGGCCTCGTCGGCGGTGGCGGTACCAGTGGGGGTGGCAGTCTATTGAAGCGCGACGACAAGAGTCTGATTGGTGGTAATGGTGAAAGCAACGACTACAACAATAACCACCTGGCTGATGTTGGTGTTCTCGGCGTCCTAAAACGCTCTGATAGAGAATTCATTGGTAGCGATGGATACCACGATGATGGCGACCTGGCTGACCTTCTTGATGCCGGACTCGCAGAGCGCTCTGAGGAGGGCATTATTGGTGACGTTGGCGTTGGAGCCGTCGCTGGTGGTGATGGTGATGCCACTGGTGTCAAGAACGCTAAGCGTGAAGATGGGATTCTCTCGACTGATCTGGCCGGCGTCGTCAACATCCTGAAGCCTCGTTCTGAGGAGGGCCTTGCCGGTGATGTCGGTGTCGCGGCTGTTCTTGCTGGTGACGGTTCCGCTACTGGCCTGAAGAAGGATAAGCGTCAACTTGATGGAAGTATCCTTGGAGGTGTCGGCCTTGACCTTCGCGAAGGTGGTGATGATTCCACCGATGGCGCCAATATCAATGAAAAGCGCTCTGAAGACATTGGTGTTGATGGCTTGAATCTGGTCCCTGGTGGGGTGGCTGATTACGTCCAGAGCGGTACGCCTATTCTTGGTATTGCCAATCCTCGTTAAGATTGTGATGATAAAAGCCCTGGAGTTGGTTGGTTGTGTACATCTCAGGGAGATTTGTTATTCGGGGAGTTTGCCATGAATTTCTGGAGTCAAGTATTCTACCAGGATATGCGCCCCGAAATGCAGTGTGACGGGTTGAAAGGGAGTTCTTCTATTTCTCCCCCTTTTTCTCTCTGCTTTCTTATGTTTGATGCTTGGGCTCAATAGTTAATGTAATACGATAATCATAATTGATGGGGATTTCCCGTATAACTAAACTACCCACCGTCATCGTACGTGCCCAGGTGCTTACCATCTTACAAAGTAATTAAATACTGGACTGTATCTGAATAATGCCATACATGGTTCTATCCAGGGGTACAGCACGGAGCACAGCAAGAAAAATAAATTAATAGTTCACGAGATGAGCGTCCGATCTGCTCTGTATGTATACTCCGTACTTTACTTTACTCCCACATGACCGATTCCGACCCAACCATCGGTGTAGATCTCCCACCAGACCGGGTATGGGGAGCAGACTAGTCACTCATAGCAATGGGACCATTGTCGCTCCAGCTCCAGCGATTTTCAACTAGCGGCACTATGGCGGCCACCGCGGAACTCGGCCAGTCCTATTTTAGTGGGTTGCTCGTTGCCCGTTATTATTGCCCGTAATTATTGTCCGTCATTAATGCCCGCAATTATTGCCCGTTATTATTGCCTGTTGCCCTGTAAACTCCTTTTTCTCTTTACCACTGCGTATGTATGGCACCGTTTCCCTTTCCCTGATGCATAATGCACACAAGAGTGGATTTGTCGGATAAAAAAAGAATGGAGAAAAAAGACGCGCAGTTCGCGCATCGATAATTAAGCCCTAAGCTTCTTGACACAGGCTACCTGTGCGGAAAGGGGGATAGTTAGCTGTCAGTGTACGAGTACGGAGTAATTTAGCCTAGTCCACAGTTCCAGTCCCAGTCCCAGTCCCATTTCCAGTCCCACTGGGCCCAACGGTTCTAGGGTTGCACTCGTCACGCTGACAGTTGCCATTGAAGTGAACACCGAGCCTAAGACAACCTCGGGAGGCGTTACCGCGTACAGTAATCCGGAACTATCGTGTGTATGGACGGAGTAGTAGCAAAAAACAAAAAAAACAATGACGCCAGAATCCGAGCACGGAAGAAACGCCAAAAACAAACCATCATATCCGTAGGGATCAAAGCTCTGGGGCTCAGCAGATTACGCTGGTGCGATCGATGGGGCACATTGTGTGTCTGGGCCAGTGTTCTGAGGGCGATCGCAACCAGATGCGTGTGTAGGAATTGGAGAATGGTTCGGTTCGGTTGCGAGAGGGAGTGGTTCGAGCGGGTTTGGTAAATTAATTGAGACGGCGGTTGTGGGCGCGCGCCCGCGAGAGAGAGGGAGATTGAGTTCCCTTCCCTTCAGGGCTTTCCTCCTTCTGCTCCGCGTTGTAATTGGGAAATGGAGCTACGATTGTAATCTCCTGGTTGGATTGAATCCGATCCAACCTAATTTGATTCAATTCAATGGCTTGGATGGAGCTTGGATTGGAGCAGAAAGCCGCTTCGGCTTGGCGAACGGGGCGTAACTGCTAGAACCAACATCTCTTTCTGCGTTATGTTTGGTAGGCTAGGATCCCTAGACTAGATATGATATTCTTACTCCGTGCAGGGGGCGGAACGGAACAAGCTATCGAAGGAACATGGATTCATGCGTATTGCTCCCGCATGGGCCGTTTCGGTTCGCATTGGGGGCTGGATGGGATACTGCCCCTGATTATCAGGTACCAAACTGCGAAAAGATGCGCCGACGGGGAGGACTTCCCCCTGGGGGGCTGAAGGGGATTTACATATTTCCCCCTCCCTGATGGTTGAGATGGCTGTATCCATGGCTGTGGCTGTGGTTAACCCTGGGAATTCATTGCATTAAGGATGCGGAATCCGTCCGGGGCGGGCCATCATGCTTTGAGCGGCTGGCTGGATGGCTGCAACTTTGACTTGGCCCCCATGGGGGAGGGAGATTGGTTATTCCCGATAAAAGATAGGAGGGGCAATTTTTCCGAATCCTTTAGCTCAGTGGTTGCATCATCACAAGGAAGCTGCAGAATATATGGAGTTATACGGAGTACTCGTATACGCGATTCGAGTTCGAGTCAGGGAGCCCGGGGCTGGAAACTGGAGACTGGAGACTAGAGAGGTGAGGCTGGCAACTCACGACTCACTGCTTGCCTGCAGAGCAATCCACGGGCTGGCACCGACGGCATGTGGGCAAGACACGGCCGAGCATTTCTGGACCAGCCATGACGATGTGTAGTGGAGTTGTTACGGAGTTTCTCAAAAAAGTTCAGGTCTTTTGCGATCCAGAACTGCGATCGGCCAGTGTCCACTCCGGTTCACGCTTGCGGACTGGAGGATAGATCGTCAGGAGTCCACATTTTGAAGATTACGGTGGATATCGGAGTGATACCAAACGGGTGCGGGATTCATGTGAGGGGGCCCCCTCCGGGCTCCGGAGGGGCGGTTGGTTTGGGTTGGGCAGAGATGGGATGGGAAAGGATGTTGATCCCTCGTGTGTGTGTGTGCGCCAATCCTGGGAACCATGGTGTTTGTGCTATTTTTTCCCTTTCCTTTTGTGCTGATACAAAGGTGATAGAGTTTCCGATGAGACGCTGGCGTCTTCCGGCATGCATTGAGTTTGAAGATTTTCCTGTGATTTTTCTTTTTTCTTTCCATTGGAGTTCTTCGCCCTTGTTTTTGAAACTTAGCTGCAACTTACAGACGGATCCACCGCGGCTTTTCTGCTTCCTGCTGCAGGTCTTGCCTTGATGTTGGCCCGGCTGGTTCTGCATTTGCGGTGCTGTGGTGCGCTGCACTGTGGTGTTCTCGGGTGTCTGCCGTAGGGCTCCCCACTGTATCTTACTGATTAGATACCGAAGCTGGCAAGTAAAATCCATGGCCGCCCCCCCAACACCTCCAATAACACCTCCAATAACTCCCCAATAACCCCCAAGCCTTCCGGGAGGGGCGTCAAGTGAGGGGTCGTGCCCTAAACTCAAGGATGCACGATAGAGACGGGAGAGAGTGGCCCGGGGACCATGGAACAAGAACCCCAGCAGCAGGGGTAAAAAAAACACCAACCAGACCCAACCAAACCAAAATATGGGTAACCCCTGTTCCCTGTTCCTGCGAGCAAGAGCGAGACTCGTTCACGCAAACCTCCGTTACGGTGGATTCCGGTGGATGATTCCGGATGGTTCAACCGGAAGAAACTGGAGCAGGATGATCCGTACGGGGGAGCACAGGAAGACACGGCCGACTCCGCGCGAATCGAATCAGAAAAGGTTGGAGTTTTAATGGGCTTTGGACTTAGTGGTAGGGATCAACCAAAAAAAAGCGTCAAATTTGGCATGAGATACGGGTAGTATGTACTCCATATTGCCCTAGCAAAAGCCCGTCAGATCAAAATTAATACCTAGGCTCTATCTGATAGAGCCCAGGAACTGCCGAGCACATGTCCCATCGGATGGCTTAGTCTAACAGTCGCCTAGTCGATTAATTACAGTGCGATCCGCTCCACAAGATCGCAAAGCCCTACGCACCATTCCCAGAGTGGGAGGGGGTAAAATTGATTAATACCGACGAAAACCGTTGGAAGCCCGAGGCTGCGCTAGCGACGCGGGGAAATTCAAAATCGCATGCCTCAGGAGTTTTCCATCCTCGGGCGAATCGGGGAGATGCGAGGCGTGAGACCTGCACCTGCGCCTGCGCCTGCATGCGCATTCCATCCCTCGGAAGTATACGTGAGGGCGATGTGATGCGATGCGATGCGATGATGCGGTGTGACAGGGTGATATACAATCATGGAGAAGCAGAATAATGCAGATAACCATAATAAAATAGGTGAATGTTGCGAACCATGAACCATAAAGAGTAATGGAGACAGGAATTAAGAAATAAAAATATTAAAATAAAAACAAAAATAAAATAAAATAGATCCAATGGAGTTGAGGGTATGATACAGTACGGGCATGCTGATACCTTCCTGGAACAGTTAGGTCGGCTCCAACACGTTCAGAGCGCACTAGGACAATCCTTGGTTTCGGCTCCGTGTTGCTGGGACGAAGAGCAAATAATAGACAGCGTACTCGGGACAATAAGTGGACTTGAGGATAGATGCATACTACGAGTAGAATTGATAGATCTATGAAGATACTTCTATGTGGGAATCACCATCATAAACTTGAAGACAACACAAATAGCAAACAACAAATAGCAAACAATCAGTATTGATTGCGTAAATACCGAGCCCGAATCCCTAAAATAAACCAATCCATGGCTAAACATCTGTGCAACACCCCTGAGAGTCCACCGGTAATACGCGACCCGCAATGCATCTGCCATACACCACCAATACCATACATCCACCTACTTCAGTAGTACTAGTTCCAAGGTTACTAGTACCTACTGTATCCTCTTCTATTCTACTCCGTACTCTTCTAAATATGTCCTCACCCTCTAACATCTAACATCCAACCTCTAACCATCGTTTCGCGCTTATTCCCTTCCCCCCGACTACCATGAAACATCCCCAATCGCTATAGCTTCTTGCCTCATTATTTGGGGCGTTTCCGCTTCAAAATGTTTCCCCAAGCCTCGCCGGCTTGGGACGACGACGGTCACAGTGATCCTCCGTCAACTCGCTCCTCCAACGACCCTCCAGAGCATATGGCTCACGCCCGTTCTCGTTCTACGGCTCACACCCATTCTCCAAAGCGTTTATCAGTCTTCAGCGGCCGCTCCAGAAGCAACACTACCACCTCTACCTCTTCGCGTCTGTCCCCCGGTTCTTCCATGACTTCGGTCGATAGCTCTGTGCCCTCCCAGGACGAGCGTACTTCTTCTTCTCTGGGCATGCGCGAGAAGCCAGACCGCTCTTCTCGTTCATTTCTCGCTCGTGGGAGCCGCATTCTCCGCCGTCAAGGCAGTAAGATCAATATCGTCGCCACGCTGGACGAGGAAGACGAGATGGATAAGTCTCGAGGAGATGGAAATGGCAATGGAAATGGTGGTATGTTTGGCCGCCGCGCCAGACACCAGGAGAATCGTAAGTTTCTTGATGCTCAGCAATGATATTGACAACAACTTCCCTCGTGGCCCCTGGTTGGATGGTCCGTGACCCGTGACCCGGTGACTCGTGACTTGTTCACCTCGTGGCGGGAATGTTAATGTTTATGCAACCTCATCTCACCTCACCACTTACTAACTTGGACTCCAGAGGACCGCCTGAAAAGCATCATTTCCGACCCCTTCGATTTTCATCATCTCACCCATACCAGTCCCGCACAATTCCAATCCATCGACCAGACCCGCGAAAATGATCTCGTCACCGAATTCTCCGTCATTCGTGCCTCCCAGCGACCCGAGGCCGCCCTGAAAGGCATTCGCGCCGATGACATCAACTTCCAAAATCTTTCCGCCGATGATCTGCCATTGCGGGCATTTGGGACCGCAACCACCGTGGATGAGCCTATACCGAGCCCCCCCAGGTTCGCCTGTAGCCGGGGGTTCGAGCCCCAAGGGTCATGCTCGACAGGGATCTCGTGCCCACGAGAACTTCTCGCGCCCTGTGTCGAGATATCCTCGTTCTTGTCCCACTACCCCGCCGCCTCCAATGGCCCCCGAGGTTCCCGCTCGAGGGGGAGCCTGCGCCTCGGGCAATTGATGAGATCCTGGGACTGTCTTCGCAAAAGACATACCCTGAGTATATCGAATCGAACTCGGGGACGCAGCTCCGCTTCAGCCCTGACCCGGCTGAAACCATGACGATGCGAACCGGTACCTCCTCTATGAGCAGCCACAGCCATTACGATCTGGAAGATGTGCCAGAGGAAGAGGAAGCTACTCGCATGTGGGACAGCCCCCCAGCGAGCATTGGATATGGTCGTTCTCGTTCGACCTCTCAAGTTAGCCCGGGTACTATCGTGGAGCCCTCTGGTGTTCCCGTTCCCAAGGGACCTCCCAATGGCCTGTCTATCTTCGTGGCTGAAGAGCTCTCCAGGAAATTCTCCGAAGCGTTGGGCTCGCCAACCCTGCCACAGAACATGCCTAATACCTCGCCCAAGGAGGAAGCCGAATTTGACGCAACACCTCCGTCAGCTCACAGCGGTGTGCGCCAGTTTGCCTCCGAGGATGAGCTATACGATTCGTGGGATGCAGACATCGACTACTGCTACGAGCATGCGGCCGAGTCCACTTCCAACTTCGACTGGTCCCGCACTTCTCTGGATGAACAGCGACCCCAGATTGGAATTGCCTGTAGCGACGAGAGCTGGGGTCTTTCTGCGCCCAAGCCGCGACACCTGCAGCCCAGTCCGCTAAGCACCTCGACCCTCCCCACACCAGACCTGGACCCCAGTCCAGCTCACTCGGCAGTAGCTCACTCGGCAGCCACGCCATCTACCACAGATTACGAACGGGATTTTGTAGTGCGCAGCGCGGGGGACTACTTCCAACCTGTCAGTTCGTCGATCCTGCCATCTGCACTGGGCAAGCAGATCAACCAGGACACGCTGTACGAGGAGTATCTCACCACTGATGCCGAATCCGACCGGCATTACCCCTTCGTTGCGCAAGGCATGATGGCCGAGAACAATCCGGTCTCCCCCCGCAGCAGCTTTCCCCTATCAGCAAGTGTAACTCGCAAGAAAGCTTGATGCTCTCGCGCGCCGCTTCCATCGTCCGCAAACACCGCTCCTCTGTCTCAACGACGAGCGTCCCCGAGCTGATTTACAGCCTCTCCAACAGCCGTGAGCTTATGCCAACGGACCGTCTGACAGCCGCTGAGGCCCTGGCTGCAGGGTCAATCAGTCGCCCGCCTTCTTCCTCTCAACACCGCCAGACCAAGAGTCTCGAGACATCCTTCATGTTCCAGGGTGGTGGTAGCAGCACCAGCCTAGTCAGTGCAGACTCAGCCACCACCCCCTCTACTCTCATCCATGACCGCGCCAAGTCTGTCTCTGAAGTAGACCCGCATCACAAGGCTGAACCGCCTCTTCCTCCTCTCCCACCCATGAACCCTAACCGGAAGAAGTCCCGGAACCCTTCTTACTCTCTTTTCCCCACCGCTGCATAAGCGTCTCTCTACACACACCATGCCCATTTACTCACCCACTCACCCTGACACCCTTTTAACATCTGGTTTCGATATAAACCACCATCTCCTTGTCTGCAATATCTCTCTCACTGTCTCAATTTCCTCACCTGTTTCGTTTCAGGGAAGACGAAATATGTTTTGCATATGGGATCTTCTGGTGTCTTTCGCTCGGATAGAATTTCTTTTTTCTTGTTATCTCACCCTGTTACTGTTTTGTCATTTTCGATATGAGTTACGACCTGTTTCTTTTACCCCCACCTCTCTGTCTTCACTGTGTCTCCAGATGTTTATCTCTGTCTTTTATGTTTGCGTTTCTCTTTATTTGTTGGATCGGATCGGATCGGCCTGGCCTCTTTTGACATGTTCAATCGTTTCTCAATGCATTTCTCAGCGATTGGGTTGGTGTCTGGAGGGAACTATGGAAAATGAAAAAGTATAGGAATGGAATGTCGCTTGGATTGAATGGGTTCCGGTGGTTGCGTGGGTTTAAATCTAGTCTGGTTGGGACTGGATCGGATCGGATCGGACTGGTTTGAATCATTAGGAATCATTCGCTATATACTTTTTTTTTCTTGAACTCGTTTCTCTTTCTTTCAATGTAGATGTTATTTATTCGTTCTGCGTTGTGCTCCGCAAATATTCTCTGTATTTCAAGTCTGCGAGCATGCGAGTCTATCGACATAATATCATGATTTATCACCCTCCATGCTGATGTCTAAACTTGAATCTTCAGGTTCTTAATATCTTTCTCCAACCAACCCCTCCACCCCTCATCGTCCAGAATAAACCTAACCCGCGCCTCAAGCCACTCCGTATTTCCCCAAAATCCCCAAGACGCCTGGAATCGGCACCAGTCCACCAAAGCAGTCTCCCAATGCCGCACAAACAAATCCCAATCGTAAAACCCCGGGTCTTGTTCTTTGTCCCGCAACAACGACGCACGATATCGCTCTAGCAGGAACTTTTCCCAGCACACATATCCAAAGAATCCGGCAGATCTTGATAGTACCCGGACCGTGACCGTGACACTGGGTCTCCTCCACCCAAAAGCATATCCACCGGCACCGAACAAGTAAACAACTTCGCAAGATCACAAACACCAAGCCCAAGACCCACATACTGAAAATCGAAGAAGGCAACATCGTCACCAGACTCCGATGTGAAAAGATTCTCGGACTTCACGTCCCCGTGGATAAGTGACTCCATTGCCCGGCCTTGGGGTGTTAGACACAAAGCTGCTAACTCGGCCGTCGATGATGAGCTTGAGCCTGGTGATTTCGAAAAAGGTTCACAGAATGCCCCCGACCATTCAGAGGAATCGTCCTCGACCAGGGAAGCATATTCCGTCCGCCTTGTTGCAAGATAAGTGTACCCACCATTAAGCCATACATTCCCATTGGCATTTTCCTTTTCATTTTCCCCTTTCTGCACTGCCTTGGCTCGTCGAGCATACTCCTCCAATGGCGGAAGAATATAGCCATCTCTTTTATCCCCACCATCATCTCCACCCACAGACCGAAGTCCAAGCCCCCAAGACCGCGCATGAAAATAACCCAACCACTCCAACGACCCAAAAACCTGAGCCGAAGAAAGAACGCTCCTCTTTCTCCCCGGAAACGGGGTACGTGCTCCGTAAATCAGCCATGAGAATCGCCATACAGCCAGTAAGTTGATCAGGCTCCGAGCCCGACGTCGAGGCAAGACACTTCGCAACGCCTAACCCGTCCAGACCAGGAACGATATGGCGATAAAAGTACTGCTCGACTTCGTAACTGAACATTTTGCGCAGATGGCCTTCGTCGGCCTGTCCTGCAGTGGTAGAGCTTTTCGGTGGCGAGATAAGTTTGAGAATTAATTGAAATGTGTCTCCTGCCTTTGCTTTCGTGAATCCATTTCGCTTGCGATTTGAATTCGAATCCGAGCCGTAGCACAGTTCGTGTAAATGCGTTGCTGCCTCTTCACTGCCTGCTCGCGCGGTCACGGAGCATATCTGTCCGTATCCAGCCCAGAGTCTCTGGATTGTTTTGCAGGATATCAGTGAGCTGTCGTGTTGGGATAGAAGAATGCTGGCGACCCGGGCCGGGTCGGTGTGGGTTGTCATTCTCGTATACTGCGATTGTGATTGTTTGTGGTGGTGGGTTTTTTCTTTCTTTTCTTTAAACTGGATATCTTGTGTCGTGCGCGGAGAGAAGTCAATTCTCTATGCGTGATTCTTATAGTCGTTTTCTCTGCTTTTGATGTTTGTCCCGCGATGCCGAGGGTCACACGAGGATTGGATATATGATGAGGGATGCTGGGTGGGTCTGATGTGATAAAATGTGATGCTTCATACTGAGGAGGGAATCACGTGACAGTGGCTATGTTGGTGGAAAGTTGAAGAAGTTGGTGATTTGCGGGATTGATGAATGTGGATACCTAGGTATGGACTTGGATGTGGAAGGTTTAAGAGATGGGAGGAATAGGGTTCCTATCAAGATTTCTCCTGTGCCTCCAAGGTTTGGGGTAAATTATCATGAGGGGATGTCGACGAGTGCAGCTTTACGTATATGAATCTTCGAGTTTGGCCTCCAAATTGGTTACATCTACTAGGAGTATGATTCAACATGGGGTACAACTTCAATTTTATCTGTGGTAATGGTGAATGTGCCTGCCTTGATGGCTACTCACCTTTCTCGACTTTGTTGCTTGTGCATTGTTGTTGGCAATCCTGACTGGTGTCTTGATCCAAGTCTCCAAGCTACCACCCCCTGTGTTCTAAAAAAAATTGATTAATCTAGCCAAAAATATACTTTCTCTAAAGTTCTTTGCAAATTAAGCGCGAAAGTCTATCTATACAGAAATAACGAGATACTTGGTACGACGAGATGGTGTCGTCTGATGGGGCGGAAAAAGATAAAGTGGAACTCGGGGAGAACAGGAACGCCACCCGATCTCTTAACCGGCCCGACATCAATTTGAAAATGACTTGAATATTTCGCATCTACGCTCTCAAAATAATGCCTAGTGGTATGCCGGTTTCCAGGCCACTATAAAGAAGCACTGGTGGGGTTTCGATACATTGGTGGTCACCAACGGCAAAAGTTATACCCCGCTCATAGAATGCCGTCCTATTGCTTGGTGGCAATTCAGTCAAAACAATCAATCATTTGACCAGTCTTCGAACGATAACACTCAAGCCAGAATGAGTGGTGATAAATATCCTGTTGAAGGACAGAAACTGTCCCCTTCAAAGAGGGACATCCAACTATCTGCCGGCAGCAAGGCCGCTCCCGAGAAAGACGCAGTCGCTCGGGATGAATCAAATGCCAGAGAAGAACCAAATGCCACCGAAACATTGGCATCATCTTCTGGTACATCTTTGATCGATGCATTGTGGTCTCCATTTGGTTCGTTACTGAAAGGCACACCAGACCGGAACAAGAATCAAGAGTCTGGTTCTGACCAGGCATCGGATCAAGATGGGCAATTCCCAGAACAAAGTCAGAGCCCGGAAGCAACGCTTGGTGAGAATTTTGAAGGAGATACCATGGCAAAAAGTGCAGCCAGAACTGGCAACAAAAATGCGACAAAAACAGTTCCAGCTACAACCCCCACGGAGGAAAAGACAGCCCCACCGGAGGCATACTATGCGGCAAACGAAGTGCCGCTGTTCAAGAAACTCCAAAAGAAGCGATTATCAGGGACCCGCACAAAACAACTCCTCCGTGCTGCGTCGCGCGCTCATGACGATCCCCCCCCCGCCGGAGCTGGGAACATGCTGTGGAAGCTCCTGCGATCCGTGCGTGAATGATCTATGGAAAGAAGAGAGAGACGTCTGGAGAGAAAGGTGGGGCGATAGAGCAGTGGAGGGTGACGGGAAGAGGAAAGAACTAGAATGGTGATCTATTTCCACGCTTATAGAACTGATTTATGTGTTGGATTCAAGTTGGTTGTGGCGAGGATACCTTTAGAAATACATTGTACATAGCATGCAGCCAAAATAGAGCTGTCACATTGAATCATGATTGCGAACGGGCATAAACCGAAACCTGAAGAATCATCTTTTGCTTCTCACATCTTCACCGGACCCCGCTTTTCCCCCATGTCCAGCGAAACCTCAAACAACTTTGAATCTTTCTTGTCATCGTGACTCTCAGAAATCGTTCTCAAACCTTTCTTTTCATCCCGTGCATTCGAGACATCCGAAATTTTAATCTGGCTATCCTTTTCCCTCTTCTCTGAAACTGTTATTCCCGTTTCGATGTCTTCCTCGCGCAGTCTCTGGAGAGCTTGCTCCTGTTCCTGTTCATCCTTATCCGTTCGCCGCGTAACCTTGCGCGTCCGAATACACCACGCAACACCGAGAACAGTCGTCAAAAGCCACAAAAGCATATTGATCAAACCAATCCAAACCGCCGCACGCATTCGAGTAATTGATTGAGTAGCCTCGACGTATGGCTGCTGGATATCCGAGTCATGACGAATGTAAATATTGCCAAAGACACCCACTTGCGCCATCCAAAGAACGAACAACACGGTATCCCAAGTTACCCATGCAACATGGACAACCATGAAAAAGCAGTGCACGGCGCAAGTAATAGCAGAGAGAGCCACAACAAATTCGGCGTAAATCCATTCAGTTTGGCCATGTAAATGGTGTTTGCTTGCATGGGTCAGATCCACACCGTATAAAGCTGCGATGACGATGGCGAAGACGAATTGGAGGGTTCGTAAGGTGGCGCGACTGATTACACCGAAGGGGCCTCTGCGATGCCAGTATTGTTCGATTGCTTGGTATTTCCTATTGGCCATGATAGCGGCGAGGAGGGGTAGATGGAGGAATTTGGGAGCGGGCAGCAGAGTGGGAAACGGCCCTTTGATCGAAGACTGGAGTCGAGCTTATATTTAAGTGTTAGCTGTCGAAAGCCAAATATTTAAACATAGAATTTCGTTTTTAAGAATAGAAACAATGCCGGAGTTCCCCCGTTGAGGATCCATGTTTCTTGCTACGATTACGATGGAATTTCCCTTTTAGGGAATTTTTGGCGTATTCGTACCCAGGAAGTGAGTAGACGACCAATGAGCATGCCAGCCCCGTTAAAGGATCGGCATTTGTCGATGGACAACCATCCTCTGGTTCAACTTGAGAAAAAATCACTTGTGAATTGTCAATGTTCATGATTGAGCTGCACTAAAGGACAAAAATCTGTCTGCTGACCGACATGGCAGTCATCGTCTCACAACATGCCATGTCCCGCTTTATCTCAAAAAAAGCTTTCCAGTTGCGTAGAAATCCCTTCTGAAAACCGTAACCAAGTATCATAGCTGAGCTTGCCCCCATCCTGGGCAGCCATAGAGATATACCCTGTAAAGCCAACAGCAACGAGGCAGCCTAGGGCGAGATACCTCTTCGCTGATCTCTTCTCGCTTTTGCGTAAAGTGAAATCAGACCACCGCGGGAAAATAGTGCGGAGCCAATATTTGTACATTGGATCAGGATAGATGAAGGTATTCTTCTTGGTCACCGGGTCCATCCACCAGCTTTGGCAACCACTGTTAAAGACCAGGTGCTGCAGTTTCTCATGAACCCAGGAGAGGTCGCGCCTCTGTGCTTCAGACTTGACCATAATTGAGTCAGTGTTGCCTTTGAGTACAGGGCGCAACAATCGACAGGAGTAATTGATTTGACATTCAGAATGGAATATCACAGAATGCTGCCCGGTCGCGGTGTTGGGTCCATAGAGAATGAAAAAGTTAGGAAAGTCGGACACAACAGTTCCCTTGTAGGCCTCAGCTCCCCCCAACGCGTCCCACACATCGTGAAGGTCCTTACCATCGATACCTCTAATTTTCATGGGAAACAGCCATTTCTGCGTTTGAAACCCAGTGGCGTAGATAATCGCATCTGCTGGGATCCTTTCTGCCTCTCTGGTTTCCACATAGTCTGGGCCAATTTTGACAATAGCACCCTTGGTGAGCAGCATCTGTGGAGAATGCAGGCATTTCAGGTAGGTAGCAGTGTTGACTCGGCGTTTGCAACCAGGCTCGTAGTCCGGCTTGAGAATTTCTCGGTATTTAGCCGGTGCTTCCTCGTCGATGTATGAATAGGTAGCCTCCCTTATCTTTTGTCGCATAGCTGCACCATTGCTGTCCATGTAGAAGGAAAAGAAAGTGCTTTCAAGCTGCCAGGCCAAAATGAAGCGGTAAAGACGCGCGGCTAGCGGCAGGTACTTCAATGTGAACTTGAACGCTTCAGAGTATGTGGGATTTCCCTGTTTCATATTGGTTAGGAAAACGAAGGTAATCAACTCATCGAATATGACTTACTCGCTTTGTCCACCAGTGAGAGCTCCGAACATGTTGCGTCACTCTGCCTTTGGGCCCAACTGACTTCACAAGCTCGGGAACAAACTGCGTAGCTGACGCACCATTGCCCACGACAGTGATTTTCTTCCCGTTGGGTTTGAAGTTGTCATCCCACTCTGCGCTGTGGAACATCTCCCTCGGAAAGAATCGGCGCCCTCAATCGGGGGAATGGCTGGGCGATCTAAGGTTCCAATTGCACTAACGACAACAGGAGCCGTGCGCTTGAAGGTCTCGCCAGAGTTTGTGTTCTCAAAAGTTACGATCCACAGAGAGCGGGAGGCGTCCCATGTCATGTCAGTACATCTAGCATTGAAGCGACAGTGCGGCAGAATGTTGAATCTCTCAGCGACAGAAAAGAAATCTGATACCATGTTAGCGATATTTTTGATCTAGGTGTTCTCGGCGGTCGGGATTGTACTCACAAGCATGGAGCTCATCTCTACCCGGATACATGGTAGTCCAGTCATGCTTCAACGCAAAGCTGTAAGAGTAGAAGTGGCTCGGGATATCACACGCACAAGCGGGATAACGATTGTGCCACCAAGTCCCGCCGACATTGTCTGACTTTTCATAGATAGTGAAGTTACTGTGTCCTAGAAGGCGTTTCAGCTGCACTGCCATTCCAAGACCAGAAATGCCCCCTCCGATGATGATAACTTCTTTCGATCGATCCATAATACCGGATTTGGATATAACTTAAGCTCAAGAATAATTTCAATGAATAGTTGAATTGTTAGTATGCTCTCGCAGTTTTGTGAGCAAGATAAACGAGAGGTTTAAGTATTCTTCATATGTATGAAGTGAATACAGTACAGTGCGCTTAAACCTTCCACTTTCTCTCTATTCTAGTTTGTCTCCTCTCCCTTCGACTCCCCAATGTGGGGACCCCCGGATTGATTGTTTTCTCTGCTAAATAAACCAAATGACTTTGGCTCACATTCTGCGTTAGTTTACGGAGTAGATTTGCGCTCAATCTTGAATGTGGCGAAATTATGGACCCACATTGTCAATTAAGGTACGGCGCTTGCGCTTGCACTTGCACCACAACAGACTCACTGGCAGCCGACCCGCTTGTAAATTTGAAGTCATTCGAATTGATTCCTCATATAACAACCTTGGAAAGGACTCGGAGGCAGGGGTTATGAAAATCATGGAGATGCGATTGTTATAGGGCCCACCTCTAATCCGTCCCGAGGTCACATATATATTTAATTGTTGCTAAAACTATGGTTTCGAAAGTTTCAGATTGCCCTCACTTCTCTAAGACCTAATATACGACTGTGCAAGCGCAAGCGCCGCTGGAGAAAGCCACATGTGGATATAAAATAGTTCCGAATTCAATAAAAGAGGCAGGTATAGGGGGGAAATGACGACAAAGGATCAACCCATAGCCTGCGCCTAGAAGGGAATTGATTCAAAAGAGCTGGCCGACCATGTTGAAGCCAGCTATTGATTCAATCTTCTCTTTACTCAAAAGTCCTCAACACTTAAACGCCCTAGCTGCTCTGAAGTGTGACCCTTCGAACTTCTCCTCTTTCCTCTTCAGCATGGTACTCAAGTCGCCCATTCCACTGGACCAATTGAAATTCAATGTCCCCGTGCGCTATAAGCTGCACGTAGACCGAAAGCTACTGGATATCACGAGGAAGAAACTGGCGTTGTCGCGTTACCCCGAAGAGCAGTCGGACTTTGGCGAAAACAACTGGGCTCAAGGCGCTAATGTATCCCGCGTGAAACAGCTTGCGGAGCACTGGCAAAACAAGTACGACTGGGAGACACAGGAGGTAATAAGTAACCCGAACGGATATAAAATTTGTTCTGAAGCTAAAACGTGATTTGCCAGAATTTGCTCAACGATGCCTTTAATCACTTCATTGTGAAGCTTGATGTCCCTGGATATGGCTCCTTGGTGCTCCACTACACTCATACACGGGCACATAATGACAAAGGAATCCCCCTCTTATTTTCGCATGGCTGGCCAGGGTCATTCGTGGAGGCAATGCGGATCGTTGAGCCATTGAGCAAACCGAAAAATGCCGAAGATCAGGCGTTTCATGTTGTAGCCCCCTCAATTCCCGGGTTCGGCTTCTCCCCGGCACCAGTGAAGTCCGGCGTTGGACCGAATGTAGTCGCTCGCGCCTACAAGATCCTTATGACGGAGGTTTTAGGGTATCAAAAATTTGTTACTCAAGGGGGAGATTTTGGATCATTCATTACTCGTTCTATGGCTATCCAGTATCCGGAGGCAGTCAGAGCTCAGCATTTGAATATGTTCCTGTACCCCCACCAACCATTATCTCGGCACCTGTCGCATATTTACGCTGGTGCTTTTCTGCGTTCACATATTCGGCCTTCGAACATAAAGCCCTTCAGGTGCGAAGAAATTTCGAGCATGATCAAAGTGGTTACCTTGAACAACAAAAGACGAGGCCCCAGACTCTGGGCTTTGCTTTGGGTGATTCGCCGGTCGGTTTGCTGGCCTGGTTCGTGGAGAAGATCCATGACTGGGCCGATGTGCATGATGCATTTAGTGACGATGATATTATCACATTAGTCATGATGCACTGGATTCAGGGAGCGACTCCTGCTCTACGATTCTATAGAGAGGCGTTTGGCCGCGACATGCGCGAAGCTGAGAAGACGTTCGAGTCGTATGTTTCTGCTCCGACAGGCGTTAGCATGTATGCGAAGGAGCAGCTACATGTAAGAAAACAGTCCCTTTGTCTTTTTTTTCCTGGACAATTTTTTTTAAATTATTTCTGCAGTGCCCACGCGACTGGGCTAATCAGGTCGCCAATATCCAGTTTTGGCGTGAATATGAGAAGGGTGGTCACTTCTCATCCTTGGAGCGGCCAGATATTTTCGTGAAAGATGTTCGTGGTTTCTTTTCGTCCCAAACTGTTCTCAAGACATTGGCTTCCTAGCTCGGTGGCTGCTTAGTACAGGATTTACAGAAAACGAATGCCATTATCCTGGCAACTGCCCGAGATATGGATTTCAAATCTTGGGTAGAGATATCTCGGAAGGGGGAAGATCTTTGCCCATATTTGAAAAATTTGCATTCTGCATGAGTCAAATTATAATGATGAATTTGGTATCAATTCAATTTGACAGAAGTTTAGATGTTAGAACCATGAAAATGGTGATGCTTGTAAATGACTAGAGATATCTGAGCAAGGCAACAGGGAACACGATATTTGATGCCTCAGGGATAAAAGCCTCAACATGGTTTATCTGGTCAGTTAGTGCTGATAGCAGTTCTATCATTGAACACACTCTTACTGCGAGTCAAAAGGACATCTACAACAGAACCTCACGCTAAGACGTGAGGGCGGCACTGACTAATCGCGAGAAGCGCTTCCACTTTCCTAATCCGTACATGCGGGTTCCCCTCCGTGATTCTTCATCTTCCATTGACTCCTACCCTTCACCATCCGCAAGACCTCTTTTGACAATTAGTCCACGAAAAATATTGGATAATGCTATTTTTTCGCGGTGATGGCGATATCGTGGAAGCAAAAAGTCACTCTGTTCGAACGAGAACTAGATCCGGATGGTGAGGCCTATCCCTGCGAATTTATGATCAAGATATTGACATGGCTTCATAGTCTTCAGTGCCGTGGCCGGCGTCGAAAGTGTAAGCGTTTCTTGTTTTTCCTGATCATGCAGAGCGTAGCTGATGCATACTAGGCGATGGAAGGCACCCGCGATGCCGTGGCTGTGAAGTACGAGGCCTGACCTGTCTCTGGGGTCTCAAGGCCTCATTCCACCCGTCACGTAACACTAGTTTATCACACCGTGAAGCCAGTGTATTAAGCGGTGTTGAAGAAGGCAGAAGGCGAAGATCAAGCCTGGGCAGGCATCATCAGTTCATAGATGAGACGAAAGAGGTTGTTAATGAATATCGGACAGCTAGGCGTTGCTTAGACGGCCTCGAGCTTACAGACGAAGAGGGACACTCATCTCCCCATTTCTATCACTCATCCCCACCACTAGATACAGGAGACATAAGCATCGCGGACATATTCACCCAGTATAATCAGCGGGTTTCCGATGTTCCAGCAGACCTTCGGAGAACAGGCCATATCTCTCCCATTCTCGAGCCTCAACTTTCCAATCTAGCCTCGACATTCGCAGCTTCGGCGAGACAACCTAATGACCATCCGTTCTTAATTTCCCGAACCAACTCAAACTATCAAACTCCGCAGCCGGTGCCAGAACTTCCAGTCACCGCAAGGGAAAAAATACGACTTATCTCTGCCTATCTGCGAGGTACCGGTACATGGTGCGAGACAACAGATTCTCAGAAGCATTTTACGGTGAAAAGCGTGCATGAAATGATGAAATCACCGCCATTCGCCGCTGCTGCCATATCGCTCGCCTCGCGTCAACTGGATTATCTCCAGGGACAGTCAAGGCCCGTGACATTGGAGCTGTACCAATATACCATCCAGTATCTCCTCTGCCACAACCCTACACAAGCTGACGCTTGTATTTTGGCTACGTGCACCCTTCTTTGCGTATACGAAATGATGGCATCGCCAGTCGAAGAGTGGAGGCGGCACTTAAGAGGCTGCGCAGGGTTTCTTCGGAATAAAAAGTGGAATGGGTCAAGTGATGGTATTGTGAAGGCGAGCTTTTGGGCCTTCGCTCGAATTGGTGAGTGAAATTTCTACGAGTTTCTGGCGCCATTTAACGTTTGGTTTGTCACAGACACATGGGCTGCATTTAATAGTGGCAAAGCTACGTTGATACCGACTGAGTCCTGGGTAAACGACGATTGCATTACTTCAGTTTATGCAAAGGGAGATCTGGATGACTATTGCAATCTAGCAATTTTGATATTTGCAAAAATTGTGAATATTCTTTCTGCTGCCCAGGAGCTTAAGGGAGGGGCAAGAGCCGCTTCCTTGAACGCTTCTCTTTGTTCCCTCTGGGAAGAAATGCAAGAGTGGCGCCAGTTCCGACCAAGAGAAGTTTATCCGCTACTGAGAGATACTAATCCCTCGAAACCTTTCCCAGAAGTCTTGTACTCACAATCTTCTCCCAGTAAGCCTCAATTCTATTCGTGGCCATTCGCATCTAACCTTGTCATTTTAGACTGCGGGAATACATTTTATCACGCCGGCTGCATGCTGCTGCTGCAGGATGGCCTCGTCAAGTATGGGTCAAACTTCGAATACTCTTCAACTATGGGAGAGGACATTGTATGTTGAAACTGAATGTTCCGGCCTTCAATTTTCTTTTGATCTGACAAGCTCCTAGGGTGACGCAATTTGGCACGCCCGAGAATTGATCGGTATTTCTATTTCAAATCATTCCCAGTGAGTTGAAAAAGACTCCCCCCTGTCTATAATCTGAAACGACGGCCAAGCTAATATTTTGCGATGAAGTGCCAACTGGGTAAATCAACTTCAACCCTTATTCATCGCCGGAACAGTATTCGGAAATCCCTCAAATTTAGCCATTCGGAGATGTGAAACGTCTGTATCTCCGGATGGTGAGCCTCTTGATATAGAGAGTCTTGATTCCGATACATTTTGCACTGAAAAGATCGTACTATTGAGGCATCTTGCCAAAATTGAGAGTGAAACAGGGTGGAAAACGTCAGATCGGGCTGCTGAGTTAAGATTACTATGGGGCTTTGCATAATTCAAAGGTTGGCAGGCAGCTCGCGCACTTGATATGTACATAGTAGACCCCTCCACTTTGTTCAGTCATTTCAGGGCACTATCGCCCACTTGTGGACATCAATGATCCATTTTTAGCCACTCGCTCTGTTCTCATGACATCTCGGCACATTCGTCACGACCGCGTCGATAGTCACTCTCACCCCCAAAACCAAGCGCTTCAGTGCGTTTGAAGTAGGGCTCAAGTTAACCATCGTCGTCCTCGGAATCATCGTCCTCATAGAGTCCCTTAGGGCTCAGATCCCAAATAACCGCTATCATCCACGCAAGCCATGCAGGCGGCGGTGGCCATTTCCGCAAATACTCAATACGCTGTGACTCATCGAGGCTTCCTTTTTCTTCCCCCAACCAGTTGAAGAAAAATTCGAAATAGTCTTCGCCAGCACCCATACGCCAGCATATGCTGTATGGATCGGTGTCCTGGAACATGAAATAAGGAGGCGGAACTGCTCCATGTTGAGCGACCAGCTCCGCAATTTTATCCTCAGCGCGTGTCAAGTTGCCCATTATATATGCAACTATAATATATTTATCCGGGCGAGGGCCAAAGTAGAGATGCGATGATATAGCAGTTAGCTTTCTGATTCAACCGAATTTGGGTGACACGCGCTGCGGCACGTTGTGATTCTGAAATGGGCGAAATCAAGAGTTGCGCACATGAGACTGCAACAAGCAGACAGATCAGAAGTGTGGGGGAGACGGCGAATAGGAGCAATTCTTGGGAGTTAGACCATTCTAATAGCGTTCATATCAGCAAAAACTCTGACAGTGGGAGAGATAACAAAGGTTCGCGGTCAACTCACGCGAGGTAGCAAAACCCTTCACTCGTATCTGACCGGAATCCAGCCAAGCACCAATGGGAGAGGCTTGGCGGGGCAATGTAGTGTATGTCACTCGCTATGTTTTTGGCAGTCTCGGTGTTAACATCCCTGAATTATCGTCATTAGACGGTCTATGCTTTTGTATTTCGTTCTATCTTGAATACAAGTAAAATCCAAAGGCGACTCCTGCTGGTTTAGGATCGTTTCCAAGGTTCAAAAATTGTGCAATACGAGTCGTAAGAAAGTCTGCAAAGTATCAATTTCACGATTGAATTATATAAAGCATAATGTTAGCATCTATTATCAAGCATGCTACTGGCTACTAGTGTAGAAGAATGAATCTGAGGAATAAGATGGTGGAGACCTCCTCACAGCTCCCAGTTCCCGATCATTTTGATTAACAGGATAGTACTATAGTATATATTGTGATCCATGGATATCCCATTAAATACCAGACTGGTTGCTAGTACTCCTCCAAATCTCTGCATTGGTAGACATCAGTAGACATAACGGAAATGCAAGAGCTCCTTATCGGTCTTGTCCAAAAGAGCCGCATTTAAGTCCTCAATAGAATCACCAATATTCCCTTGATCCAAGCGATCACGGCGCCTATTTTCCCAGATAAGATAGAATCGCAGACCGATGGGAATACAAAATGTGATTCCGAAGCATATCAGCATTGCCAGAAAGCCTGAGGGGTATGAAGGAGCCTCGTCATCGAAGAATAAATGCGGGCCGATGATATTACCAGTGCAATATCCGATAAAGATCTAGTACTTGTATATCGTATTAGTGTATCTGAATCCGAGTCTCTTGATAGGAATTTTACAGAAGGGGGGATTATGCATACCATTGCATTCACGGTCGTCTTCTTGGTGAAGCCACCAATATTTCCCGTGGACATGGCTAGGGTCAGAGGAAAGTTCACAGAATAGGCATTTGCAAGACAATATCCGAAGAACCGAGCCCAGACATTATTAGGAGATATTTGTCGAGCCATTGCGGCTCCGACGATTGAAAGGCCCGCATTCCAGACCATCCACCATGTTCGGCTATTCTCGAACCAGGAACATCCTGCAGTGGAGAGGTAAACGAGGAGACCTTGGATCACGTATGTTATGATCTGAACAAGTAATGTGTTCAGGGTACTGAAGCCGAATCCTTCGATGATGATGGAGCCAAACTATTAATCTCATTATTAGTCCCCTGGAATGGCATGTACGTTCATCTCGACCTCTCACATTCGACACTCCGCCATTCGGAATAGAGCATGTTAGTTGAATAAGCACAAGAGCCCAGCACTTCAAATCCAGAAGAGCTTCTATAAATTGTTGAAGCTTGAACTCATTGCTTTTTATACCGGTCATATTCTCCTGGACTCGTCGGATGGCCTTGTACCTGTCTTCTTCGCTGAGAAAACGGGCATTTGTTGGGGTATCTGGAAGCCAGTAGAAAAGCACAAAAGACCAGACAATCGTGATTGCCCCAAAGATGAGAAAGACGGCCTAGCACAACCAGTCAGAGGAATGCCAATTTTCAAAAGAAAGTGCGAGTTCACAGGCCTGTCCCAATCGAACTATGCCTTCTTACCTTCCATGGAGCAATGCTTTCCACATGACCGATGCCGTACGCCAGAAGCCCACCAAAAATTCCAGCAATGGTGATCCCCTGAAACCAGATACCATGGCGAAACGGCTGTTCAGATCTCTTATACCACATAGAAACGACAATTCCCAGACCAGGCGCAATAGCAGCTTCAGTCGCACCCAAGAAGAATCGAACAGCAATGAGGCCCTTGTCATTGAATGCCGTCGCCATAAGCATTAGCACGACACCCCAGACAATACTAAGAAACATATCAGCAAATTGCTACCAAAGTAGAAAAGACAGATCAGTTTCGAGCTCACATGGACGTAGAAATCATCTTGCCAACAGGGAAGTGAACTAATAGCAGAGCGGCAACATATGATGCAGCCAGATAGCCAAAATAGTAAATGCTGCTCGCCCAGGAATAGTCCTCGCCCTGGAGATTGAGTTCATCCTGTAAGCCTAGAATAGCCGTGAAACTCATGGCGGATTTGTCTAGAAATTGAAACATATAAGATACAGCCATTATTGGCATAAGACTGCAGTGGACCTGTGGTCAGCGCTGGCCGTTGTAACAAGATACAAGCATGGTATTTTGATATGGCCTACTAGAGATCGATTCGACGTAAAAGTCTTTTGTCCTCTTCTGGAGTAAGAGGGATACCGACATCCCGCTGGGCAGGATCCTTGATGGGTTCGTCCTCAGTTTGTCCCTGGAGCTCAATAGAATGCTTATTGGCCATGATGAATGAATCTCTGGAATCAGCGAAGCCCAATAAGTTTAAATGGCGGCACCGGCACTAGGTTTGGGCTCAGCGTAGAATTTAGAAATCACCCAACGTGAGAGGCAATTTTGTCAACAAGTCAGACCAGAGGGTTAAAAAATTTAACCCAGTAAGCTTCACCTTTATACCCTTTTCCCCGCAATCAAGCACTTGACAAGACACGAGGGTAGCGTTACATGCCAAGCACCTAGCCTACAGTGCATATCCTATAGGAAGCTGGACGCCTTGTCAAAACGAACTGCCAAGTCCTTAGCAATGCCAATTCTACTTGCCAGGACCATGATAAAGATAAGGTAATGCTTGGCGCATAAAAGATCCGAGGACAATGGGAGTCATGCTAAAATCTTCAATTCGCTGCGCGAGGAGCTAATATGGATATGTATCAGAAAAAAAAAGAAGACAACTTGAAGAGTCCCAAATCCATGCATGACGTTCGAGGACTGATGGAGTTAATGCAGATCATGAAAAATCGGTCGTAAACTGTACAACTATGCGCTTCAAACTACCACAAAGCCCACCAAATTCCCCACATCGCAGTAAGCATATATATGCTACCCCAGACTCCAGCCCTTGAAGCCACACTCAGGTAATATGCGGCGCCCAGGTAGCTGCAAGTAACAAGACCGCTCGAATCGCGATATCCATAGGACTCATTCATATACTTTCCCTCCGGACACGCGAATCCCAGAGCCGCGGGACAATTTCGCACGAGATCATGGCAGATGTCCTGGCATGGAAGAACCTCTTTGTAAGGCCCAGGCTTGATCTTCTCGTCGATCAATGCATTGCGTGAGTTATTAGTTGCCTTGGACTTCCGGTAAGGGCTATCGGCTGGTAATGAAGTGCCATTGATGAAGGCTTGTCCAGCATTGCGAACCTTCAGGTATGAAGCGTCGTTGCTGAAGTCTTCGCACCGCGGGATAGTAACGCTACAAAGCCACTGTTTGTAGGACTTGGCGCATTTCTCACAATCCGTGGCCATGGAGAACATGGAATCCTGTGAGGTATTGCACTGAACCTGCTGAAGAGATTTTTCGAAGTTTCCCCAGTATTTGAAGGCGTAGTCGTCGTAGATATCTCTCAAGGCACTGACGTTCATGCTTGGACGAGATGGCACGGCGTAGGCGACCTCATCACAGAAGCTGAGGTTGAATAAGACGGCACAATTGTCATCTAAGTAGGTTAGTTTGACTATGAGGAAAAACAAAACCGCAGATATTGCGTGGGATACGAACCTATCTTGGTCGTGAAATTCATAGCGGTGTAAACCTGACCTCCGCCGCCGACGACTCCTGTGCCTGAATCGGTACCATTGCCATCCATAGCTAGGATTCCGTAGTAGGTAGAATTAGAAGAGAGGCCGTCGAGGTAGAATTGTTCCTTGGGAAAGTTTCCAAGACCCCGGTGTGTCATGCCAACCTCGGTCGAGTTGCTGATGCGGCCGACTTGTGAGAGGTCATTCAATGCACAGTATGAACTTTCCAACCCGACCAGTGCGGTATTATTAATGCTGTGGGCAAATAGGATAAACGGTGGCTTGATGTTCATCCACTGTTGATAATTCGTACTGCTTTTATTGGACTCTGTTAAATTGTTTGTCACTAGCAGTGCGGTAGACTGATCGGCATCGACGAAGAGTAGATTATTGTCCGCTTGAACCGAATGGAATAATTCGTCAACCGAGGCTGCGAGCTGGTAGGAGTACTTTCCAGACCATTTCGATGAGTTGGCTGCTGACACCGCAAGGTAGACGTCACTTTCTGTGTATAAGGTTGTATTAAGATAACCCCCGACCGCTGAGATGGGACCATCAGAATTATTTTTTCCCGGACCCGGCTCTGTCAGAGTGTCTGAAAGTGAGTACCAGAGCTGCAGCTGGGGGAATGATCCAGGGTCGGTTGTCCCATTTGACTCGGGTTTGCCGCACGTCGTGAGAGACAGGAAAATTGGATTTGTGTCACGCTTCCGAAGCTCTTGATGCTCTAGAATAGGGAATTCCTCGTAGCCTCGGGAGTTGATAAACGCGGGCAATCCTTTGCCCTTGTAGGATGATTTCATATTAACCACCGTCTTCGTGATGTAATAGTACTGAATCTCTCCAACCGATATCTCGACATTTTGGAGTTCATTGTTGCCCAGGGCTTTGGCATTGCTCGGGTATTTGCGTCTGAACAAGTCCAACTCCCCACTCTCAGCGGCATTGTCAAGAACCTCGAGTCCGTTGAAAGAACCCAATGCGCCCGGGAAGCCAGTTCCGTCGTCGATGGCTTGTTCGCCTAGGTTTGGCTGTGTCACCACCTCGGGGCCATGACTCTGAATGTCTGCGGCATTGGCGAGAGATGCACTAGAAAATGCAACAAGAAACACAGTGATTGTTGCAGTCAGACAGTGCTGCAAGAGTGTGGATTGGGGTCGCATGGAAGATCGGTATGGGCGGTCGCGACAAGGGTCATGGGGATGGGATCGGAGATGGTCGAAAGCGAGGATCAAGGACGGACAGTGGTATAACACACCAGCTGGAGACCTTTTCCTGAAGGGAGCAGAACCATCGACGGCATGTAGGCAGAGAGTTGTAGGGAGGTTAGAGGTGGAGGTGGAGATGAGAGGTGAGAGGTGGCTATCGCGGAAATTCAGCCTTATCAAATGTTGCTGCCTTGCTGCCTTGGCGGGACTCGTTGGCCTCTCCCACCTGCAACAACATAAACAACGCAAATAAAAAGATTTTGCCATAGAAAAAAGAAAAGGAAGCTGAGTGACGAGGCACAGATTCTCTAGTTGGAGGTTCTGAAAAAATATGAAGAAGAAAGATGAAGCGAAGAGATAAACCCCAATTGGGCGTCTCTTGGTATCCCGTAGATGGTTTCAGTCACCACTATTTATTTGATATATTGCATTATTTAGTAGGTGGCTTAGGTATACGATACTTTGGATTTAATAATGATGGTAGTATTCAAGTGGCTAGCAGTAGTAATAAAGTTTTATATATAATCCGGCTTGTTCCAAGGTTTATAACATGAATGCAAACCTTGGAAGAAGGCGACTAGGTAAGCTAGAGCCTAATACTAACACACACACACATGAGATCCTTGAGTCATGGCCCGAGAGGCAACAGGGCAACAAGGAAATACAGGTACATTCTGATAATAACTTCCCATGCACCCAAAGAGTAATATTTATTCGCTCTTCATTTAGTGGTGGGCTAGTACCCACCCTGGCCGATTGGTTCTTGATATGCGTCGCATTCATAGAATGTTGGATCCGACATTGCACTCCAGGATTCTTTTCCGTCATCAATAGCAGCGCCATTCACATAATCATCCATAGACCAGGACACGTGGTTTCCGAACTTATTATTGAAAAAGATCTCGTGGGAGGGGCCGGTCTCTTCGCTCGGCCAGATGTCGTAATACAGGTGGGCATTGCTATCCTCGCAGCCTGTGATGGCAATTCCCTTGTCACGTATTCCCTTGACTGACACGATTGATTCCCATATATTAGCGTCCTGCTGTGTGAGAACAAAAATAAAAAGACACTACAATATGAACTTACCAGTGGGCTCGCAGACGTTGGTTTCAGTGTTATATTTGGCCACTGTGGCCTTGCCACTGCAGTCAAACACATTGGTGATTGTCATGATGCACTTTTCAGAATCGGTATCGGCTCGCAATTTGATATGGCCAACATCCATTTCATTTTGTGCTGGCCAATTGGTAGGTTCAGCCGGCCCTGTATAGGTTGGGGATGTAGCTGTTGAAGATTTGCTTGGTACAGCGGCTCCTTCAACAGCTACAGCTGCAAGTAAAGGAAAAAACGAAATCTGTTGAAAATGCATAATGAGAAAGACTGTAACCTTGGAAGACAGGTTTGTGGAAACAAGCCAATGCCAGAATCCAGGGATATGACTCTCTTTTATAGTCAGAGAATGGTATCTAATTTTAATCATACAACAGATTTACCTACAGCCATGACCCATTATGGAGTCTGCCTGGGGGCTACGTAAGTAGATTCTTCAAACCCCCAAGGGTCGGCCCCGTCGATTGGGGCGGCCCCTGATTCGCAGCCACCTTCCCCCTTTGATCCGTTTATACAAGGTCTACAGTTAGCTGAGAACAATTTTGATATGTTAAGACGTACCTAGGTACATAATCATTTGCATAGAGTATTTTAGGGTATTTTGAAATTTGGATATACTACTCATGATACTGACATAATGATATAAAACCATTTGGCCCCTAAAATGTTTCTAAAAAAGGGTCCATTGTCGTGTGACAGCCCTCCAGGACTGGTAAATCGAGGTGGGGCCAAAAAAGCTTGGATCGTCATTCGCAGATGTATACCTTGTTAGGTAAAGCGCACATAGTACAGATGCATTCAATTTCTCCACATTACATACTTGTGCAAGCTCTGATAATACCTACTTTTGTTGAATAATTTATGTTTCTATTCATAAATGATCCCATAAGGTCATCTACGGGCGAGCGGTCACCTCCGCCCGAAATCGCGTTCCTCAAAGGATATAACCCTTCGACAAACTCTCAGTGGTGGTATATGTACCTGTGAAGGTATGGGGGTGATTCCCTCTTCCAATATGTGTAGAGGCCAAATGATTAACAGGCCCAAAAAAGAAAAAGATATCGTGGATGAAGACGTGGACACTTTGTAAAAAATAAGCGTTTGTCAACTTTAGGGACGGATGTGCCCAGACTAGATGAACCTGGCATCTTCATCACTACTAGTACCACCAGGTGAACGTAATGAGCGAGTTCTACTGTTTACATAATAGGGGGTACAGGCTCTTGCCTTGGTAGGCTGATTGTGATCTAGTTACCGTTCCGAGAATTTTCTAGGTCCTGTCCCACTAAGAGGTCCCGGATCTTCCTCCAGGGCTAACTTACCTTTAAATAAAAAATATTTGACGATATTCCTCTCTATCCACTCTGCATTGTGGTAACATTGAGCTTCATCTATTTCAATATCGTTGTGTGATTTCAGTAAGCAATATACTTATGATAGGTATTACCAGGTGGTGTCGGGTTGAAAATACCATGTTAGGAGCTGTATACTTCAGGGAAAGTAGGTAGGCTAAATGTAGGCCCCAGTGGAAGGAGGGGATGATAGTTGTACCACAAGTTACTAAAGATATGCCTCCGGTCGGAACGAACCAGCCATCCATGGATGTCTCTGAAGATATATATCTACCGCAGGAAAATGGCGTGCTCTTTCACCATTCATTCGCGTCTATGCACCATTGAGGAAATGCCGGGATGCACTCAACCCATCAAATAGCACGGTATCTTCCTATCTTTTAGTACGACCATTTATCCAAGTTTGATTCTTAATTTTAAGGTCTCGTTGAAAGACCGGACAAAATCACGCTTAGTCGCAAAATTCCAATCCCAACTGTCGACTATCCGCTTGAAAACAACGAATTAAAAAAAAGAAACTAACGATGAGGCGGATACTTTTTACCGGCAAAAAGATAAGAAAATGAGGGGTAGAATGCTAAGTCTCATAGATGAACGCCGGTCCACCACGCTAAAGAATGCTCCGTCCTTGCGCAATCAACATCGGCTATAACAAATAGTCGAGCAATAAGCGGCATGGGGCTATAAAGAAACCTGCTAACCCACCAAGGAATCACAATTTCGACTGGAAATTCTCAAGCTTTCTAAGTGAAATTCGTTGCTATGGCTTCTGACAATATCGAGAAGGAGTCGTCGCCCAGGGTGGTTGGTCTCATCAGCAAACACTCTCACACCTTGGAGAATGAGCACCCCTTTCCCTCGAATAATAATATACACTACGTCAGTCGCAAAGAAGATGGTTCCCTTAAGGAATATGACGAGGATATTATTCCTGGGTATGACGCCAATCTCATGCGTGCGCGGGCAAGTCTCAGTAGTGTCGAAGAGAAAAGGCTACTCCGCAGGATCGATTGGCATTTGATTCCACTTTTGGCTATTATTTATATGCTTAAAAGTGTAGACTTTACCAATGTATGTGAATCGGACCTTATTGGTAATCTTTTACTAACCCGGCTGGGACAGGTCTCTTATGCACGCACAATGGACAAAGGCACTCCTTATAACATCTTAACAGAACTCAAAATGACCTCGGACCAATACAATCTTGTCACAACTATGTACTATGTCTGTGACTTTGCACCAATAAGATAATATGCCCCATTTTTAACCATTCCTTTCTTTAGATACCCTATATCCTTGCAGAGGCACCTTCCAATCTTCTCATCAAAGGTGTAAGGCCATCGGTCTGGCAAGCTAGAATCATGGTGCGTAAGAATCCTGAGGCTCAAAACTCATCAGCTCATGAGAACAGATCTCCTGGGGAATAGTTTTGTGTTGTCATGCAGCTGTGACAAACAGACAAGGTCTATACGCTGTTCGGTTTTTTCTCGGACTCTTCGAAGCGGGGCTTTGGCCAGGAATACTAGTACAACTGTGCTACTGGTATCGCCCTGACGAAATTGCTCCTCGAATCGTTCTGGTCACCATCCTTGGAAATTTCAGCTCCGTTATAAGCGGCCTCCTTGCATTTGCTTTCAACGGTGTTGTTGCCGGTGGTTTGTCAGGATGGAAATGGTATGTTTTAAACCTATGCAAAAGAGAGAGATCAATCGCTAAAAGAGAGAGTGTTAAGGTTAATCCTGACCGAGGGAATATTCACGGTTTTGCTGGGAGCTTTTGTGTATTTCTTCTTGCCAGATTGTAAGGTATTCTTTTCAACCCTCAAACTCCCCAGCTGACTCTCAATCAGTTCCATCTACGTCTTCTTGGCTCTCCGAGAAAGAACAAGCATTTATACAAGCTCGCCTCCCAAGCAACTCACCCCGAGCTGCTGAGAAAAATTTCGACCTGGGAGAATTGATCAAGACTTTGAAAAATAAACGAATTTGGCTTTTCTTACTTTGCTGGGCCTTTTTTACAGTTGGCACTACTGGTCTCACCTTTTACCAGCCAACGGTGATTGCTCAACTTGGCTTCACGTGAGTTCAAACGATACTTATTATGCATCTTACTAACTAGCTGCTAACGCAATCTAAGATCAATCGGCCAAGCACAGCTGTTAAATATTCCATCGGCCATATTTGCAGTAATTCTTACCGTAGCGTTTGGTATCTTTGCAGATTCTGGTCGCATTCCTCAGCCGGCAATACCGTTGGCCTTTATGATTGTCATTGAGGCATGCTACGGCGTGCTTTATGCATACCCCAATAATGGGGGTGTTTATGCAGCTACAATTATAGCCGGAGGATTTTCCACTGCATGGTGAGACATCTCCAGATCTGAAAGTCGACTCGAATTGCCGTGTACTAAAATTAAATAAATAGGTATACAATGATGTGGCCCTGGCGAGTTCAATCAACCGAGGGGGCAACAGGATCTGCTTTTGCAATCGCATTTGCAAATAGCTACGGCCAGATTGGTGGCGCAGTAGGATCGCAACTATTCAATTCGAGATATGCCCCGCGATATACCACCTCCTTTGGAATTGCGATGGGTTTTGTCGGCATGGCGATCATTATGAATATCATTACTTGGGGCTATACATGGAGAATAGACGTGGATACGCGGAAGTTGAAGAGAGTGAGGCTCGCGGCGGCAAAGCAGAACCAAGCGGTTTTGGATGATGTCGATATCCATGCCGGGCAGAAAAGACAGTAAAAGAAGCAAGATCTTGATAATGGGAGTTGAAGGCAAGTTGCACTAATCCCAGCTATGGAGCAGTTTGAAGTGGTTTATTTGATACTTTGACGAGTTAAGTGTTAAAATACGGAGTAGAGTTGTCCTTTTATCTCAGGTGTCTACGGGTCTGATTGAAATTGAAGGTAAATATATGCTTTCTTCTAACCCCCCTTTCCATTGCGTTTATGTTTCCCCCCTCTTTTCTTGAAATTTTCAATCTTTGATCTTTGTTTTCTGCCTTTTCTTCCGTTTCCCTCAATTTCCTGCGGTTTTTCAACATGCGTGAGATGAGAAGGGGTTGGTGATGGCGGCTTGACCCCCAACCATCGGCTCCAACCGGGATTGTCACATCCATGAAGATTCAGACTCGCCTCCTCAACATCCGATTTAGCTTTGATCAAAAGGTTGTATCGTTCCTTGTAACCTGTTCCCGTGCTGGTTTAGGGTAGTCAGCCAAGCTGCAGGCTACATCAATAAAGCCTGATTGATTTTCTGAAGTCGAGAAGAATTCGTAATCCTAATTATCTGACACACAGACTCAAACTAGTGGCCTTTGCTATCACAGCTAAACTTAATTCGAGGCTGCAACAGCCAACAGGCGACTGGAATTTTGGCTCTAGCGTTGTATAATATCTTTCACGCCCGCATTCGATTTTCTTGCTGCCGGAACTGGAGCCTCTGCATAGTATGATAAATGTAAGCGCAATATGATTTAATATAATTTATATAATTTGCCGAGAGACACGAACATAGTGGAATATGTGTAAGATCAAAAGACTATCTTGGTTCAAAGGAACTATTTATAGCGGTGTTGACTGACTAAGCCTGTGCGACGTGAGGTGATGACGAAAGGAGCTGGGGATGATAGGTTTAGATTGATATGACAAAGGATGGAGGCTAATATAGGCTAGTTAACTGGAGCTGCCTAAGGTATCACAAACTCAACATGAGGTTCTGAGCTTACTGTTCCAAAGTTCATTGTCAAACCAAATCGTCCTAGTATTATGGATTCATAACAAGCCATACCGCGTAGTTGAATTAGAGAAAAAGACCCCTGAGATTGCTCAGCCGATCACAACACCTTTAAGTAATCATCTGATTTTATTGGACTATGTTCAGTACTAACTAAATAGCCAGTACACCAATTCCTCATCCTGACCAAACACGCTCTAGTTCACCATAGTACCTGACAGGCACTATATATAGTAGGTAGGAATTCGCCCCCGGCGTCTGAAGATACTACGGTTATCTCCGCCCAGGCGTGGACCACCACAGCCATCACAAGTACTATACATGTACAAAATAGCGGTTCCTTCCCTTCTCGACCACAAGCACCAACTTATTCCTTAACCTTATTGTAGCGGTAAGGCTTGGCCGTGTAACTGCCAACCTTCCAACCAACAGGGCGCTTGTACGCGACACAGCCGTAGGTACCGCGGCACTCAAGCGTATTGTACTCCTTCTTGGAACTGTCGGCCCATGACTTAAACAGAGTGACGTGGCCAGCAGCACCACCAGTACCGGAGCCAAGGGTGCCAACAAAATCACCAGGTTGGATGTCGTCCCAAGAGATAGCTTTCGCAATCTCCGGGAGACTGACAGTGCTGAGGCCTGGAGAAGAAGCATGGAGAGCCATACTAACAAAGCCCGAGCAGTCCGTGCGGTATTTGCGGCCATCAGGGTCCGGGTAATAGGCGCTCATAGAATATGGGACGTGGCGTGAGACCCAGTATTCACCGCGAGAGAGGATCTCTTTGCGGCTGATCTCGCCCTGATAGGATGAGCTGCCATCGCCAGAGCTGCCGCCGCCACAATCCTTCTCTACCATGCTATCCGAGCCAGTCTTCACATAGAAGTCGGAAACATAGCAGCCGTCAGAGGTCTTGTCCCAGATGGAGTTGCCTTGAATGTTTTCACCATAAGTCTGGCAGCTGATCTTGACATCGACACCCTTGTCGTATGTAGTGACAACAGCATCATTTGTCGAGGCACCTTTGCGACAATTCACATCGTCGGTAGTGATCTTGTATGCGTTGGCCATAGAGAAAGCCGCGGCTAGGGCCAGAGCCAAGTTGTTGAGCTGCATAATGGCGCACAGAGTCAATTATGTAAATTCTGCGTATTGGTGCTTCTTCGGTGGGAGTTGTTGTGTTTTGAGACCGTATTTCCTTTTGATTATCATAGGAGATGGTGGAGTTTTGACTGGATTGAAGCTTGTAACTAGAATATTGTGAATCAAGCAGGAATTGGATACTTACTTATACTTTGACTGATGTGCAAATCCTCACCACATGCTCATCGCCGAGGCAAATTTGTCTAAAATTAGTGCTAGCAACGATATTTACGAACGCCGAGAATTTGTTTTCACGCTAAAGAAGGTGCTGTGGACGATGGGAAAGAACGCATTTGAGTTGATTTCCCCATAATTTGAAAATTTATCCACGAAAAGCTCGTAATTAGACTTTCTCGATCTCGTTTTCTCATGATACGAGGAAGATGCTGAATATCGATCCTACCCTGGGGCCAAACCGCTTGAGTGAAATAATCGGAGTAAAGACGATGTGAGGTTCAAAAACTCCGGATACGCTGCTAAAAATAGTCCCGTTTCTATACGAGCCACATGGATGATCGGCAGGGTCTAATCAAAATCCGAGATTGCTTGGCAGGAGCACGAAAGATCGAAAAGCCACTGCAATCTTGAGAAATGAAACAAACATGATGTAATAAGTATTTGTCGGTGCCGCTAATAAAATTAATGTTTCTTCACTCGAGCTTCGCGCTAGACGAGTTGCATCGGCGATCGGCGGAGCTATACCACAAAAAGTGGCAACCCGCGAAGAAAATATGTCGGATGGAAGCTGTCCGGCGCAAGTTCGATTTCCGGAAGATCTGCTGTTCCTGAAAAATACTCTACTCCGTCTTTGCCCATGTAATGGCTAGCGGAACGCAGGGAACCGTCAGAATTCTACCAGCACCGATACTATCCTACTGCCCAGGTGTAGCATTTTTGAGAATAAAGCTCGTCGCTTGAAAAACATTCGTATAAAATCAGCCTTATACGTAAACTATCGCAAAAAGTCAGGTGAGGCTAATTCAAGTTGTTTTCTGAGCGATATTATAGTATATCCATCTCGTAACAATATCAAACGCCGCATAGTGCCTCAACGCGAACACATTGGGAGTTCCTCCTAACACCCAGTAAATCTCGTCCGTTTTGCATGGTCTTTCGATTGCAACGATCATGCATGTACGGCTAGAAATGTCTCCGGGGTAGGGTCTGAGACAATTAGAATTGTGCTCCAAGGTTGTGATATAAAGAAGGATGTCCTGTTGAACATAAATCACTGTTCCCCCAACGGCCACACTGAAAAAAGGAGATATATCCCAATCCCTAGCAAATACATAGCAAATGGACATTGGACCCCTAAAATTTCTTATACCCGACATCCTTAACGAATGTCTGATGCCAAGGACCCTGTGATATTACTTCAGAAAGCTGAAAATAAAATTTGGCGTGGGCATCTCCGCTAATTCCTCGGCCAACATTTGAGCCGTCGGCCTTTCTTTCATCTGCGTAGTAGAATCTATAATACTTTAGAACTTTTGCCCCTTCACGTAGATTATGTTAGCTTACTGATACCCCCGACCAACATAAGCTTCTGCTGCGACTTGGATAAAGTGAGCAGAGGCAGATTTTCCAACCCCCAGACTGAGGAATGGGGCAATGGCTGTAGTATTTAAGACGTTTCCGGTGTATATGAAAGTTTTCGATGCAGACTCCGGAAGTTGTTCAAATCCCGAAGCTGCATACTTCGCAGCTGCCAGGGCACTCGTTGTATTGATGACAAGGTCCCGATTGAAGTCGCTGACAGATATCGAAAGCGGATCTTCGGCATCAGTTATAGTCAAGGCAGCAGCTAAAATGGTATACTAGTGAGTTCCGTTCGACAGTTCAAGCCTCCAAAAAAGTCTCACCATTGTAAACAACAACGCTTGGAATACCGAGCGCTGCTTCGACCTTTGAGAAAATTTCAGGCACAGAGTCCGGATCCGACAAATCCGCTGCGATGTTGATTTGATTTTCATTATCTTGTCCAGTCACATTTCGAGACACAAGTGCAGTCTTGTAGCCATTGGTAGAGAATTCGTCAGCTACATGCTGCCCAACATTGGGCCCAGCACCAAGGATTAAAATAACTGGAGATACGTTTGACATGTTGGTCGTAATATAACGATTGAGTCTTCTGATTCTATTTCAAGGAGTGTGAAGCGTATCATACTATTTATCTTTATGCTAGTTACGCTGATTTATAATAAAAATGTCATCTGACAAATTCCCGGGGCGAACGGGGCCCGAAAGCGTAATAGGATTAGCTGGGGTAAGCACTAGAACATATGACTAATAACGCCTGCATATTCATCATCCATCACGACTTATTTTGCACTGGGAGGGGATTCTATAATATCCATGCGGTCTTAACGTAATTTATTGGGTGAGTGCGATCAATGCCTAGGCATAGAGTATATAAGAAGAGTATTGGCGGTCAAACTAGCTGCAGCACGGATCTTGCCATCAGAATCTTTGAAGCTGCAACGATCTGCATTCCAACCAATCTTTCGATCACACGAATAACCCAGCCATGGGAATTATCCTTGACAGTCGCACAAACTTCTCAGGGAGGACAATCTAGCTCAGCGAGGTACCTTATTATTGCGCCTTGCTCCTCAGTTAAATCGGCAAAATGACAGATGATGTAAAACGTCATCCAGTTTCACAACATTCGTCTTGTCGTATGAGGGCTAATACTGCATGTACTCTGCATCTCCTGTGGCCTGAAAAATGAGCCCGGGTTCATTCTCTCGCGCAACAAGGAGTGACGAATGGAGTGGCTCTTCTTGACACTGAACATCCTGCGCCAGAGACAGAATAAGTCTAGGAATTATCAGATGCAGTCCATTTCTGTGTGTCCTTTCTACGGCTGGAGGTGTATACATTGATCTCGCACACCTCCTGAAGCAAATAGTCGTTATTGGAGTCGTCGAATTTTCACGATCGCCAAATACAACGCCTGTTCAAAGAAGGGGCTCAATATTTTCGTGGAGATAAACCTGGCCTTCTCCTTTTCGTCCTTGCTTATTGCGGGGGTCTGAGCGGAGCCGCATGACACCAATTAGGGAAATACGTGCGAGGCCAACGCAAGACTCAGTGAACGTGTCTACATATAATCATGCTATATGCAAAAGGAAGCCTTGCAGCTTCATCCGTTCCAAGGTTATATTTATACTTATTTAGTCACACCTATTACCCCGGTTGAGATAGATGAGGCTGAATCCACTGACCGGCCCCTTGGAAACTAGCCGCAGCCGTCATAGTGCGCCAGGCAACCCAGTCTCCAAATTAACAGAGCATCCATGCTTATTAGGAGTTGCAGGCTGCTGCAGACTGGAAACACGGCAAAATCCAATGAAGGCACTCTCATTAGATGCCTTGTTCAAAGTGGTTATTGTTTCAGGATACACCGCCAAATCTGAATCATATAAAAGCCTCCCAAGTGACAGTCAAGCCTCATAGCTCACGGTGTCATATTTGTTTCACTAGAGATGTCCCCGACTTTAATCGATCTGCCATCTGAGATCCTTATCCTCATTATACAATATGTTCTACAAGATCCTCCGCTTCCGCCTGTAGAGCCATGCGAGACCAACCGAATCGTCTTCAAAGACATGAGAGGACAGGCATGGCAAGGCGGCTGTGGAAAGGTCTTCCACGAACAACGTTTTTTGCATGCGCTTTCCGGTCGCCTACCCTTGCTTTTGACGAATCGTCAACTTTCCATTATGACAAAGTGGGTCTGGGGGCGATTTGATAAGGACCACGTCCTAGACATCGCTCTTCGCGACGATCTAGACCTTTTCCCGACCTGGGTATGCATCCCGGCTAAAACAAATCGAATCAAGGTTCTAGCGGTAGACATTCGTCTAATGGGGCATGTCATTTCTCCAGACAAGGCCAGGAGACAGACCAGGGACGACGGATCGAGGGGATTTCATTGGAGCTTTTACAGACTTCTAGAAAGGTTCTTGTGTTATGGTGCTGCTGGTGAAATGAGAGATGCTGAGACTCAAGAGGACGACACAAGCCTTACATCTACTACTTCTTTATCGGAAACATACCCTGAGCCGACTTACGAGGATCGCGATGTCACTGTACAAACACTCGTCATCGATGTTACATCTGCGGCTACAGGGTTTCAATTCCCACCGGATGACCCTGACAATATATGGAACTTGCGGTGGTTTCATCAACATAGGGGCGAGATTTACGATGGACTGGATGGCTACGCAACACGACCTGAGTGGGTGGCAGGAACGCTTGCCAGGAAGCTTTCCCAGCTTCTTTCAATGACCTACCACACGGCTCAACATGGACAAATTATGTATGAAAGGGTCGGAAAAATTCATCTTCTTGTCAATGGTAAAGTGAGGTGGGAGTTCAATCTTTCAAAGAAGCTTCGTGAGTTGCACTTTGAAAATCCTAATGATACATTTGGGAATCTAGACACCCGTGATAGGATTGACTTTTTCCAACGGTGGAAGGAGGATACACTTCAACGACGACAGGATCTAGGACTTTCAGATTAGTTGAAGGAGGTACCAAACTGAGGAAGAATCAAATAATAAATCAGAAATAAAGGAAGGAAAGAAGCGTCACTAAATGCACAAAATTAAAGGTGGGCGCTCCAGCTTAGACCCCAAACTACATAGTCCCGGTAATTCCGCCGCTAACTGAAATAAACTGTGCAGTGATCCACCGGCTCTTTTCTGATACTAGCAGAAGCGTAGCATCGGCCAAGTCCTCCACTGACCCAAGGCGATTCGCAGCGCGCGTCTGTTCATACATAGCAAGCTGAAGCGCAGTTGGAGACCCATCGTCGGCCACCAGATACGATTTTGACATATCTGTTGGAATCGGCCCGGGTGCGAGTGTATTGACGGTGATCCCATGGCTCTTCCCAAGCTTTTCGGTATTTGTCAGATAATTGTCGAGCGTGGATGATAGGAAAGCACGAAAGAAAGCTTACCTCGCCAGCCCAAAAAGTTGTCAGAGCGTCCATTGCAGCTTTAGCCGCACCGTACACAGGAGGTGGGACCAAAAGTTTCGAAGCGATGGAGCCGATGTTCACGATGCGGCCGCCTGGAGGCATTCGACCTACACCAACAACAGCTTGTGTCATGTAAATCACGCCGAAGACGTTGACGGCGAATTCATATTCGAGCTGCTCTTTTTCGACGTCCAAGAGGGGTGTGTTTTGTGCAGCCGCTGCGTTGTTGACTGGAATAAATAGTTGATCAGTCTCGTCCAAATTCATGAAAAGAATATCACGCCGCCCATAACATACCCAGAATATCGATGTGATCGACGCCGAGTGCTTTCAGGATTTGCTCAACCATGGCCTTCGCAGAATCGTAATTTTCCACTCCTCCTTGCACGACGGTTGTCTTGGTGCCAAACTCTTCATTGATGTCAAGCGCTACCTTCTCAGCCCGCGCCTTTGAGCTTTCTGACACATAGTGAATTGCCACAGACGCCCCGTTCCTGGCCAAAGCTCTGGCAATGGCGGCACCGATGCCAGTCTCCCTGCCAGAACCTGTAACCAAGGCAGTCTTTCCTGCAAGTGAGAGTGTATCGGCCGGCATATTGAGAAAATTGGTAAATAAACCTATTGAAGCAAATGTTCACACAACTACTAGCACTAGTTTTGAGCTCAGAGTCGGACTGGCAAGAACCTTAGCTATGTTTCATAAAGATATAAACCTTGGAATATGACAGAGTTCACCTAGGCATATATATACCTGCTACTGGTAAAATTTATTTTTGATACAATAAAACAGGCGCTATTATAAATCATCAAGTTATGAAAGCTTGGAAAACAAAACTGTCCTATCTTTTAGCATTGAGGCCCCCGCTCCTGTTGATTATGAATGTCGCGCCCGGGCTCGATTGTCGCCGAATCCCGCATTGATGACCAACGACCAATGATGTGATACGTGCAAATCCTATTCCCCGCCCTGAGTTTATTTCTGTTTGCATCGTAGTTTGTGCTGTTTGAGTTGACTACTAAGGACCAATCAACGTTCCTTGTGAGGTCCAGTTGGTCTAACTGCATAGTAGTCCATTGTTTGTGTTGATAACCAAGTTCTAATCAACGCTGATAGAAATCAGAAGAGAATCAGCTCTTAAGATTACCAAGCTTTCGGTCTTCGCGGGTGCCGAAATGGATAATTAATGTTCTGATGTTTCCTACATTGGAGTATACCGTAGCATTTAAGCAGACCAAGCCTCGATGCCTGTAGTCTCTATATCGAACATTCTTTCTCCCGATCCATCAAGCATTCACATAATCGCCATGTCTCTCAAACCCCTCACTCTCTGGACCCTTCGGGGTCACGCTGGCACGCCTAACCCCTGGAAGGTTCTCATGATCCTGGAAGAGCTCCAGGTTCCCTACGAGCCTAAGCTGGTCGATACCACCGACCTAAAGAAGGAACCCTACGAATCTATCAATCCCAACGGTCGTGTTCCTGCCCTCGAAGACCCTAATAGCGGAATTACCATCTGGGAATCCGGTGCCATCCTTGAGTATCTAGTGGACACATACGACAAGCAACATACCATCAGTTTCACTGCCGGTTCAAAGGAGTACTACGAAAGCAAGCAGTGGCTACACTACCAGGTATCCGGCCAAGGACCATACTTCGGGCAGGCCACCTGGTTTACAATATACCACCCTGAGAAGGTACCCAGTGCAGTCGATCGCTATGTTAACGAGATCCGTCGTGTTTTGGGCGTGCTCAACCGATCGCTTCAGAACAAGGAGTACCTCGTTGGTGGAAAGTATAGCTATGTCGATGCTGCTTTTGTGCCGTGGTTTGAGGTGGCTGCGCTCTTCTGGTCGAGCGAAATGGATCTCGAGAAGAGTTTCCCACATGTTAATTCCTGGTTGAATCGTGTTAAGGCTCGCCCGGCTATTGCCAAGACCATTGAGGATAACTTGAAGGCGAAGGTTGCGGCTGCGGAAGGGAAATAATGCAATGTGTTATGTAATCTATGTAAAGAAGCAATATATTGCTAAATGACAGGGGTACTCCTGAAAATTGCCCAATATAAACTAATAGGATTGTGTCTCGGTGTTGTAGCTGAAGAAGTACTTCAAGAGTATAAGTAGCCGCACCAGTTTAGGGACATACTGTTTGTGAATTTCCTGTTTGATTCTTTTCTGTGATGTATTTTGGAACAGGTCGCATTTAGAAATGATGGTTTGTACTAGGAGAGAGCCCATGCTAAGGTATAATTTAAATCTGCCACGATCCAGGCCAACCTTGCAATTAACCACTCCGCTTTGAAAGATGATAATTGACATCAACCAAAGCTCCAAATCATTCCTCACAACATAAATAAACTCACCCAGTAACTAAGAGACCCGAATCCACCCGCCACCAATTCAAGTTCTCAACATTGAAATCACCGTGCCAAAGCCGCAGAAATGAGCCTCTTAAACCCCCGAACCGCCTCTTCAATCTCACCAACCGTAATCGCCTCATCCTCCGAATGAGCAACATGAATACTCCCCGGCCCATACAAATACCGACGAACCTTATGCCCCCCTTCCCCTTCTCCAATCTTCAAAGAAAAAGCATCAGTCCCATAATTAACAGTAATAACTTCAAAACCATCAACATCCGTATCAAAAAACTGCGGCAATGATCCCCCTTCAAAACTAAGCTCGATACCAGCACCAGCGTCATCTGAGCCATCCCCATTACCATAAGCCTTCAGCTGAGCGTTACCCGTCGCCTTCCCCTCCTCAACAGCCCTCTCAATAATCCCCCTCGTATCCTCCACCGAGCCCGCCGCAAGACGAATCTTAACGCCCGCCTCCGCAAACGCAGGAACAACATTCCCCGCAACACCACCAGTAAAAACGCCAATATTAAGCGTTGATTTGCCCAACTCGTCACTCCGTAATAATCCCCCTTCTTCCGGGGCCCGATCTTCAAGGCCATCCAATACGGACAGCACGGGCAGAAGTGAAGATATCGCACTCCTTCCAAGCCATGGATATCCCGAATGCGCGGCTTTTCCGGTAGCTGTGAGTTTGAATCCGAATGTGCCTTTGTGGCCGGATACGAGGTTTAAATCTGTTGGTTCGCCGAATATTATTGTTTTGAAAATTGGGGGCGTTGGGTTGAGGTCTGAGGATGAGAAGAACTTCATTCCTGCGCCGGTGTTTTCTTCGCCGACTGTTAATAAGAGGCCTAGTGAACCGGGGGCGGAGGTGGTGGGGTTCTGATTCTCCTTCAGAGTTTCGAGCAAGGCGAAGATTATTGCTGCGACGCTGGCTTTTGCGTCGACTGTGCCGCGGCCTGCGATTTGGAGGTCGGTTCTGTTGAATTTAAATGGGGATGTGGTTGTTGTCGGTGCGTGCAGGGAGTATGGGATATAAGGCGGTACAGTGTCGATATGACTAGTCAATAGAATATCGACGTGTCGTATTTCACCGGTGTAGGCGTATATATTGAATCGTTCATCTTGGCCTTCTGTGCCTGGAGAGACGATTTGTTTCTCCGTGGTGAAGTTGTGCGCAGAGAGGAAGTCTAGTATGAAGTCGCCGACTGATTTCTCGTTGTCGCTTATCGAGGGGATTTGGACGATGGATCGGTGGAAAGAGAGGAGTGGGGAGGATGAGATTATTGAGTTTAGATGCTCGTGTTCTTCGGTGGATGATTCATGTTCAAGTCTAAGGTCCTGGGGGGAAACTTGAACATCATGATGGTCTCCGAGTCCGAGTCCTGCTTGTATGGGCTGTTGGAGAGCTGATGACTGGACGGAGATACTGAGGATTGTGGGTATGAAGAGATATGATGTTCTCATGGTTGTCTAGACTTTTGAATTGGATTGTTGGTCAGGAAGATGGTATCTCAGGCAGGTGGTTGAAATTGTTGATAGTGCTTAAATGTGAAATAGCAGGGGGTCGGAGGTGAGGGGAAACGATCTGATCATCCCTCCCCGCAATGGCGTATACTCGATAGCGAAGGGTGCGAGGTAGGTCATCTCACATACCCAAGGGCTCAGATATAAACGAGACTATTCTTTGGACCAACTACTATAATTCCAAGAAGAAATTTGATGTGAGAGATTGTATTTCAAGTATACAAATGCTGCGCTACACTAAGCAAAACATAATAGCAACTCTCAAAAGACCAAACCCAACCACTAGCAAGGTACCATATATCAACACTCGCCCGAAGCAAAGAAAAAAAAATTCACAGAAGAATCGAAAGCCGAAAGGCAAAGTGGAGCTAAGCCAAACCAGTAGCGCAACAACGACCAGCGCAAGCACTAGCCAGCAAATAACAAAACAAAGAGACAAGAAAGGAAAGACAGCAAAGTGCAAACAGAAGCCAGCACAAAAGTCTGGGGACACCAATCAAACCAGTTTCTGCCACCTCGCCAAAGCAATACTAACAACAACAATAACTCCCATTACACCCAGGATACCAAAGAACCATTCCAACCCCTGATGGTGCATACCGGGGACTTCGACATTCATACCAAAGAGACCGCAAATCAAATTCATCGGAACAAGAATCGTCGCGATGAGAGTAACCTTGCTCAGAACCTTATTGACATGGTTACCAAGCACCAGATTCGTAACGTTAAGTTGAGCAAGGTAATTCGTATGCGAACGACTGAGCATCTTCTCAAAATGACTCAAGTTGGACATCATGGTAACCACGTGATCTTGAATATCACCCAGGTAAAGACCGATATCGCCACGCGGAGTGACGGAGTACTGCTCATTACAGCGCTTCGAGAATCCGCGGATAACGTCTGCTTTGCCGCCGAGCAGACGCATGAGTGACATGACCTTTTTGCGTAGACCGCCGATGCGCGGGAGGAAGGATTCGAAGTCGTCGACTCGGGCGATGAAAACGTGGTCTTCAATTGCTTCGGATTCAAGCTCGACGTCTCGAATTACCGGGCCGAAACTATCGACTATGTCGTCGATCATGGCGTAACAGATCCAGTCGCTTGATAGTGAGACGTAATCGCGGAGTTTTCCGATACGTTTGCGCACGTTTGAGGCGTGCGGGTTATCGACGAAGGAGAATGTTAATACACCGTCGCGGAAAACAACCATGTAGTAATTGACCGGCTCCATGAATTCCTCGCTGGTCTTGTCCATTTGGTAGAAGGTGCGGAAACAGACGAAGTAGTACTGCTTAAAGAGCTCGACCTTCTCACGGGCTTCCTGGGTCAAAATATCCTCGGTCGTCAAAGGGTGAATTGAGAAAGCACGAGAGATGGCTCCAAGCTCCTCCTCCGTGGGGTTGACTACGTCAAGCCACCACACACCTCCGTCGGGACCGAGCTGGAAAAGGTCCCGGAAGGTATCGCCTGGGAACACCAGATCTCCCAGTTCGGCGGCATGCACTGTACTCTGAGACTCGGATGAGAAGAATCCGAAGCGAGTGGGCTCGTTGATATTGGGCAGCGTTTCCACCAGTTCCTGCTCGTCTAGCACGGTGCTGATGCGCTTGAGCGCATTTTCGTCAACCTCGCAGGTGTCGGATGAATCGGTCGAGTCCGACTTCTGGAATTCCTCCACGCTGGCTCCCTTGGCACCTTGTCGGAGATCGTAGAAGATACGAGGCTTCTTGCTCTGCGAGCTCAGGCTGTGCTTGCGGCGATTGCCGGCGGCAGCTTTGCTCTTTTGGTTCAAAGCCACGAACTCCTCGAGTTCTTCGTAGTCGATCACGGGGATACGGCCGGGTTCGTCGTATGTGTGCACGGCGACATCGTCGCTGGAATCAAGTGGCACGTCACCAAGTTGAGGTCGAATGGCACTGGCATTGCTGAACGTAGGACGCCGCGGATGGGTACCACCTGAGACGGTCCGCTGCAGCATAGCCTCCAGGTCAGGCGGACCATGGCTGTCCAAGGTGTTTGCACGTTCACGACGGCGTGGATCGGCAAAGGCCTCCACAGAGTTGGGCGGGGAGGAAGACCGGGCGGACACGGACGAAGCTCGGGAAACATTGGCGAGATCCTTCTGAGTGCAGCTTATGCGACGGGGGGTGTGGAAATTGGCATTGGGGTCTACCGAGAAACGGCGGCCCATGCCGGCCATTTCATTGACGGTTCGCTCATCGTCGACGATGGCTTGTTCGAAGTCTCGGAAGACGGGGCCCGCGTCTCGGAGGGCATCTTGCGCTTGAAGGAAATCGGATCGGCCAGGGGTCATGGTCTCTCCCTTTGGGCCGAGATTGGCGGTATCCTGCCGAGTCAACGGTGGCTCCATCGGGGCCTCGATACGGGGGGTATCCATTTGGTGGTGGCGGTGATCATCGAGCTCCGGAACCGGGGTGCTGTACCGGGTGAGGTACAGCTCCTTTTCGGAATGGGGAGTGTCAGACATTTTGAAAGGGGGGAGAGGTTAGGATCGATTAAGCCGATTAAGCCGATTAAACCGATTTAGACCGATTAGAAAGCGCCAGACTAGCTGGAAGCAGACTTTTTTTTGTTTGGTTGTTTGGAGTTTTGATTTTGGAGTTGTCCCGCGGGAAATTTCTGGTGTAGAAGAAATGATATGGTCAAATGCTTACTGGCAGCAGCACGACATCTGCAGACGCAAGCCGGCAAAAGAGGGACGATTATGGTCGACGGCCCTCCATCCACGTATCAGACCCTTCACGAGGGTCTGAAGTTACCGACACACGTCTGGCTGCCACAGTTTTTGGGAGTGGGAGTAGGCACAGTTAGGGGGGTCTGGTGTCGCCCCCGCAGAAGACCCGGAACTTTGGGCCTGCAAGAGGGTTGGGGAGAGAGGACTGAGAGTAGCGAAGTCCCGCCAACTTGAATAGATGAGATGGAGGGGAGCGCGGTTGCTCCAGGGCTGCTGAGTTGGAGACCGAGGCGAGCTAGTCGCAGAGAGAAAAGGCCCGCAGAATCTTCACGGAGAAGAGTAGCAGGGAGATCTCGTAGGTTGGGAGAGGGGGGATTGTTACAGACAAGAATCACCACGGGGAATATCGTGGGGCAAAGTGTTTGTGTAAGAAGAAAGGAGGAAAATAAAGGAAGAGAAAAAGCGGCGGGTCCAGAAAGAGAAGAGAGGACGTTGTGGCGAGATGCGAAGTGGAAGACAGAAAAGGGACTAGCGTGTGATGCTTGCGGGTCCCGCACTTTTCCACTTTAATTTGATGATACAAGCAGTTAAGGGTTGAGGAGTAGTAAGGATACGAGTAAAATAAAGAATAGGTAATCAAGAGTAAAGCAATAAAGTAGAATATAATATAAGAAAATTAAATTGAATGCACTACGCAGATACTCTCCGGTATGTCCGCATATACTACAATGTATGTAGTATGCTGAGTATAAAAGTCTGCCGGCGTTCACCGGTCAAAGTTAAACTTACCTCAGGCATCAGCCATGAGGCATTTATTACCGAGTCGCGTCGGCAATTTTAGTTTTCAACAGGGACATGCTAGTCTGATTCTAATGCACTTCCTCTAATTTGTCGTTGACAGCGGCGGCAGCTCTCATGACCATGGCTATGACATCTGCCATACATCTGCCCTAAGGGCTAGTGACATGCATGTACAGACAGATCCCAGCCAAACTCAAAAAAAAATTTAAAAAAAATTAAAATTAAAATAATACTAATATTAATATTACCCAGGCTGGACTTAGGTATTAGAATGGAATAGATCAGATGTAATCCACTAGATCCAATCCAATACTCGTACCTCCACTATTCCCCGGTGTCGGAAGGAATTTTTTGGTGTGCGCCAAGATCTCCGAGATCCTCCCGCATCGAGTCATCCCACCTCAAGTTTCAAGTTGTGTCCTTCTCTGACTACTAGTACTTGGTAAGTTGGCAGTTGGTCCTCTCCTCTAGCCCAATCCACCATGTCATCCTTCGCCATTCGAGTCCCTTGCTCCTCCGCCAACATTGGCCCCGGCTTCGATGTCATCGGCCTGGCCCTCTCCCTCCATCTCGAACTGCGCGTCACCATTGATGACTCCAAACCCTCCTCCGAGTTGCCATTGAACTGCGCCATCACCTACGAGGACCAAAGCAAGAGCACCGAGTCCATCTCTCTTGACCCCGAGGTCAACCTCATCACCCGCGTCGCCCTCTATGTTCTGCGATGCCACAACCAGCGCGCCTTCCCTGTCGAGACCAAGGTTCACATCGTCAACCCCATCCCACTGAGTCGCGGTCTGGGATCGTCCGGTACGGCGGTTGTCGCCGGTGTCATGCTGGGCAATGAGGTCGGCAAGCTGGGTTTAAGCAAGGATCGTTTGCTAGACTACTGTTTGATGATTGGTACGTGATACGTCTGCCCCTCGTCCCCGCGGCGAACCTAAGCCGTCATGAAATTGCTCGAATATACCCACCCAATTGACCCCGTCTTGCATCAAACTAACGCATTCTGCAGAGCGACACCCCGATAACGTGGCCGCTTCGTTGTTCGGAGGTTTTGTGGGTACCTATCTGAACGAACTGAAGCCCGAGGATGTTGCCCGGAAAGAGATTCCTCTCAGTGAGGTCCTACCTTCTCCCGCCGGCGGCATCGACACTGGCATGAAGCCCCCCGAGCCCCCCCTGGGAATCGGTCACTACAGAAAGTTCGACTGGGCCCCCGAAATCAAGGCCATTGCCATTATTCCGGACTTTGTCGTGCCCACCGCCGATGCGCGTAACGTTCTCCCTCAGCAGTACAGCCGAGCCGATGTGGTATGCCAACCCCCCTCTCTCTTTCCCACATCCCACATATGACACCTACTCACCCTATACTCTGGCAGGTCTTCAACCTTCAACGCGCGGCCCTACTCCCCGCCGCCCTGGGAACATCCCCACCAGACCCTGAAATGATTTTCCTCGCCATGCAGGATAAAGTCCACCAGCCCTACCGCAAAGGCTTGATCCCCGGTCTGACCGAGGTTCTCCAATCAATGACACCCGCTACCCAGCCCGGTCTGCTGGGTATCTGTTTGTCTGGCGCTGGTCCAACCATCCTCGCCCTTGCGACGGATCGCTTCACCGAGATCGCTGACCGCATTATCGCACGGTTCGCTACCAACAATATTACCTGCCAATGGAAGCTGCTTGAGCCTGCGCAGGAGGGAACTACCGTGACCCCGGTTTAAGTCTGCATTTTGCTTTACATTTTCCTTGTTTGCTGCATTGCATTGCACTGCGCTGCGCTGCGCTACAACTGCGTCATTCTCGCCTCCCTCTTCCTCGTTTTCTCACGACTACTTCGAACGCCCGGGTGGACTGGACTGGACGGACCCCATGACGGGCACAACCTCTTAAGCGCACCAATCTCTTTCTCCCGGCCTGGTTTTTGTTCAGGATAGACTCGCATAGGGACTGTCATTGGATCCGGTTTCGTTCCGGCTTTCTTTGTTAGGAGGCCCGTGTCGGGGTTTTCTTCACCGCTGCTTTTTTCCTCCTACGGTACGTGGATGCACTGCAGTATGCATGCAGCTGAGACACGGGAGGTATAAATAATTTTGGGTCCGGGACTTGAAACGAACCCGGACTTGGAAGTAGTGCTCCATGTGGGAAGCACTTAGCATTGCATTGTGGTATTGGGAACTGTGGAGGGGAGGGAGTATAAAATAGTTAGAATATAGATGAATCATGAGCCATTACGTATACACTTACGTCTATCTTAAGATTTAGTATTAGCATAGTATTGGTATTAGTATGTGCAATATCAGTAAATCTGCACTCGACTTAATTATATCCTCAACCTAGTATGAACTAAATCACCGAAGTGGTCGTGGTGGTGGCAGTCCTCTACTCTACCAACTTGAGGGCGGAAGAAACAGGCAAATGACAACATTACGATAAGCTCTCCGCCCTTGCGATCCGCTCCGCCTCCAGTCCGCTAGGCCCAGCCTCGAACAGCTTGACGATCAACAAATCCAATCCAATCCAATCCCAAACACCATGGACGAAATCCTAGCCCCTCTACAAGATGCCTTTGAAGGCCAGATCGTGCGTTTCCAGCTCCGCTCACCCCGCCCAGCTCACCTCAACCGCCAACTTGATCAGCGGCGTCGCATCGCATCGCATCGCTAACTAACAAACAATAGGACTTCCACGGTCAACGTCTAGCAGAAATTCTTAGCACGGCTCTACTGGTTATTTTCGGAGTATGTTACCTCGTGACCTTTCACGGCCCTACCCTGACTATTCATTACTTCGCTTCCTTCGCCGCACTGCATTGCACGATTCCCTTCATCCCGTTCTATAATACTTGTCTGATAGCACCACGTACTAACTCGAATACTCGCCCCTCCTAGGCTATCAGCTTCATCGTCGGCTATATCTACAAAGACATCCACCTAACGCTATGGATCGGACTAGGCGGTACGATTTTCACGGGCTTCGTCGTTATCCCCGCTTGGCCTTGGTTTAATCGGAATCCAGAGAAGTGGTTGGCTTCCGGTGGGAGTGGGATTGGGAATTTGAAGGGTGGGCCGAGCGTTTTGGTTGATGGGGTTAAGGTTCATTGAGGGGGTATCATAGGATTGGGAATGAATGGACGGATGGTAGGGAGGGAGGGAGGGGGGGATATTGGATTGCATTATGTTGGAGAGTCCTATTCTGCCCTGGCCTGCTGTCTCAAGGGAGGAATATGGATGTGGATTGTTTTTACCTACACTGCACTGCACTACGGCATACAGCATACTACACTCTAAGGAGTAATGTTACTTTTCAAGAATTCATTTCTATCGGGCTTGCATTATCTCGTTGAATGTGAATGTCTCGCCTCGTAACTGAACTGAAGTAAAGTGAAGTCGGGACCCAAGTTAAGTCCCAGAACGCCTGTAAATCATATCCTTTGTCTCGTTGGACGGGGTGTAGCGATTGCACGTACTTGTGAATGGCCGGTCATCACCATAATGTAGGTAGGGTAGCGTAGGGTAGCGTAGGGTGGGTGGGTAGGTAAGAAGCAAAGCAAATAGGCAGCAGTCCAACCCGACAGCTAGCTAGCAGTCCTAGAAGCTCTAGAAGGAAAAGCCGAGCTTGATCCAAGCAGACCAGACTCGGCTGCTCGAGTGCCCTCCCCCCCCCTCGTCTCGAAAATAAGCCGCAGCGTCCAGCGCTTTACCGTCCGTATTTCTGGAACTCCCAGTCCCGGTTATCCAGTGGACAGACTTGGCGGGTCTTTAGCCATCTCGAGATACAGTGGAAGTGGAATGCGTGCTGCGATGGATGGGATTGTTAGATTAGAGCTGGTCTAGCAAGTGTTGAAGGGAGCATGGTACTCACATTGCAGATACCCCAGGCTACGGTGCACTCTTCTGTTGTTGATGAGCCTTGGTTGGCTTGGCATTCGATACCTGTTGCCGAGTTAGTTGTGGTTGGAAGAGGAGATAGAGATAGCTTCAGCTTCAGCTCAAGCTGAGCTCAAGCTCAAGCTGAGACCGGGTGCACGTACACAAGTCCATAATGTGGTTTCGGCAGATGGCGCAGTTGTCGACGACGATGTCCCAGGCCCAAAGAGCGACGGCATTCCACTGGGATGATGTTAGTCTCTGGATCTGCTCTGGCTCCTGCTGTGGCTCCTCGCGGGGAAGCTCACCTTCTTAACCTCGAACTTCTTCTTATCATTGTCAGAGCCCTTGGCAACGGCCTTGCCCTTGGAGGAGCTTGCGGCAGAATCCTTCATCTCCACGTCCGCCATGGTATCGGGTTTGTGATTTGGAGGTGTATCGGGTCGGGGGTGGTGTTCGTGGGAGTTGAGATTGAGGTTGAGGCTGAGGCTGAGGATGGGAATGGGCAGAGGTTCAGATTGGGTGGAGGACCCTCGGGGAGACTAGACAACCTTAGGAGGACAAGAGTGAGGGTAACGACGGCTGCCTGATGGGTAACCTTGGAGGCAGACAAGAGAGTACTGAGTGAATGTAATGTAATGTTTGTACTTGCTCCCCCACTTGTTAACCAGTCATTGCCTGCTTTGCTGGTGGCGGCCTTTCTTAGTCATTTCCCTCCCCGCCAAAGGGCTCCGTCACCTTCCTAAGACTCTCTCCTCTCCTCCTCCCTTCCACCTATCCCTCACCACCTCACTTCACTTCACTCCAACCCTTTATTCTCCCTCCCCATGTCTCGCCTTTCTTAATTCTCGCCCTTTAGAAGGCATTCTCTTTGTGCGCGTTCGTTTCGCAGTTCTCCACTTCGTGCATACTCGTACCCGCTTGTTTCTCGCCGTTTCCGGTGTTAGAATCTCTAATATTGTCGACAGCTGCTGAGCAGTGAATCTTGGACTGGTTTCCTTGATTTCTTGATCTGATCTCCTTGACTTGTCGCTTAAGCGCTGAATTTCTCTCTTCCTTTTCCTTCCCCTGTTCTATCGGCTGCCTATTTTTTAAGCCACCCGTCGCCATGTCGACCCAATCTCCTCACCCTCCTACGCCCAAGGGCCCTCGCAACGGCAATCCCAATCACCACAATAACAACAACACCAACCGAAGATCTTCCAAGAAAAATACAAACCCAAACACAAATACCACTCCCCATGCTCAGAAGGTTGCCATGTTAAACACTCCGCCCTCATCGCCTCCACGGAATATCAGCCCGGGTGTCGCGACCGATTCCTCGGCCAACATGCACTCCAAGAAGAAGCAGCCGCCGCGCTCCGTGAAGAAGATGCCCAACGGCAATCGCGCTTCACCTGCGCCCAATGGTGGGAATGGCCATCAACGTCAGGCATCTCAGGCAAGCAATACCCCCGCTAAAGATGCCGCCTACGCTGGCCCAACCTTCCACGCATCCCCCGCCCCGTCGGCTCTCCCCATGCCGAGCTTCTTTTCCAAATCCTATCCCGAATCTGAACTCCCAACCACCCTTGAGACCGATAGCGAAGAGAACGAGCCAGTCTCGGAGACCACTCCTTCGAAACCCCGCGCCGCTCGCCCCCAGCCGCAACAGCAATCGCAACCCCAGACTCAGTCACAGCCTGCGGCCCAGCACAAACCTTCGCCCATCGATTTCCTCTTTGAAGCTGCCAAACGAGCACGGAATCCCGACTCAAATTCACTCACTAGCCCGGAGGCGGCGGCCGCCCGCCTGCGTTCCCCGCAGACTGACTCCAAAGCTCTCCACGGCAACAGCAACAACGGTGGCGGCATTTTCGCCTTTGAAATGGGATCACCCGAGCGTTCGCAAATTGGCCCATCATTTGCCCCGTCCTACCAAGACCGAATGAATGCACTGCGCGCATCCAGTTCCCCCTCCCATACGCAGTCACAACCCTCATTGAACACCATGGAAGATCAACGCCGGCTCAAGACTGAGGAACTGAAACACCTGTTGCTCAACCCGAGACCACAGAAGCCACCATCGTCGGTCTCTCCTCCACACGAGAGACAGAGTCCCGGGCCCCGACCCCACACCACCGCCAATGTTCCTCATTACGCAACACCGATGCGAACCACCTCCGGCCCTCCATCCACCATGTCTCACGGCCCGTCGCAACCCCCACCGATGCCAGGCAACTACTCCTACGGACACCATCTGAATGGCTCCCAGCCAAACATCCGCAACACGAACTCGCCGCTTCGCCGTGAGCTTCCGCATAACTCAGCCGGCTCCTCGCCAGCTCCGTATGGGCATCACTACAATGCGCCGGCCCCACAGCGCGCAAACTACGTCTCGCCTCAGCCGCAGTACACCAATGCCGCATTCCCCATGCCTACACATTCACCTTCGCCTACCAAGTCCCTGGAGACGAAGCAGATGGAGGATGATCTCCGCCGTGTGTTGAAGATCGGTGGGCCTGGGATACCATCCGGTGGGATGCAGAGTCCTTTTGCGGCTTAAGTCGATCGCATCGTTCAATTTAAAGGGGAATGCGTTTTTTTTTCCTCCCCAGGAGCTAGGTCGCAATGGAACTCAACGTCCAATTTCGTCTCCCCATGCTTTTTTTTGCGTGGCGGCTTATGCTTGTGTTATCTATCTACCCCCGCTATCTACCGTTCTCTATCTGTGTTTGATCTTCGTATTACATGATTTTCTCTCCTTTCTGCTTTCGTTTCGCTTTCCATTTCCTTGCACCGTCTTCCTTCCTACCTATCTCTCATCGCCTCTTCACACACCTTAACCATACAATGATCAACGATCAACTTCTCCCGCGGCCCGCCCGCTTTCCTTCCATGTCTTATTATCCTTCACGATCGTCTTCGCGTTTTCAGCTGGTCTCGAGCACGCCCGGACTGGGTCCGAGTTCTGTTTTGTGACTTAGGTCTATCACGATGCCCGTCCTGCTTTCTAACTCCCCCTTTGTCTTCTCTTTTCTTTCTCATGAATTGAATCACCCGTTTATTGTTGTTACGTTCTCTATGAGGGTACTTGGTTTGGTGTTTCGCGATACCGGCAGGATTTCACTTCGGTTCGGTACATTGATGCGGTCTCTATCATGCGCTCTGTTGGGCGCTCTGCTGGTTTCAGGTCGTTCTTTTTGCATCGTTTGGAGTCGGTATGGTTCAGTCTTTCGGTCGGTTCGGTCGGTTCGGTTCGGTTCGGTTCTGGATTGGATTGGATTGGATTGGATGGGACTGGATTTGATTTGATATGATGATTTCCACGTACCTTTTGTGTCTGGTAGTTGGTTGTGATCGGGTCGGTTCAGTGATGGTTGTGGCCGTGGCTTTTATGTCATTTTCACTACCCTCGCTGGTTTCTGTCAAGGCTTCGTTCTTTTGTTTCATTCTGCTTCTGCTACGCTGGTGGAGTGACCTGGTTACTCGTCCATTCATTCTGATTATTTGTTGCGTCCTTCATCGGTTGAGTCGTATAGGGAAGGGAGACGAATGCTTTGCTCCGTTTTTCTTTCTATGTGCGCTCTGCTCGGATTCTCTCTCTCTCCTTCTCTCTTTTCCTACTAGTACTGGGCTTTGCCCGCAATACACTCTTTCACCTCGTCCGATAGGTATTATTGTGGCTCTACTACGAGTAGTACCAGTCGCATTTAGCTCACTTGTACCCCACCTATATATGTGTCTAGTAGTAGTGGAATTTAGGTGCTTTTAGACGGGACCTGCCAGTCGATCGTATTAGTACAGTAGTCAAATTCCAACCACCCAGGTCACGGTGCCTGAACTTGAAGCAACGAGGTTCCAGTTTCAGTTTCCCGGTGTGTCTTGATGGGACGGGTATATCCCAGGAGCAAGATCCATCGATAATGCCGTTGGAACCTAAAACCCACCACTAGTTAGTACGAGTAGTACATTTCCAACGTTTGCTAGTATTATTGTGAGCTATATCACTATACTCAATCCAATCTACGGATGGTTTATGTTCTAGGGGTTCTATTCAAGTTTCTATACCAGTAAGTATTAGCACTGCTATTAGCGACCGGCCATGCCTGGTATGGATACCATAGTAGAACCTTTAGTATGTAAGTATGCCAAGTACATCGAAGAGCCAGCCACACCGTTCGAATTCAAACTTTGTTTAACTGGGGCCCTGGAGGTGCACTAGCACTAGCCACTCCTCGTAGCCACTCAACGGTCGTCGGGCTCGAATGAAATGCGAAATCAGAAGTTAGATGGAGACACTGGGCTGGCTTGCCGATCTTAATTACACTTAGGCTAGTCAGGGTCTTGAGTATACATGTACCAGAGGAGAGGAGGGTATAAGCGAGTAGTAGTCTACTCTGTCTTCACAGATAACTATCGTATATAATAGCTTGTACTATGATAGTACGAGTACTCCATGAATGTATAGGAGTGGAGTGGAGTGTACCTGGAGTACACAACTACCGTGTGTAACTCCCAGTACACCCACCGGATGCAAGTGTGGACATGCATGGACTGGCAGTACGTAGCACCACCCCTTAATCTGGTCCGACGCCACTTGCATTCTCCACTTTTTGTCGCCTGGCCCTGGACTGGCCTTGCCCTTTTGCTAATTTTATCTCTTCAATCGGAGAAATCAATGGAACTTGAATGGAAACTGGGAACTTGGTCTGTTCCTTGAAGTTTGAGTTTCTCCTGGGATTTCCCGGTGGAATCGAGTCAAGCTTTTGTCCCTGTTTCCATTTTCCCAGTGTGTGTGGTTTATTGTCCCCTCTCCTACTTCGTACCGTACCTCAATGCCGACCGACACCCCGGAGATCCGATCCTCGTCGATCTTGTCTCGGTCTTGATGAAGTTTAATTCGGCAGAGTAGGCAGGACGCCACGGGCTGGTGGCTGAGGGCGGAGGTCTGCGGTCTGAGGTCATGACAGGCTGTCTTTGAGGGAGGATTGAGTGGCTGCTGGCTGCTGGCCGCTGGCTGGCTGCTCTTTGGCTGCATTGGGCTGTTGTGTAAACAGGTACCATGCGATGCGTCGAGTATGGCTGGCTGGCTCCGGAGTTCCCCCACCACAATTATAGAATCAAGAAAGTGAGAGCACGAGTATTCTCACTGTCTGTACTCTGTCGATAGTAGATAGACACCGGTATGCATACCGTCATGATCTGCATGCCCAAGCTGGATGCGGCCAGGGGGGGGGATGTAGTCACCAAATCACGGGGAAGTCTCCCAGTACTGGAGTGCCTGCTAGTAGTGTATGCTGTGACTGCGCAAAAAATATGCTCGGGCTCCTTCCTTTTGCTCTCCACTCCTCCTCACCCTCGACATCACTCTACTTCTACTTCTACTACTACCCTCACTTCTTACACTCACTCTCCTCCTACTCTTCACTTCGCCCTGTCATGATCCCTGCTCCCGCTGTTTAATTCTTTCTTCCGACACCATGGCGAATGCGTACGTCTCCCCGTCCCCGTCCCCGTCCTGTCCCTATCCCCCTCCGGCCACCATCACCACCACCTCATCTTCAGGATTCCCTCGCCTCCTATCCTCTGTCTAACATGTCTCTCAGTTTCGGTACGGCATGGCGCTCCTTTTGGCATACCATGACCTCCTATGACCGTCATGCCTCCCACGATTCCCCCTACCGCACTGGCCGACACGTCCCCCTCAGTCAAAGTCGCCATGAACCTCTCACATCCATTGCCACCAGCGCGCTCGAGTCTCGTCCCGACCTGTCGAGCCCGTACGATGATGATTCCTCCAAGGGAATCACAACCGTCCAAGCCAACGAACTAGACGGTTCCCCGACCGACGTAGACTCCCCAGCCCGCCCTTACTCCCCCGGCATGAGGTCATTCACATCGCAACAACGGAGATCAAACGACCAGGATGGCCCCGGCGAGATTCAAATGCAGAGTTTCCACGACGGTGCCCCTCCGCCTCCGCCCGTCGCTCACTCCTGGAGGAAGATCGAGCGCTGGCTCGAGCACAATTATGAAGAATTGCTGGATCAACTTGGCGAGGGATGCACCCAGAACGACATTAACGAATTAGAACACGAGCTGGACTGCTCCCTACCATTGGAAGTGCGTGAGTCTCTCATGCTTCACGATGGTCAAGAGCGCCCCGGTCTGCCCACGGGTCTCCTGTTCAGCTGCATGCTTCTGGATTGCGAGGAGATCGTGCAAGAGCGCACCAACTGGAAGACCGTCAACGAGGAATATCTCAGCTCAGCCCAAGTCCACAATGCCCCCATCTCGAGCTCCGCCGCCGGTCCCTCCTCCGCAGCCCAACAGCCGCCAACAATGTGGCGAAACGACCTCCTCGATCGCCAAGACTCACAACCCCCCGGCGCCGTGCAAAAGGCCTACGCCCACCCAGCCTGGATCCCCCTGGCCCGCGACTGGGGCGGCAACCACCTCGCCATCGACCTGGCGCCCGGACCTGCCGGAAAATGGGGCCAGGTCATCATTTTCGGCCGCGACTACGACTGTAAATATGTGGTCGCTCGATCCTGGGCTGCCTTCCTGGCCGTTTTCGCCGATGACCTCTGCAGCGGGAAGACGATTGTGGACGAGGAGACCAACGAGTTGAAATTGAAGGAATTCAAATCCCAAAACGTCGAACCCCCATACCTGGAGATCTTGCGCTGGAGGACCGATCAGAAGTACGGCCGTCGTCAACCGCGCCGCCGCGGTGGTCCAAATGGTCCCAACGGTCTCGGCGTAAATGCATCAGGAAAGGGCTCATCTTCCAAGGATTCACCATACGGTAGCCCGACACGCGCTGAAGAACGTGGTCGTTCCCCGCACCGTTTCCCGAACCGTGGCCCTGCGCAAAGTCCTAAGACCCCATTCGGCGTGTCGAGCCCGTTAGCCCGTGTTACAGAGACGGAGGAATCTTCTAGCCCTATCGCTACATCCGGCCCGACGATCTCAGAGGATCCTAAGGAAAATGGAAAGGACAAGCAAACACAGCAGCAAACGGAGGATTTGATGGAGGTGGCTACGCCGCAAATTTCCAATAAGGAGAATGAGGGATTCCCTGTCCCGGGCAAGGCGGCTGAGTCGAGCGCTAAGTCAGAGGGCGAGAAGGTGGAAAAGGAGGGCGAGAATGGTGAGGCTAGTTCATCGAGTGTTGCTGATTCGGAAGTTCTGGGGGAAATGAAGAATGTGGCTATTTAAAATGATCAGAAAGGAACAAAATGAAAACGTTCTCTTCTCTGCCACTTTTTTCTTCCCCAGCTCTTCCCCAGCTCTTCATCTCGAGATATCATGCACACTCAGACTCGGACCCTGCTCCCCTTTTCCCATCTTCTCTCTCTTCCTCTTCCCTCCACCTTCTCATATTCTATTCACCCCCTAGGACACTAAGGCGTCAATGACGATTTGGATCTATGTGACACTGTTCTTTCTTCTTCTTGCCTCTGCTTCAAGTTCCCTCTTCATCCCATTCCGTTCCCGTGTATAGAATTTTCCATTTCCATTTCCATTTTCATTTCCTGCTCCTACCCGTCCTCTTCGGCCTCTTGTCCTGTCCTGGTTTTGTGTTGTGTGACTAGCCTGGCATTGGCATTTGTTGTAACTCTAGGGAGCTCTTGTTTTCATCTTTTCGCTCCAAGTTTTTGACTGTTGTTGTCTTTGTGTTTTGGTTTGTGCTGGCTGGTTCGCTTACGGTCTACTTACTCTGTCTTCATCCCTGACTAGTCTCGTCTTGTCTGGTCCCGTCTCTGTTGCACACATTATTTGCCTGTAATTCTATCATGATGCAGTTTTAGTTTCGAGGTCTTCCTTTTATATTGGAGATTCAATTCATTCTGGTTTGGTGTGTTTTGGTTCTCATTAGGTTTTGGTGCTGGTTTATATTTTTGGTACGGTTTTATAGATTTGAAGGTTGTCTGGGCTGGGAGTTGGCCCCTTGAGGGGGTGTTTTAAGGGTAATGTAGTAGGCTTCTTATGGCTGGTGGTGAAGAAAGATCGGCGCGTGGCATCCATCCCATGCTAGATTTTGTTTATCTATATCCACTGGAATAGATTTCATAGATGTGATACTGGTAGCCTTGAAATAATTTCAGTCGATATAGATATATGACCTCTGCTGGATTGAATATAAGACTGTACTGGCCTGACAGCTGCCAGGTGTACTGCAACCACATGACGAGGCTGGGTGTTTTGGGTTTGGGGCTGGAAACGTGACATCAATGAGGATATTATATTCAAGTTCTAAAGATGACTGAAAGATACCTTGCCACCCGCCAGTAAGTCTAGAATACATGGCAATATAGTCGTCCCGACTACAGGTAGCTCTACGTAGGGGATTTCCTATGACGGGTGAGGCTTTCCCCTTTGAACTGCCACCTCTTAGTGCGGACGCTCAGACTCAGGCTCACTAAGTCTCAGTCCGGGCTCAGAGTCTGTAAGCTGTGTAAGTAAATCACGTAACAGGCGTTCAGAGTCAGTGATCGCTCACTGACTCACTCAGTAACTCTGACTAAAGGATCACTGCTTGCTCAGAGACCCTCTGAAGCTATCTATTGAGCACCCAGGCCAAGCTAAGGCTATACTAAAATAGGTACTCACACCATATTGCTTTTGGTATAGTAATTTTGGGTCTTTGTTTAGGGTGTGCTGGTAGTCCTAGCGTCTCGAGAGACACATACGAAGCTTATCATAATGTTTAATATTATTTGATGGCCAATTAACACTAACAGTAAGTAAAGGGTTTATTCATTATACAGTAACAAGAATATTAGCTATTTCTCCTATAGTAGCAGGCCAAGGCACGGCTCCACAAAAATTCATAGAGAAGATCCATTCAACAAGCGAATCCTCTTCGAGGTCAGTTAATTTACACAAATTTTGCGCATATATCGATGCATGCTGTTATCCCATTCACGTGAGTAGCTAGGGCTGTATAGGGTATTACATATAGCTTTGCTGCTGCATGAGTAGATTTGACGCGGCCATTTTTAATATCATTAAGGGCTAATAAGATCTTGCCTCCTTGATTGGCCGATTTCTGCCGAGATCCAGAGCGAACTGGCGGCATGGTAGGTGGTTGAAGTAGGTAGGTAGGTAGGAAGGTGCGATTTTGGATGGGGTGTACAGCTCGCGTGTGTACAGCCCGCTTGTGAATTACGTTAATGCCAGGCCGACTTTGATCAATAGCGTATTACCATGGCCCTCACCAAATACCGTCATGGAAGTCCTTTTTACCGCCAAAAAAAGCTTCTCAGCCTTCTCCTATCGGCCCTGGTTCATATGATTTATAGTACTATTGGCAGAGAGTCTGTATAGCCCCATAATGGTCCCAAGATGGAACACAAGAAATACTTCTTATTTGTGAACTCTCCAAAAGGTGTCTCTCTGCACGGTATGATTTTTCTGTAGTAGCGTCTTGTCTGGGGCTACACATGTCCGTATCCATTCTCAACGGGTGCCCATGATCGCGTAGATTTCACAGGGGAATAACCTACGATCTGTGCGTTTCGTTTCCCCACTACACTAAGTCGAAGGGGAATTCGCGGCCGTCCCAACCACGGTTGATGATTGCATAAGAGGAGCGCAATAGCGATAACCGCCTGAATTATGCATCTTGGCCAGTTATTTCTCGGTAATTGCATGATATCCCGATACAAACCGCTGCTCAGACTCAGCATTTTTCACCCATGGTTGTTACTTCGGGTAGCCACGCCCAGAATGTGCAAAAGCAAAAAGTGTGATGGTGCCTAAAGCTAAGTAATAGCGGCACACCGTGTGGAGGTCAGAGAACGAATTATTGAGTTTTATTAAAAGGCTCTGAGTCTATGGGACGATATTTCTCCACCGGGCTTGAAGTATTAGAGGGGGACTGCTTTGAAAACGATATCTCAGCGCCTCTTCTTTGGAGAATTTTGACAATCTCTTGATGGCCTCTCTGAGAGGCGATCTGGAGAGCGTTACCGTAGCGGCCACCCTGCGCGTTAACATCTGCTCCCTTATCCAAGAGCAGTTTGACAATCTGTTGATGGCCTTCTAATGAGGCCGCTTGGAGAGCGTTGCCGTAGTGACCGCCCGGCGCGTTGACGTCTGCTCCCTTGTCCAAGAGTAGTTTGACAGTCTCTTGACAGCCTTTTTCTAGAGCGGCATACAGAACATTGCCATAGCGACCACTGTGCGCGTTGATGTCCACACCTGTATCCAGAAGTAATATGATTATTTCTTGATAGCCTCTCTCTAAGGCGGCATACAGAGCGTTGCCGTAGTGGCCGCTCGGAGCGTTGACGTCGGCTCCCTTATCCAAGAGCAGTTTGACAATCTCTTGATGCCCTTCTAACGAGGCAGCCTGGAGAGCGTTGCCGAACTCACCACCCTGTGCGTTGACATCCGCTCCCTTGTCCAAGAGTAGTTCGGCGATCTCTTGATGCCCTTCTAACGAGGCAGCCTGGAGAGCGTTGCCGTAACGGCCGCCCTGTGCATTAACATCCGCTCCCTTACAAATAAGAACTCGTGTAGGCACTACGAGCCCACTCATGCAAGCATAGTAAAGCCTTGAACCCCTCGGAGGGCCAGGCTCATTGTCCCAACTCCTATCAGCCTGATATAAACGAGCCCATCGCTGGAATGTCGCTTCCTTTTCGAGGAAGCTGACTATCTCTCGTACTATTTCTTCAGAAGCAGGGGCTAAGGCAGCAAACCCTGTCCAGATTTCCGCGGCATATCTCGCCATCGGAAAATCCCGTTTTACCTCTCTGTAGGTACTATTGATCTCTGCGAGGTAGATTAAGCATGTCCTCACGATAGAAATACTAGCAGTCCTGATCCTGAAATGATCTTCCCCGAGAAGGAACTCTTTCACGGAAAAGTGGGCAAGATGTAGCTCTTTATCGGTGGCGTGAACGACTATCAAACCGGGACAGTAATCCAAAATATCAGTCTCGCAAAACAACCGCCGCTTGATATTAAACCCTTGCGACTCGTTTTCAATCTGCGTCGCTATAACCTCTTTAGCCTCGGCTACCTTGAGAGGTCGCTTGGAATGTACTAGGAATTGTAGGAGGCGTATCGCGTCACTTTCTAGCTCAGTAGGTATGCTTTTAACCATGCGCTCGTAGGTCTCATTAAGATTCCGAGGCAAAGATTCGAGAGCCTCCTCTATAGCTGCCTCGTGACGACACCGACCCAGACTATCCAGTTGACAGGACGCCCATCTAAACCTAATAAGGCGTTAGCAACATATTAGTGCTTCGATCTAAGTATTGATATCTCACATCCCGTCGGCCCCGTCGCCAACCTTTCTCCGGATCTCTTCGAGGAGATTTGGGGATAATGCTTTCTCTGTAAAATCACGTCGTTGGAAAAGTTGTGTTGTAACCCACAATTGGATGTCGGAGTTAATAGCCTGCTTATCAAGTGATAGGCAATTCTCCTCCCCTATTAAAAAGGGAATATGGCGTATAAACTCAGATTCGGGTCGACTGGTAAAAAGTAGCTGGACATGAATCAACTCTGGCCTAGATACTATATCTTTGATCCACTCGAGAACATCACCCCTTGTTTTCGATTCATCCAATGCGTCTAGAATGACACAAACCTTCCTCTGGGCTACGAGCATCTTGAAAACAATAGCCCAGAGCCCCCCTCGTCGTAGGTTGGTCATTACCATTCTGGTGTGCTTGAATTAAAGTATCAAGGTGAACTATAGAGTCAGCCCCACCTAGGTAAAGTTGGAAAGCAAGCGACCGTAGCATGCCATCTAAGGTCTGCTTTGTTATGTCGCTAAAGTCAAAGAAGAAGCTAAGGATAAGACCGTCGTTTTCCTTCACGAGATGATCAAGCACATTCGCACTAAGAACCGTCTTTCCACATCCTGCGAGCCCGTGCAGCCATAACTGTCGACGTGACCCCGAGTGCCACGACTGGAAGACGGAGTTTTTGAAGAGCCACGTGCCTGTCCCCTCGTGGCGCAGTGTTCTCGCCCGGTTGGCGTTTGTAGACGGATCAGGGGGACAAAGCCAGCGCTTGATCTTATCACTGTGAAGGACAGATCTGATGGAATCGGTAGTAGCCTTTGTGGCAACTGTCGTTTGCTGCACGCTATCGACCTGTTCTTGCACTGCTCGCAGTCAGGAAATATTCCAAGTTATAGTGATACCTGCTGGTACTTGCGAAACCGGCAGCTGGTATAGTCAGGAAGGTAGCTACTAACCGTTTTCTAATACGGCCTTCTCGGCATCAACAACGCTTGGCTGCACACATCCCAAAAGTTCCTTTGCATATGCAGCGGCAACGGTTGCAGCGTATTCTTGCCAGGAATCTTCTTCTTCCAAGTCCGCATAGTCACAAATTCCTCGGATAACAATACAGGGGAAGTCATTCATGAGCCCAGCTGCCTCCATCTCTAAGCATAGCAAGTGACCACCAAAGACCTTATCGAGAGAGTCTCGCGACTTGGCATCCTTGACCACTTTATTTCCGGACGCGATCAGGCCATGGTGCACCCTGACTTCTCTTCGGGTCCTTGTCACTTCTGTCTTCTCTGGTAAATACCCACTCTCCTTATTTACAGGACTAGTAGCCCACAGACCAAGAAGATATGCGACAATTATGATGATCGCCTGCCAGAACCTAGATAGGAAGTGGACTTCGCTCAGAGTCCGATGCACCCTCTCGGATACTAACAATGGGTCTTCCAAGCACTCACACCTGGTATATTTCGGCACCAGTCGCGGAAATTTCCTTTCCACATCATCGAGGTACTCATTTATCTTCGATCCGTACATCTCATACTTACTTTTCAGCAGATTCGATGCATTGATTAGTGCGTTCGGAGGTCTGTTTAGTGAGCCCGTATGGACAAAACGCCCACCCTCTTCCAGCTTCCCCATATCCCATTGTACCACCCCGTGATAGTCGGCAATAGGTTGGCTGACAACCACATCACCTAGACTGACCTTCGACGGAATTCCGCCGCCAACTCCTACCAGAAGCCCAAACCTTATCGATTGGAACGTATTTATCATCGAGGTCGCGACGGTCGCGGCAGTGTGGGTTCCCATATTAGGGAGGCAGGCTATGACGACGTTGTGGCCGCATATTGAGCCAAGGGCATATGTATTATGGTCATTGTGAGGGATCGGAAGAGCTTCGTGCTCTTCATCTAGCATGACTCTGGCTGCGGTTTGTTTTTTTCGGAAGGGCGCACACCCACCCGATGGTATAGGCATCGTGTCGGAGTCGTTTTTGGCATGGCGATGTTTGGGGTCTAGTTTTGTTTTGTGCTAGTATGGATTGCTCTGGCTGAGATAGGAGGGTCTCAGCCATATCGGATGAAAAATAACTCGACTACGCAGACTGTTCAGACGCGCAAGATTGTACTCAATATGTCAGTCAAGCACTCTCTCTTCCTGCATACCCAGAGGTCTTGGTCGATCTGGTCCAGAAGGAAGGTGTCACAAAGTGGATAGTTAATGGGTTAGGCAGACGTCAAGGAGTAGCTGTTTCTTGATGTGGTTCGTGACGAGACCCTCAGCTGGATTACAACGAGCTGAAAGAGGCGCATGTCCTCAGCCTCATAATCATGTGACTCCAGCGCACTAAGCCAGAAATTATCGGTGTCTCTCAACTCACCCACACCGCTCTTATGGTACAGTGAGTCTGCTCATCTTGTTTCTATGCAGTGTGGGGCTAGTGACATTCCCAGGAACATGTCGACCCAGTCCCACCAGTCAGATCGGTTAAAGGGATATTTATCAAATTGTATTTTGTTTTGTATTTTGCCATAGTTAATAGTGTAATTTTGGAACCCTAAGAAATACCGCTAAGAAATATGCCAAAAAACCATAAAATGAATGTAATTTGGGGGCCAAGTAGGTATTTGGGGCATGCCCATTGCACAGGTCTAGTAGGAGATGCGTGTTTATTCGCGAACCAAGAAACTAAATAGATTCAGATGCAGTAAGGTGCACTGGTAGGAGATAGGTTTCGATTTAGTCTATATGGGGAGGGGTAGTATTGACCTAATTAATATATCTTGTTCGGAGGAGAAAATAAGATATGCCCTCAACATAATTGTGAGGCTTGTTATATGCTCTTGCTTCTTGGGATCTGTGACTAGTAGAGGAGCAGGGGAAAGATGTCAAGGTAGTAATCAAATTTCAAGCTCCTGGGAGCAGCAAAGCGTCATGGCCCTATTGCCTGCTCATTGGTCACTGCAAGAAATCTTGCCCTGTCTCCGATCGGAAGAGTTGAAGGATTATTTTTCCTACGAATTATCTTCAGTTACGAGGAGGCTATTGTATTACTACTTACTACTTACTTGTTGACTGATTCGAACACCTGTAGATCTAATTGGAAGTTGTAGAAAATTGGCTCTCTATACTCTCTGGCCTTTGACCTCCGTAAGGAGTAGCATACTAAGACAAACTAGACGAATTGTTCCCAGGAGCTTGCAGACTTCAGCCATTCTAATAGGACTCACATATCGCACTAGCAAGCCTGTAACCTTAGCCCTAGAGGAGCACGGATACTCTTCCAAGATTACTACCTTAAATATAATACACCCTGACATAGAGTATTATCTTCTCCTAAGGTCTACCTATTAAGCGTGACCTACTAACCTTCAGAGCAAATAAGGTCAGGTCTTTGATGAAACTGAAAATCTTGGATCTTTCGTCACACTGGCCCATGAATATAAATTAGATATGAAGCTCTCAGGAAAAACGACAGACCTACCCGGGTCAGCCCTGAGAATAGACTTTCTAATGCGTTCACCGCATCAAGAGATGTCCCCATCCACCCAAGAACCTCCAGCCAATTCAAAGAATGTGTGAAGAGAAACCGCACTACCACATCGTTCTCGTGAAAGATCGCGCCAGATTCCGCAAGATGTGTCACTCAGTACAAACATGCATATTCAATTTCCGGAAGAAACGCATCTCTGTCTCGAGGATACTTTGCGCCGCGAGGCCGAAATTTTGAGTCGTCAGATTTGGGAATATCTCTCTTCAAAACCTTTTGAAGAAGAATTAAACAGCTTTTCAATGCATTCTCGCGGGCCTCTCTTTGATCCACATGGAATCTCTCATCTATGCATTCGCATGCATGTCCGTTTCTCTCATCCTCACACCTGCATTGCACCTTGCTCAGCATGAAGTCCCTGAAAGTGTGATGGTAGATATGGATCTTGTTGATACAGCCATTTGTATCATCTGGAATGCTCGAAATCGATCCCAAGTTGCTTAGTATGTCATGTTCGTCAAATTCTGTCTTATTGGTGATCAGTCTATAGAACGACTGGGGAGGAAGTTGGTCAAATAGCACTACCAGGCTGCCGAGATAATGTCGACGTATCAACTTGGTTCCTTCTCTCAAACGTTTCTGTGTATTGCTTTTGAAATCATGTTGAATGATGCTTTCCCCGATGATAATATCACCAAGGTGAATGTCTGCCTAGTCGGAATTCGTTGGAGTCACCCCACAGATCCCCAAGAGCAACACAAGATTCGCTCCAGGAAAGTTGGTGCGAAAGGTAGACACTACACTTGCGGCCTTTACCTTACCCATCCCCGGCATGTGGGCAAGGACAACTTTGTGCTTCCCGATCAGACCCAGAGTATATGAGTTCCAGTCAATCGGGAGTTGACTGCGTCGAGGTTCTTCTTCGTCTCCCTGGCTTTCTTCCAAGATCTCGTCAAATACCCCCCGAGCTGCCTGCGCCTCTAAGGGGAGCGCGGTAATAATCCCCACAGCGACATCCAAAAACTCATGTTGCTGTTGGCTTGACATGATTCGGAGGACAGCCAAGTGTATTTTGTATAGTCTATTGTTTGGGGAAGTGTAAGATATTGATGGCCCCGGGAGGAATCATGTCGATATGCCTACTCACCGGGGTACTGTGTTGCCCAGGTGATGAGGCTCATGCCTGGATGTGCGACTGGACGCCCGATCTCGATGTTCTTGCATACGGCCGAGATACCGCCACCTTACCAACCTCATTCTTTCCCCTCTCGCTATTTTGACGCTTATTGGTCCAGCGCATTTCTTGGCTCTGCAGCCAGGCACTATCCTTGTCACTATAAACATATTGGATTTGCTGAAGTAGGGTGTGTATGCACGATGGATACGAATCGCACATTTGAAACCTGCAGCACATTGCCTTTCATCACAGTTTAGGTCAAAAACACGCTTGCCTTACATGTAATTGTCTGGACATAACTAACCGCCCGAAACTCCGGCCAAATGCCCGTTTGCGTGTGTGCCTCAGGCCAGAGCGGGCTTTTGGTAACTATATCACCGTGTTTGCACAGGTTGGAGCACTTAGCTTCTTCAGAATTCTCACCTTTCACTATTGTATTTTGCTCTTGTAGGCAATAAATACACGTTCGCAAAAGGTTGCTCAGATACGAGTTCTATATTGTCCTGCCAACCAGACTTGCGGAATCTATCAAGCCAGTTTGCGCTCAAGAGTTTTGAAGAAACCTTTAGTCCATTCGGCTCGGATAGTTTGATGTGGTTTACGAATAGCGACTTGCTCGTATAATCAGTGACGTGAAGAACATATGGGGAGGCAACTTCCCGTAGAAGAAAATGACGAAAATACTCGTCATCAAGTTACATAGTCTTAGTGCATTTATAATTGGCGATGCGGGAAATATTCGAGTCACAACTACCGAACGCTCCGGTCGTACCTTCCATCTTTATAGTGGCCATTCAAGCTGATGCGCTTGCCTTTCACGGTCGTTCTTAAGAGAAAGGGCCTCCAGCCCCCCTGCTTCCTCTACAAATTCCCCTCTACATCAACACCAAGTATCCGCCATGGCTTTATTCTGCGTGTGAACATCGATCTATGAACTTCAGCCAAGCTGAGACCATATATCTCATTGTCAATTTTTACTCATGCAGGGGCAGGGAACTCGCCTCGAGGGTTCGTGGCAAAACAGCCAGCCCTAGAAGGGCTATCCAGAAATCCTCAATCCATGAAGTGGCCGAATATTCGAGCCAGCCTGAAACCATACGCAGAGACAGAATTCAGAGAATCCACTCCCAAAGGCCGAAATTTGATCCTTTTAGTTTCGCAAATCCAGCCTGTGGATATCATCTCGGATTTCCACTTTGGAGATGATGGCATTTCCTGAATCAGGAAAGCCCTGAGACATGGGTGGACTGATATAGATCTGCCGGATACAGGGGAAAGCATCCTCGAACTTAACATTGTGGGGCTGAAATGCATCAAAGAGGAAAGAACTGTTGCGGAAAATTTACAACCCGGTCTATTCCTACTCACCTACGGAGTGGCCATCGGCTCACAAATGTCATGTCAAGCTCATCGACCTTAGTCTGAATATTGCAAGACGAGAACTCGTAAAGGGGTGCCAGCAGATGTACAACGAGTTGAACGTAAGCAGAAACATTCATTTGGATGTTGGTTGCAATCTAACCCTGAACATTCCCAGCGAGCGATTTTCAAATTCCGTGAAGCTTGATCCAATTCATCGGGAGAGTTGAAGTTTATCGGACGAAATGTCCACTTTTTGAAGAATCCACTTCCGGGTCGGGGAATGCCGCAACGATCCTCATGATGGTAGACATCAAGAGCCGTAAAGACTGGAAAACCAACAAGAGACTCGATCGCCAAAATTCCGACTGACTTTTCTCTACCTATGGTCGCAGTTGAGATTGTCAAAGACAGAATCAATTTGCTCCAACGAGAAATTAGAGGCAGCAATCTGCTGGCATACGCCAGCATCGGTGAGATCTCGTGCCTCAAGCGGATCGGCCCAATTCACTCCGTCAAAGACGCAAGGTCGGCCAAACGAACCTCCAAAATGCTTATCCAACCAGAGACTCTTCCGCAACACAGGATCTGGAAGTCATGAGTCGCGAACTACTCAACGAACCACTCAACGGACCACCGGAGAACAAGAAGATTGTGCTCGATATTGGACGCCGAAAACCCCAAGTTTTCTCAATCTTTCATTTCCTTTGTGAGCCCACTGGTTCCTCGGGAGCTTATTCGTGCAATGGCAAATCATTCTCAGAGTTCATTTGAGCATGGATATATTTGTGGACACATGGATTACTCGAGTTAAGGCCAATAGACATGACGCAAACGAGCCACATTTTGACTCTGGCCCGCCTATACCGATTGGCATCCAGGACCCGGCTCTCGATACACGAAGACGAAGACTTGAAGCATCCGAGAACTTGGCCACAAGCCTGGATCTTCTACAGCAACACTATCCTAGGCCTTGGGCCTCAGTTCCAACATGCATTAAAGGTGTATGCTGACGATAGACAAACCCAGTACTTCCCCGGTGATCATGGACTACTCGGACGCGATGACTACCGTTGTGTCGTTACTGTCTAGATGAGTTAAATGAAAGGACAAGGCATGGCAGTCTATGAGGTGTTAAACGTTTCACACCCGTTGGGTTGATCTTTTTTCTTCTGGCTGTCAGCATGTACAGTTATTGTGGTACATCAAGTTTTCCGGTTATGCGATCTCTGGCATTTTCCAGGTCCTCGTTGCCGTCAAACAGAACATGCAGACAATCATGTCATGTCTTTTCACGCAGGATGCCTCGGGCTACTGTCTTCTTGCCGCGGTGGTTGAGTCTGTCCATTTTCATCTCATCATAAAATACACACTGTGGTATCATAAAGAAGTCCTCCCCAATCCTAGGTTTCAATCACCAGCCATGTATACCCTTGTCTATTTACCCTCTCATGAGCCTTTTTGACTGTTGGCCCATCATATCCCATGGTATATCATTTTCATGTACATGTCAGGCAGATCCACCGCCAATTAGACCAGTCCCTTATTCCCAATCATCATCGTCGTCATCCCCACGAATAATCCCACTGCGAATAGTCTTGTTCTTCTTCACTCTAGGCCCCCTCCTAACCTCCTCCCCTTCACTCCCACTCTCCTCATCCTCATCATTATCATCATCCGAGAACTTCGCCTGAAGAAGAACATCCTTGCCCAACAAGCGTTTCTCAAGAACCTTCACGCTAAAGCTCTCCCCAGCATCATTCCCCCGAGCACCAAGGCCTTCAAACCCAACAACACGCGTAACACCAACCCCATCCTTAAACCCAATCACACAAGGCAATACGCGAATTCCCAATTTCTCCGTCAAAAACGGCGTGCTCCGCACATCAACCCGCGCAAAGGAGACCTCATAGTGTCGCGCCGCAAGCTCCGATAACCGCTTATCCATTACCATGCACCGCGCGAAATCGTCGTGGGCAAAGTGCACGATACACCGCGTGCTGCGCGTTGTGAAGTCCAGTACGGCTTGGTCGCCTGAGATGGAGGGGTAGGTGGTTGTGGTGTTGGCTGTTGCGGCGTTCTTGGCGTCGCGGTTGGTCTTTTTCGAGGCGTATTCGGCATTTAGTTGTTGGATGCGGTGGTCACGGTAGCTTGTGTCTTCTTCGTGTTCCAGTGCGGCGAAGAGGGCTTCGTCGTCCGACTCGGTTGTAGCGTGGGCGGACATTTTGAGTGTGCCCTTGAGGGGTGGGGTTGAGGGTATGAGGGGTTTTGTGGATATAGGTGGGCTGTCGATTACTCAATTGGAGTCATTGATGGTAGGGGGACTCCTTGAATTGAGTTGTGGTGAAAGTGGGGGGTAGTTGTAGTGGTGATGTTGGTGAAAGTGGGCTGGATACTGTCTGCGGTGCGGCGTATACTCGAGCTCGGGTCACCGTTTATCACGGGGTGATTTCCCGTTTGGACAATATTCGGCAATTGATGTGGGGATAAAGTAGGTAATTGGATAATTCTGAGTCTATTCAACACTTAAACTGTTTTTAATCTTTTTTTCCATAATAATCAAACTAGTTATACCAGTATCCAAGTGTACTGGAGTAAATTAAAATTAGAATGTAATTTCATGTAATTATAGGGCTGACTCAGCCCCCTATCTGCTGACATAATCTCCAAAAGTTCCTCTCGCGGCGTTTCTCTTGCGCGTCGTGAACTTCGATACTTCCAGCCTGTCCAGTTTGTTCCAACTTTCCACTGTCGCTCGCTTTGTCTGCGCACGTCGACGTCTTCTCTCGACTCTCGACTCTCGACTCTTGACTTCCGGTCTTCGGTTTCCGACTTCTCATCCCTCCCTTCCCGTTCACTCGCCCACCCGAACCCTCCGCCATGGCTGACGATAAGAAGACCGACGACTACACTGTCGAGATGGACAAGCTTGACAAGGGAAACAAGGAGTTCGAGGCGGCTCCGTCGCCTCTGCCCCGTGTTTCCCATCCCAGTCCGGTCGCAGGCCACCCTGCCTTGCCTGTTCTGGCCTACTGTGGTGCCTCCATTCTGATGACCGTCATGAACAAGTATGTCTTGTCGGGTCTGGACTTCAACCTCAACTTCCTTCTGCTCATGGTTCAGGTACGTTTGTTGTCAAAGAAGGCCCGTCGGCGATTACTCAATACTAACATACCCAGTCGCTTGTCTGCATTACTGCCATCCAAACATGCAAGTCCATGGGTCTCATCACCTATCGTGACTTCAACACCGATGAGGCGAAGAAGTGTAAGCCCCCTCTGATCCACCAAGGGTTGCCGTTTGTATCTAACATATTATTCTCTTGTTAGGGTTCCCCATCACTCTTCTTTTGATCGGCATGATCTACACCGGCTCCAAGGCCCTCCAGTTCCTCTCCATCCCCGTTTACACCATCTTCAAGAACCTGACCATCATCCTGATTGCTTATGGCGAGGTCCTTTGGTTCGGTGGTTCGGTTACTGCGTTGACTCTCTTCTCCTTCGGCCTGATGGTGTTCAGCTCCCTCATCGCCGCCTGGGCTGATATCAAGCACGCCGTTGAGAGCAGCGGCGACACCTCCAGCGCTGTCTCCACCCTCAATGCCGGTTATCTGTGGATGTTGATCAACTGCCTGTGCACCTCGTCCTATGTTCTGGGCATGCGCAAGCGTATTAAGCTTACCAACTTCAAGGACTTTGACAGTATGTCCCCTACTTGTTCCTTTTTCTTCGCCCCCAACCCACTAACCCATCTTAGCCATGTTCTACAACAACCTGCTTTCTATCCCCGTCCTGCTCGTCGCCACCCTCCTCCTCGAGGACTGGTCGTCTGCCAACCTGGCCCGCAACTTCCCCGAGGCCAACCGTAACGGTATTATGGTCGCCATGATCCTGTCCGGTGCCTCTACTGTCTTCATTTCCTACGCCTCCGCCTGGTGCGTGCGCGTTACCTCGTCCACCACCTACTCCATGGTCGGCGCTCTGAACAAGCTCCCTATTGCTCTGTCTGGTCTCATTTTCTTCGACGCCCCATGCACTTTCCCCAGTGTCTCCGCCATCTGCGTCGGCTTTGTTTCCGGTATCGTCTATGCCGTGGCCAAGATCAAGCAGAACGCCAAGCCCAAGATTGGTATTCTCCCCACCTCCAACCCTCTGGTCAGCGCCAGTAGCCAGAGCATGCGCGACTCCCTGCGCTCCTAAAATACTCCACCTTGATCTCAATTCTTAAAAAGGCGGGAAAGAAACTTAGCCAACCTTCCCCTCCAACCCTACCCCCTTCCAATCTGGTTTTACCCATTGGAAAGGCAGGGCAAACCAATCCCCTTCATCTGTCATGATGCGACGCGGGGGAGCATTTATTGCATTTGTATGACTCACGTTTCATTGCAGCCCGTCGATGCACTCTGCAATTCGATACTGTATCCTTTTTTCCGTTGTCTCTTTCTCTTTCCGGTGTTGGTGGCTTCTACTTTCTTGTCTTCCTTCATCTGGGGAAAGGGTTCTCCATCTTGGTTTGCAGTATGATATAGTAATTTTTCTACCTCTGTTCTCTTTTTTCTCTTCCTCTTCCCCCTCATGCGGGCATAGCCTGGTTTTCCCCCTCTCATGTTCGATGTATATAGGTCTGCTTGGAGTAAAGCAATAGAGTGTGCTTTTGAGATATGTTCATGTCTTTAATTCATAGGCATCTAATATAAGGTTTTGTGTTTTAACTTGAGGTTTTCCTTGTGTCCTGCAAGTTTTTGGCTATCTTCAACTTGAAGTTTGTAGAGAGAGCTGGTCAACTGGGTAGTTGTAAATAGATTTACTCGACCCTTCTATAGAGGTCTTCGCTAATTCCACAACCCCCCCCCCCCCCCCTCTTTACCATATATTAGTAGTGCTATCACTTTTTCGATTCTATCCATTATGTTCCTTTGGATTAATTGATCTTGTACATATAATTTCCAAGTTAGTTCTTGGTGGTTTCCGCTTGCGGAACCGATTGGACCGGATTTGTCTCCGCTGAGGCTGATCTATCAACGGTGATATTCGCAGTAAAACCATTCTACCACAGATTCTCTCTTCAATCATGAGTGTTCTGGAAATATTCTACAGCAGATTCCTGTTAATAAATCCAAGAAATCAAACCTGTATACCAATTCCTTAGTGTTTCACTCTGCCAGCCAATCGGTGTAGCTATCGATAGACAACCACTTTTCCCGTCCGGAACTTTGATTGGCCGACATTATTTTCAACCTCAACCTCAACTCTCACAATACTCAGCCTAACACCCACCAACAACCAAATCTATACATCAAATACGCTATACTACATATAAAACCACAACCGCCGTCAAGACAAACATCGCCATGCCCCGCAAGAAGCAGAAGGGCCCTCCTCCTCGTGCCAATCGTCCTGGTGGCCCTAAACAGGGTCAAGCTCAGGGCCAGGGCGCTGGAGCAGGAAAAGGAAAAGGCGCGCCCGCATCTGTCCAGCAGAAGGGTGGAAAACAGAATTCTGCTCCAGGGCCTGGGGCTGGAAATGGAGGTGGAAGTGGACCGCAGAAGTTGCAGGGCTCGCAGCAGAATCAGAGGCCCATTGTGCCGTTTTTAAGGGGAGATCGGATTTTGTTGATTGGTGAGGGTACGTGATTGCTTTTCTTTTTGTTGGCTTTTCTTTGGACTTGGGAGCTTCTTTTCCGCGTTTATGGTTTGGCTTTTTGTTTGAATTTGCTTGGTTGGTTTGGAAAATCTCAATTCTTTCCATTGGATACTGAGTAAATGTCGATCGAATTCTCCAAGGGCCTTTTGTATTTGATTAGAAATGGCACTCACCTTGGCAGGAAAAGGGGAAACAAAAAAAGTCATCTCATACTAATTATCAACTACAGGTGATTTCTCATTCGCCCGATCTCTGGCAAAGCAATACAAATGTCGCAAACTCTGCGCAACATGCTACGATTCCAAGGAAACACTCTACACCAAATACCCACAAGCGGATTCACATATCCAAGAAATCCTCTCATCATCAAAATCCACGTCCACTGAAACAGAGGACAAAGAGAAGCAAGAGGGAGCAGGAGAATCATCGCATCAACCCTCCTCCCACCCCGGTCCAAAGGTCCTCTTCTCCATAGACGCGCGCAAACTCGGCACCCAAGGCGGCGGAGGCAAAGAGATAAAAACAGGTTTCACCCGCCGCGAGCGCAAAACACCCGCCTGGAAACTCCACCAGCAACAACATCAGCAGCAGCAGAAGGAAGAGCAGCAAGAAGCTGCACGACAAGATGCTCAGAATGGCGGTCAAGCATATGCTGCTAGGATGAAGATGCAACCGCACCCGAGTACTCCGACGACGCCGGTAGCAAATAGCGGGCCTTGGGATGTGATTTGTTTCAATTTTCCGCATGTGGGTGGTTTGTCGACGGATGTTAATCGGCAAGTTAGAGCGAATCAGGAAATGCTTGTTTCGTTTTTTAAGGCTTGTGTTCCTCTTTTATCGACGGCGCCGGAACAGGCTGGTTCGGATGATGAGTGGGAGTCTGGCGATGAGGAGGATGATGAGGAGTTTTCTGATGATGATGATGATGAGAACGATGCTGGCGAGGGTGCAGGTGCAGGTGCAGGTGCAGATGTCCAGACTACCGGCAAAACAACCCGGACAGGACCAGGTCAAATTCTCGTCTCGCTTTTTGAAGCCGAGCCGTATACGCTTTGGAATATTAAGGATCTGGCGCGGCATGCGGGGTTGCAGGTTGTCACTAGTTTCCGATTTCCTTGGTCTTCGTATGAGGGTTATTCGCATGCGCGGACTTTAGGGGAGGTTGAGGGGAAAGATGGCCAGCGAGGTGGATGGCGTGGGGAGGATCGGAACGCGAGGATGTATGTTTTTGAAGTGAAGAAGGAGGTTCCTAAGGGTGGGAAGAAGAAGAAGGAAACTACCAAGGGCGGAAAGACGAAGAGGCCGAGAGATGACTCGAGTGATAGCGAGTAATTGGGTTTAAACCCTAGCGCTGGAGTGGTTTTATCTTCTGCATATTTATCAGTGGTTTTGAGAGAAGCAGCTAGTAGATATCAAGAATAAGTAGTATTGATATTGAAATGTTCGGATCCCGCCCGAATGAGATTGATTGAGTTTGCATTCGTTATACCCCTGTCCCTTCACAATATATACACTTTCTTCATGTCGCTTTCTAGGAAAACCTCGCCCGTTGTTGGATCCTTCACTTTCCCGTCTTCGACAGAGCCTACCTGTCTGCTGATATCCAGCAAACGAGACTTGCTGTACACTCGGCCGTTCGGCAACACGATCGAGTCACCTTCAACGTAACTCTTGGAATGATGCGCGTATGGCATCTTACGTGCAAGGTCGTTCAACTCTGTCGAGCATATTGGGCAAACGGAGGTAGCTGTGGATGCTGAGTTGGAGCTCGATGAGGCGTAGGCAGAGTGGCAAAGAGGTGTCTTCAACGCAGACAGTCCGGCGGATAAAGCAATATGCAACAATGGCTGTGATGGCAAGGAAAGCAGTTCATGGTGAGTCTTTATGAAGAGGTCAGACAGATACTTCCAACGGTCTGTTGAAAACAGGGTCTGCTAAACGTTAGTCCTTGTATGCCCCCGATTCTTCGGAACAAATGACAGACCTTATACGGCTCTGCTCGGGTATCTGGGGTGATAACAAGCATTCCTGCTGCTCGCATAATTTCTTTATTCTGTGTCTCTTGGTTTGTGATCAAATATCTTTTTGCATGAGCAATGGCCTCGATTTTCTTTGTTTGATCACGCGACCGGACCAGCTCGATGTATTGCTGCAGGCGCAGTTCGAATTCCAGATTATGCTGCACCAAACCAATCAGTATGCCCGGGCCAATCTCCTTAAGTGTGGTGGTTTTCCATACCTGACTCTTCTTCAGCGCGGCTTTGTTCTCACCGCACCACTGTAGCGCCTCTTTGGTCTCCCCTTGGCGTAGACACTCGACAATCCGCTGGCACTGTGTAAAAACACCCAAATCGACTAGATCTTCAATATCCCGCTCTTGCGCTAATTGCTTCGCACTCTCCGAATATCCCGACCGCAGCATATGATCCACGAGTAACCGATCTAGTCTTACCCGAGACCACTGATCATACTTGACATCCGCCAAGCTCGGAATCTTATGCAGGGCCTCTAGATGCTGAATACGCTTGCGCGATTGGTTCTGTATCCTCTTTTCTTCTTCCTGTAAGCTCTGCATTTTCCGTTTCAGGCCCTGCATGCGGGAGAGCATCGCATCGAGGGCGGCAAGTGTCTGGTCCGGCGTTTGGGTGTTGGATAGGGAGGCGTTGGCCGCTTCTTTAAGGGCTGGGATGACATATTCTTTCTCTCGTTCGACGGATCTTTGAACGGACTTGAAGTTTCTTCGTGCTAGGTCGTTGGGGAGGCGGAGGAGTGGTTGGTCCTATTCAGAGAGTGTAGTTAGCTTCCGATTCCGGTTTCGGCGCTCTTTTCGAAATGCTGCCACCCACCAAGATGATATGACTCTCTGGATTGAGCTTGATGGAAGTTAGCTCTGCTGCCATGCTGGTTCTGGGCGAGACTGCCTCTGTATCTGCCTTGTATGGTGTTCTTGATTCAAGTGAGGAGAAGTTGCGGTGATGACGGAGGGAATGCGGAGAGTGGAGATCGGAGCACGGAGCACCTCTTGGGTCACGAGATCGTCATGCAATCAGCAGCTAATGAGGTGATGGAAATGCAGAACGCGTGGAAAATAATTACTGTTTACTAAGAAGCATTATAACCGTAGATTAAATATTTTGTAATTTATTTCGTTGGCTTCTGTCACTGCCCAGGTGGCTTATGGAAATAACCCTGTAGATAACTACGGAGAATATGCTACAAGGTATAAAATAGCAGTATAACTAAGTATAACTACTAATAAAGGGCCTATATAATATAAGACTACACTGCTTACAGAAGCAGATAATCAGACTTCCCCTTCTCTCCTTCTATCCCTGGCTGTCCTCTCTATACTCCTACTATTCCCCAGTAGCCTAGACCTAGTTCACCGACAGCTCCCCTCGTGGGCCCCAGCGGGCTCTAGGCCGTGCTTTCTTTTGACATCAGCCCTGTGAAAATGATCAGCAATTTTCAAACAGGCCGACCCTCAACATCAAATCCGAGTTTGTGTTTATTTGCACCTCCGAGTCTTATATCAACCACACTGCTGCTTCTACGTGAGTTCCCGACGCGTTGCTGAGTCAGGCTGACGAATCATAAGCGAGCCGATGAGGGCCAACTCACCGGGACGCGTAGAACAGGCCCCTATCTTCTCGTTTCTTCTTTGCTAGATTGACCACTACCTTACGGATATTTTCTTCATAAAGCAGAGTGCAGTCGATTGGGTTGGAGGGTATCTATTATATCCGTCAGAAACATGGGACACGACGTGCCTCCAGCCGGCGGTTTGAAAGGTATGGACACACGAAAATTGCACCGAAACTTCGCAATATCGTTTCCTTATACCGCTTGTTAGTTTGGACCACTCTTATCACAAATACTGCGTATTTGTCTGGTCTTTTGACCCTAGACTATTCTCTCAAGAAAGTTGGCTCAAAGTATCCACTCGTCGTGCTTTATACGGACTCATTTCCTGCGGATGGACATAAAGCTCTTGACGCAAGAGGAATACTGAAACGACATGTACCTTATCTTCTCTCCAACATCTACAAAGGATTACGCAAACGATGTCCGCTTCTACGACTGCTGGAGCAAGCTTACGCCATTTTCACTCATTGAATATGATCGCATTGTCCAGCTTGATAGTGATATGCTGGTCCTGCAAAATATGGATGAGCTGATGGAGATTCCTTTGGATGGAGCAGATATGAAGGGAATGGGTGATCGTGTGTTTGCTGCTAGCCACGCATGTGTCTGCAATCCGCTTCATAAGCCTCATTATCCTACTGATTGGTAAGCCTGGTGATGGTGGTGCTGGTATTTATTGAATCATAAATACCTTTCTATTCCTGAATTATTTGTGGAGATGCTAATTCGATATTTGGGGACAGGGTTCCGGCCAATTGTGCCTACACTACTCAGCATGACAGCCCAGATATTGCGCAAACAGCTGGACCTTCAGCTACCGCAGGCCTAGGAATACCAAATGGTGGCCTCCAGGTGGTGAACCCTTCACAGGCAATTTATGACAAAATTGTTGAACAGCTTGCGTCTGAGTCTGCAACATCCGGATATGATTTCGCTGACCAGTCACTTCTTGGTGATATTTTCTATGGCCGATGGGTTGCGCTGCCGTATATATACAACGCGCTTAAGACACTACGCTGGAAAGGAGTTCATGATTCTATATGGCGCGACAATAGTGTGAAAAACGTGCATTATATATTAAGCCCGAAGCCGTGGGATGAATGGGCTAACGGGCAGATACATGAGGGAGAGAGCCAAGATCCTTCCCATGCTTGGTGGATATCATTGAATTCGGAGAGATTAGCAGAGGAAGAACAGGGAGGTCTTGCGGATGGCTTTTGAGCTACTAGTAATTTCACAAACTCCAAATCTTCGCTTTACTGTGCCTCGTATAGCTTGGTGGGAGTCTAATAAGGCCTCGAGATCAGAGGTCTTGCGCTGCCATTCCACCACAGGAGCTGGGAGCTTTTGAATGGTATTACAGCTAGTAGATACATTTATACTCTTATCCCGACCGGTATTGGGACCAGTAGCTCGAGCATGAGGGGGAGGCATCGTATACCTTTCTTGGGGAGTGGCATTCAGATATACCGGTGGGGTGGTAAAGTCAAGAAGAATAATTAGACCACACGCTCGTCCGATGTGAAAAGTTATGCCGGGGAGGGGAAATTGGCTGGCTTTGCCTCGAGGTGATGTTTGTGTTTCCACTCAAACTGTTGAGCCTGGGCCTGGCTCGCTGGTGTGCTGTCTGTATTAGGATTTGTCTCTGTCGGTTTCGGAGGATATCTCGTATTTGATCATCGGTATATGACTGTGACTGAGGTCCAAGCTTTTGGCGAGCCAAGTGGATATCCTGGGCGGTGATAGGTCGCATGGGTGGAAATGCCTGGGGCTGCAATGCGTGTGAGTGCGATGATGGCGTTGACGGACTGGGTTGCGACTGCCCACTAGACATGCGACTAGTACCGGCAGAAATGGATACGTTACTCCGGCCATAAGCGAATTGAGCGCTAGATCTCGGGGGTCGCCTTTTAGGGTCGTCAGGGAAGAATTGAGCAGCCATATCTTGTGGCATTGGGCCGCCGTTCAGATTCATAGTCCCAGGAGATTCGCGACCGGGAGGTTGGAAATCGGCAAGGATGGTATTAGTACTAGTAGATATAGCTCGGGGAGCAGATATCGTGTTCCGCTCTTGGGGAGTGCCTGATTGAGGCTGAGGTATGTGTAAATGCGGTGGCGTAAATTTATCCCGTGGACTGAGGTCGGGTCCTATTCGCGCTGTTATCGTGCTTTGGCGTGTTTGACTGTTCATTTGACCGAGTTCATGTTGCATCCGGTTATACTTTCTCTCATGTCTCTCATGCTCAAGTATTAGAGCCACCAGCCTTCGTCGCGTCTGTGTAGCTTCGCAAGACCGGTCTTCCGATATCGTTTTTGAAGTCCTTGTGGCGGGCTGAGGCTTTTTGACCTTGTCACGCAAAGCGCGAAATGATCTTTTGGGCGTAGCCATCTTGTAATTCTGCGATCAAAAGGCATGGCATTGTCTCAATAGTCTGACCAAATGAAGTAGTAGCCGGGTTGGAAGGGACAGACCGTCGCTGCTTAGCTATTCACAACCCGATGATCGTGTGACCAAGAAGGTGTGGTAGGGGAGGTAGGCACACCGACTTGATGATAGTTGAGCGCGTAATGGAGAAGTAGGAAGCGAAGTAGTCTCAGATCCGGAAATTCCTACCCAGCCGCCTTCTGGATCGTTGATATTGTGAGGTAGTCGGTGGGTGACGTTTGTGTGAAGGGACGATTGGCTGCAACTTGGGCATTCGGCCCCTGCGAGTCAAGTGCTGGGCAGAAGGTACAAGAGATCACGTTAGTCAATAAGCGACTGGCGGTGTGGTCTCTCCTCATTTTAGATGCCCAATGGAGAACGCTATTGAAGCGCCCGGGTTGCCGAGCACCCCGCTCGAGGCTCAGCGCAAATCAATTTCAGAAAATGACTCTCCAAACGTTTGCTGATGCTCGCAAGCCTTTCGGCACGTCTGTACAATGTCTTTTACTTCTCACCATTATTGTGTCGCAGTCCTGTGTGCGCTTCGCGTTGAGCTTCTTGCAGTACGAGCTCTATTTGACGAAGAGCACCAACCGTTGAAAACTGCCAAAGAAGATACAAACCATTATTCACTGGGACGAATGGGTGGGAAGTTTGTCGTGGCGACATGTCTTCCATCCGGGGAGTATGGCACTAATGCAGCAAGTGCGATAATGCTCAATCTACAACGAAGCTTTCCACGAGTCGAATACTGTTTGTTAGTGGGAATTGGCGGAGGCGTGCCCTCCCCCACAAACGACGTTCGCCTCGGTGATGTCGTTGTTAGCCATCCGGATGGTGCCGTTCCAGCTGTTGTGCAATACGACATGGGGAAGATGCTGGAAAATGAGGTGTTCAACATTACAGGAATACTCCGATCACCACCCCGACTGCTTATGACCGCAATCGCCAGTCTTCGATCACGACCAAACGAAGAAGCCAACTCACTTCAATATTATATAGAGAAAATTGGAAGAGGAAGGCCTGCGTATCAATTCCCAGGTCGAAACAAGGACATCCTATTTGCGACAAATGCCCCCCACCAGACAGCTGACGATGACTGCCGTTCTTGTCATGGTGATATTGTCAACAGACCCGACCGCCCTTCGGATGAACCAAAGATTTTCTATGGACCAATTGGATCCGGAAATAAACTTATCAAAAGCGCCAGATATAGAGACTACTTACGGGAAACGCATAAGATCATGTGCTTTGAGATGGAAGCAGCTGGTGTGATGAACTTGGTTCCATGCTTAGTGATACGAGGTATTTGTGACTATGCAGACTCCCATAAGAACAAGGTCTGGCAGGAATATGCAGCAGCAACAGCGGCAGCTTATGCGATGCTCTTACTTTGCACAACGAGAAACTACAAGGAAGCGAATGGCAGCCCCTTCATGTCGTTTGAGGCCAGGCCGATTTATGAAAACGAGAACAGGCTGGAAGATCTCACCAGACCTACCGAAGAAGGGGCGCCTAGCCGTTCTACTCAAGCAGCTCACATTGATGAGAGTCCAGAACTATGCCACAGTATCTACGGTCGTATTCCCAAGCGTTCTCCTGCAGCCTCTTGCAGGAGGTTCGATCTTGAATATCATCCTGACCAAACCCTGCAGAAGGTCTCTTCATTCGCAAAACGAGATCCATCATGGAATCCATGGCCAAAAGATAAATATTCTCTCCGACTGTTCGACAGCATCAGCGGCTGGATCACTGATCCAAACTGTAAATTGCTTACGGTTGGAGGAGCACTCGCTCGCTCGATTTCGGAGCTTCCCACACCCGCAAATTTCGCCTGTCATGTAATACAGTTTCTGAGAAGCCAGACGGTGTCTCCAATCATCTGGCTATTTTCCAGCATGGATGACAGGCATAATCCCGAAAGAGCCTTCATGAGTCTTATTTCACAGGCTCTAGATCTGTACAGCGATATACCCAGAGAAGAATTGTCTATTAATGAAACGCAGCGAGAAGAAGCAACCGAAGAGCAACTTTGTATGATCTTTGCTCGCATTTTACCTTTCCTTCATGGATGCTTTATTGTGATCGAGATGAAAGATGCAGCCCTAGCAGGACGTCTAGAAGATGTCTTCCATCGAACTTTCGAAAATCCCGGCGCGAACTTCAAAGCAATGATAGTTAGTTACAATATGCGCCAGAAGGACTACCGTCATGAGAAAGTACGGCATGCCATTATGCCGGCAATAAAGCTGCGAGGTTCACAGCCTAACTGGGATGGCCGTTGGAACTCATTAAAAGCACAATTTACCTAGGGAAACGGACTTCAGGACTTCCCGTATATTCAGCTTAAGACAACGACAGCGTTCAACCATGCGGTCAAAGTCGAAATACTATCAAAATCTTGATATTTGATGAGTCTAGATGCCCGCGTTCTTTCATCATTTTTTGAAACAATTTGTCCCGCCCATCCTATATCTATTGAACCCAATTTAATCTATCGATCGAAAGCTGCGTACCGATTAAACTCTATCAGTATAGGACTACATCTTGACTTTGCAGATCACGCTTGTCATAGCCCAAAGGCGCGTGGGAGAAGGTGCGTGGGAGAAGAATATTATTGGCTGCCTCGCACACCCCCTGCATGCGACGATAGCCCCCACCAGCCCAGCTTCGCTCCAAATCTCGAATCTTGTTCTTCGTTCTTCCTCTAGACACAACAGCCACAAAGTAACTCTAGATTACCACCTAACCCCTTTTGCCATATAAAATGATAGCTTCGAGGAAGCGCAAAGAGCTGTCCGCCGACGACTGCGACAAAGACAACTCGCGCAACTGGAACGCTAAAAAACAAGCCCCATCATTCCCCGCTCTACCTTTCCAGACGTGCACAATCTACCGCGTCCACTGCGAAGGATTAGGCGAGCACGAAAACCATGAGAATGTGTCATATTTCGAAGACCAACCTCGACTGTTTACTGGGGACAGCAAAGCAAGCGCTCTCCGCGGCAGGGAAAGAATTGCCGATCTCTCAGACTTCGTCGAATCCCGTTCGGAAATCGGTCTTATCCTGTATCGGGACTACTCCTGCGAAAGCTATCATAAATTGATAGAGCCCTATTTTCGAGCGCTCGAGAAACCAGATGTTGTCAGCAGGTCCATGCGACCTTACTTTTATCGACTGGACGAGGATGGGATTGCTGGACACTCTGATGAAGAAGCAATGCTTGTTGTGTCGGAAGAAATCAAAGCTGCGCTTATGAAACTGACGGGTCTTGACTATGACACCATTTCTGATCTCGAAGACGCGACAGAAATGCGAGAGTTGGTCACGCAGATTTATCACCATCGTGGCATTCGCGAGGGTTCTCACTTTGCAGAGAGATTGGGGGAGCATCTAGAATTTGCTATTGGTTTAGTCAGTTTTATGCAAGAGACCTTTTCCGACGAATATGAAGAGGCCGATGCTCTCTTCGATGCGGGAATGGTGAACGAGTTCCATCTCCCTAAGCTACTCGGACCCGATACTGTTCTCGTCACCCAAGAACAGGGTCATTATCATGCTTATACCTTAGAGAATTTTCAAGCACTCAATAAGAGAGTGTTATGTTGGGCATGGAAGTTCAACGGTAGATTCTGGAAATACCGAAGTACCATCTATGTCAAGTGGCCAAGTACGCTGCGCGAGATTGCCATATCCGAGTTATCGATTTACCCCATTAGGTATGCAACGCCAAATATCCAGGACCTTCTCAAACAGAGAGGATGTCAGTTATGGTCAGTGCGTCATGGCAAATACGTTTCCTATTCTCCTAACGGGACACCGAGTGGTATACAGAGTGTAAGCACCAGAGGCTAATTACAACTATATCCACTAATTTGTTTTTCCAGATACAGCCGCGATACATGGTAGATATGGCTACTTACCGTGAGCTGCATGATGACAAGGATTCAACCGATGATCGGGAGTACCTGTCGGAGGAACTGATGGAAAGCGAGAATCCCCCAGGGGGAGATTTTCTTCTGCTCCTACCTGCGAGCGTCCATGGCTTTGGATTCCAGGACAAAAAGTGGAGTAAGAATTCCACTGGAATTAAACGATGAAAGGATATCCAATGCTAATTTTGGGAATAGGACTTCTATCTGTTTCCCAAATCAGACCCATCAAATGGAATGAACAAGCATTCGAGCACTTAGTGCTTAATATGACGAAGAAAAAGCTGATACGTGCTCTTGTCAAGAAGCATGATTCTACAAATGAATCAAAAGACGTCATTGAGGGGAAAGGAAACGGCCTGATATTTCTCTTACATGGTGGCCCTGGTACTGGAAAGACACTTACGGCAGAGTCTGTGGCAGAGGTTACACATCGCCCTCTTTATCGAGTAACCTGCGGAGACGTGGGTACAAATGCAGAAGATGTCGAAGAATACCTTGAGTCTGTACTCCACTTAGGCAAAATATGGCGATGCGTCGTACTTCTCGACGAAGCGGATGTATTCCTGGAGGAGCGCACACATCAGGATCTGCAGAGAAATGCACTGGTTTCGGTTTTTCTGCGTGTGATAGAGTATTACGATGGAGTTTTGGTTCTGACATCGAATCGAATTGGAACTTTCGATGAGGCCTTCAAGTCGCGCGTACAGTTGATCGTTCATTATCCCAGGCTTGGAAAAGAGGAAAGGCGACGTGTTTGGCTCAAATTTATTACTAACCTACGTGATCATACGGTCAATGCGAACGTGGACGAACTGAAAGAATTCACCGGGGAGCTGAGTAACCATGAACTGAATGGGCGAGAAATCAGAAATGCAGTCCAAACGGCAACTCTTCTAGCTGAAGACGAAGAGGAGCAGCTCCAATATGAACATTTAAAAAAGGTCATAGCGGTTTCGGAGGAGTTCAAGCAGTATTTACGAGATAGATTTGGCCATGACGATGAGGAGCTTGTGCAACATCGCGGAACTCGATAAGGAATTTTGAGAATATGAATGAGGAGCCTAGGATGTCGTTCCTTGTTGATAATTACTTCTGATCGAACTTTTGATGATCCATTGTTGGTAGAGCTTATTATATCGTCGTCTAAGAGTGCTATCTTCCATGCTTGACATCAGGTCTCCACCGCGTTTGCTCTTTGCATGTTGTTGGCCTTAATCTTGGGGTGCCTGTTGGGATGGACCTTTCATGACTCCCTGGCCTTGATTTTGTCTGTTAGGGTCCTTTGCTTGAACACTGATAATCTGGGCAAAGTGCAGCCTCTGAAGTGTTAAAAGATGGTTTGGGTTAATTCCAGTCGAGGCTTGTGAGTTTGATGAAACCCATTGCTTTAGCTGGCCCCAGGTTGTGATGTTCTTCGGAACCTTCGAATTATTGGTGAGAAGGGACTGTGGGAAAGTCGCCTGATCCATTTGTGTAGTTTGCTCTGGGGTCATCTCGATGAAATTGTTTTGTTGCTGCTGCATCTGAATTCTAGCCATCTCACCGTGTTGAGCCCGTTGTATGTGCCATGGGACCTGCAGGTGACCAGGTTGGCTCGCTTGCTGTTGAAAATTACCGGCCCTTTGACCAGAGTCGTTTTCATGCTGTATATTGCCAGCTAGAGCCGCACGACGAGTTAGTTTCTCCTGGAGAATCGTGCGCTGTTTTTCGTTATGCGTCTTTCTTTGAGCGAATTTGGCCCGAGGTCTTTCGACTTTCTTCTCGTGTTTTCGTTTTTCAACTCGAAGGGCGATGAGTTTGCGACTTGCATGAGTTTTCTCACACGAAATGTCGTCCGAAATTGTCTTCTTCAAGTTTGTAAGAAGCGGCGGTTTTTTTTCGTCGCGGCGCGCGAGAAAAATTGTCTGTCTTGACGTATCCGCGGAGGTATCCTAAGACAGATACCAAACAGACCTTAGCCAATCTTCGACAGACCTTAGCTTTCTCGATTAGATACGAGGTACAAACCATTATATGTATGTTTCACCGTTCGGAGTATGACGACTATGGTTCGACAGAAGCGCGACAGTGGTAATGGGCTTTCGCGGGCGACGCGGCTCTGCGAGGCCTCAGGTTGAGTGACTATAGCTTTGGCACTAGTATGAGCTACAGGCTCTTGGTTCAGATAGCTGACAGTGACGAATGCTCTAATTTGGAGCTTCATATAGAAAAGCAAACTTACTGTGCGGATGAGGCGTCGTTGGATCTGGGTCCCTTTGGGTGGTACCCCGCAGTATGTTTGCATACCTCCTCGAGGACTTCGCACCTGGCAATGTGTGGATACTGGATAGATGGTACGAGCCAAGTCTAACCTGCCAAGGCAGATAGGTGCAAGATGAGACTGGAATGCCGTCAAATGTCTGTTGGCGGAAGCCAGATGCTTATAGATTAGTCGTGGGAATGTGACGAGAGCCCGCGAAAGTGACAGTCATCAGATTCCCCTGAGAAGTTTAGGCATATGTCAACATGATACTAGATAGCGGTGTGATAACGCAGGTAGCGCTGGCAATTTTGTGCCGGCAAAACCTGGTAATTAGCTAATCCCTGTACACTAAAACCTACCAATGGAAAATCTATATCTGCAAGGCAATCTTACAAAAAGTCGGGATCTCTAGAGTCTCGAAAGTGAGAGAGTATTGAAGGATGGGTGAGAGGTACGCAGTCCCCGCAGCAGGTTGTACGAGACTCGAGCGTGCGCACGTCAAGTTCAATCACTTAGCTTTAGAGAAGCGGGGTTGAACGGCCCTGGTTCGGAGCCAGAGGGCCCACAACCCGAGAATGGAATTATAAGGAAGAGGCGCAAAGAATAACAGGGTAGGTAATATTCCGAGAGACAGAAGTAGGGAAAAAGGTCAGGGCCATAGGGGCCTGAGGCTACACAGAAATCGTATAAATGTGAACTCGAATAACTCATGTTCGACGGGATAGCTTCACTTCGATGCCAGTTTGTCGCACGAAAAAGCTATTGTGGGTCGACCATTCCTTAGTTGGATCGACAAAACTTATATCATAGCGCGAAATAAGGGTAGCGAGAACCTTATACACCTCAACAAGACCCAGGTGCTTGCCGATACAGATACGGCTACCGCCTCCAAATGCTAAGTCCGTATTGTTCATGAGGCGAAGGCGTTGCTGGAATTCTTCTTCAGTCTCCAGTTTCTCGTCGCGAAGCCATCGCTCAGGGCGGAATATCTCAGCATCCTCGCCAAATACTGACTCATTACGCCCGATAACGTAAGGATTGATTCCAACCACGCAACCGGCCGGCACATGGCGTCCATCGGGGAGATTAAGACCTCCATTTGGTACATATCGTTCAAGAATCATGGCAACGCCGGGATGGCACCTCAATGCCTCACGGACAACAGCATTCAAGTATGGAAAGTTTCTGGAATCCTTGTAGGATGTCGCCGAAGATGGCGAATTAGAATCGTGGACAGGAATTTCCTCTCGGAGGCGCTGCCAGACACCTGGTTGTTTTAACGAGTAGTATAACGCCGCATTAAGGGTGATAGCCGTGGTGTCCGCTCCAGCAATCATAATGACCATTAACCAAGAGATAATCAGCGTATCATCAACAACGTCTGGGAAGTTGCCCTTTGCCTCAATAAACTTGTCTAGGAAGTCCGGCTTCTCTGTGTCATGATAGCTGGAATCACTGCCCTGGAGACGGTCCACCAGATGTTGGATCGAGATATTGGTGATGGTACCGAAAGAGGGTGGCCCAAGCTTATAAATTGGGTTTTTGTCAAGTAGATGATCAAGTATTGGCATCTGTCCGACTAGGGTGAAATAATCCATAGCAATATTAGCCGTACCGAGCGTGCCGTCAAAGTCGTAGCCTTTTTCTAGGTATCCGATCGGTTGACTAAATGTAGCTTGGCCAACGACGTCCCAAGTATCTGCAGGCGTTTAGTTTCAACAAACCGTGACCTAATCATATAATTAGATATTCCGAGGCGACTCACAGTAAGTAATCCATTCTCCAAGGTCACATATTTGAGAAGAATTTGGTCCATCCACAAACTTTTCGTCTAGGCGTTGGCAAAAGTACTGAATTATGTTGTCGATGTGAGGTTCAAGCGTGAGAATTCCATTCAGAGAGAAGTACTTGGAGACGGGTCGTTTTTGTGCCGAATGGACTTCTGGCTTGCACTCGCTGAATAGATTGTAGATAATCTTGCCATTATTCACTGCACTGCTACCGTGGTAAAACTCCGTCTAGAAGGAGCGAAACATTAGCTCTCTCTCTCTCTCTCATAAAGGACATTTAGAGTAACTGATCCGCAAAAGTAAGATGTTAGGTACTTACCTTGAGATAATTCTCCTTGGTGTTGTAAATGGTCTTGACCAACCCAGGAATATCCAAGTCTATGATGTTGGGCGCTATCCGCACCACAGGACCGTACTTTTTATGTAACTTCTGGATCACCAAATGATAGTTTCCCCGCCGGACATGATACATTCGCCATAGGTTGGTCCATCCTAGAGGAATTCAGGTGTCAGATATAAATACGAATGGCTTCAAGAGATATTTATTCAAGCAAGTCCAGACTAGCTTACCGGCAAGAAATGGGCCAGGAAACTGGCGAAGGGGGGATAAAAGGTAAGGTACCAAATACCACAGGGGTAGAATCGCCAGAGAAAAATATACAAGGCCTGTTTGAATCTGTCCTGTGAAACTGAGATGTAACATTCTTGTGAGATTTCAAGCTTGTCGTCGTGGATCATTCAAACAGTTATTGGTGAATTTTTGATTTACTAGAATAGCAGCAACTGAATGCCAGCTATTACCTAGGTATATGTAGGCGCCTTCGGCGGGGTCGAAATTCGTACATGGCTGGGAAATTCTGCTGTCGCTTACGGCGTTGTCGATCTGGTCCCAAGTTTTACCTTAGATGCATCTCAAGTTACACAAGCTACCAAACCTCGAGATGTGGCTGCCCCTTCTGCCTTCTGCATGGCCTAGATTTGTCACGGACCCCAGTATTTTAGGGGGCAACGGTTACCCGGGCCAATGATGGGGAGTGTAAAAGGAGTGTAAGCGAGGCGACGGGGCCAGGAAGAACGATGTGGTTCCCCCGCGAGGGTACCCACCAGTTGACACCTGACATGTCGACTGCATGGGCCTTGATCGTCGGAATTCTCGTGCCCATCACGACCACTGTCACTGTCACACAAAGTCAAGTCCAATGAGGTCAGTAGGACCCTTACTGAGCAGTTACACCCTCCGCTAAAGTTCTTTCTACACGCTATCACTCCCCAATACGCATGCTCAGTAGTCGAACATGTAACTAGCAGTGTGATGACGCAACTCGTACTAGCAATGCCAGTGGGCAGTCTGTACTGGCAACACCTGGTAATTACTACTAGGTGATCCCTGCCATTTTCCAATATATATATCCAGTCAAACTCGTAAATAGTGTTTGAGTTGGTGAAGGTTTGGAATTCTGAATACGAGCACGTACCCAAGTAGTAAGATGGGACCTCCTCTGTAAGCTGCAAGGGCCCGGCCCGGTGCTTAGACTGCAACCGTGAGCGCATGTCCCCGCTTCTAGCTCAGCTTCCCCAGCACGGCCCTTGGAATTCATTTAATCTGAATCAAAGACCCATATTTATTGACTATAGACTGGATCCCCGCGCTTTGGAAGGATCGTCGGAAGAATGAACTTTGGAGACCACAATGCAGCGTTACAAGTTGGAGTCAACTACGGATCCATTACGACAGCCCACGCGCCCAAAAGCTTGAACAACGCTGACGATCGCTCTCATCGCGAAAGGGCGCTTGACTCCCTGAGATTCGAGCAGATTGATGCGCGAAAAAAAGATATAAAAAAGGCTAGTAAAGAAACTTGTACATGGCTTCTAGGTCACCAGGGCTATGAAGCGTGGCTTGACCCGGAGAAACTCTCTGAACACCATGGGATTTTATGGATCAGTGGGAAGCCCGGTGCCGGGAAGTCCACTATCATGAAATTCGCATACTTGGATATGAAAGACCGATTCAAAACCAGTCAGGAGAGAACTGTCATCGCTTCCTTCTTCTTCAACGCACGCGGTGAAGACCTGGAGAAATCAGTCTGTGGACTATATCGATCCCTGCTCATTCAAATACTGCAAGGGTTTCCGGATATTCGGAAGGTCCTAGATAATGAAGAGCTTATTTCTCCATCCCGAGATCGCGATATTGGCTGTCCTCCTCTCAACGCGCTGAAGGAATTACTCTCTAGCGCTATGTCTTTTCTTGGTCAACGCTCATTAACCTGTTTCATTGACGCACTGGACGAGTGTGATGAAAGTGATATAGTTGAAATGGTTGAACATTTCGAAGATCTGGCAGAGCAAGCCTACCACCAAAATAGCACATTTCGAATTTGCTATTCAAGTCGCCATTACCCTCACATCAACATCGGCCATGGTATACGATTTACACTAGAGCACCAAATGGGCCATATCAGGGACTTAGAGGTGTATGTGTCAGACCGGTTGAAAATCGGCAATAGTGAACTCTGTCGTGAACTCAAGCAGAAGCTCCTGGAAAAGGCTGATGGTGTCTTTTTATGGGTTGTACTAGTTGTCGAGATTCTGAATAAAGAATGCCGACGTGGTGGGTTTAATCTGAGAAGGAGACTTGAAGAAATGCCGACCAACCTGAGTCACCTGTTCAAAGATATCCTACTTCGGGACACTGAAAATCCGGAAGAGCTCCTGCTTTGTATTCTATGGATTCTTTACTCAAAGCGCCCTTTACGCCCCAATGAGTTCTATCATGCTTTATGGTCCGGCTTGGCCATGAGAAAGCATGATTTGGTTGATGAAAAGCTTCCTGATATACTGTCACGAGCTTCGACTCTCGCGGAAAACACTTCTATGTCTTCCGAGGAGCTTGACAAAGTTTCTATATATGTTACAAGTTCATCGAAAGGTCTGGCTGAGGTTTCATCCACCCATAGGCTAACGCCTGCTAGCCCTCGTACCCCAATTGGACACTCCCGATTCAGCCCGGGGCGAAACGACGTCAGAGTCCAGTTCATTCACGAGTCTGTTCGAGACTATCTTCTCAAAGATAAAGGACTCGAGGATTTGTGGCCTAGCGTGATTTTAGGAGAGGAGGGCAGAGCCCATGATATGCTCAAAAAGTGCTGCAGATTTTACATGGACCACGTGGAAGGCACTGAAGATCGCAGTGAGATCGAATTACTGCGAAGCTTTGGACCAGGCAACCTGCGCGGCCAGTTCCCTTTGCCTTCGCCCAAGCTTGCCAGTCGAAAGGACAGAGAAACAATGACTTTCACAGAGAGGTACGCATTTCTAGACTATGCGACTGATTACATCCTGTTTCACGCGGAGGCCGCAGCACCATCGGTTCCTCAAGATGACTTTTTATCTCTTTTCCCTTTATCTTACTGGATAAGAGTAAGAAGTTTCTACCAGACTAGATCTGTTTTGCAAAGGACTCAGCCTACCTATCCATTGGATACTCTCTTCCATGTTTTTGCCAGGAATGGACTTCCAAATCTCACCCGAACTAGGCGCAAAAGAGATCAAAATGTTCATGTTCTAGGGGGCGACCAAAATAATACTTACCCATTTTTCGTGGCCTTGGCGTATGGCTACAAAGACACGGCAGTTGCTCTTCTGAATCTTCCTGACTGTATATATAAAGGGGCGGATATTCTAGAGGGATTTTCACACGGTCAGGCATACCGGGACGAGAGACCATTCAAGGACAGAACACCTCTTTCATGGGCCGCCGAAGTAGGTAGATTGGAGATCGTCAAGCTTCTGCTTGTGGAAAACTCAATACCTGTCAATCCAGCCAAGAAAGGACAGAAATCAGCACTCGCACGGGCAGTCGAAAATGGCCACAAGAACGTGTCAGCACTTCTCCTAGAGAACGGCGCAAATGTCAAACATTCGGAGCCACTCTTAAAGGCCATTGAGATCGGCCGCGAGGATATTGTGAGTCTTCTTCTAGAAAGCGGAGCAGACATTAACCGTTGGGATCCACTCTCAAGGGCTTCTGAGCTCGGCCACGAGGGTATTGTGAGGCTTCTTCTGAAGAAAGGAGTAGATGTTCACCACGGATCCCCAGTAAAGAGCGCTGTTCGAGGGGGCCACGCGGCTATTGTCAAGCTTCTCCTTGAAAACAACGCAGATGCCAACAAGTCATCCCCTCTAGAATGTGCTTGCCAGCTCGGTCTTGCGACCATCGTGGGCCTTTTGATCGAAAATGGAGCCAATGTCAATAATGTAGCTCCTCTACGAATTGCTTCTAGAAGAGGTCACCATGCGATCATGAGGATTCTTATTCAGAAGGGCGCAGATGTTAATCAAGGAGGCCTATTGGCAGATGCTTCTAAAATAGGCTGCAAGACTACCGTCGAGATTCTTCTTAGCAATGGAGCTAATGTCAACGCTCAAGATGAACAAGGCAATACGGCACTACACCAAGCAGCTTATAGACACGACCATGCTCTCGCGAAGCTTTTAGTTGCACATGGGGCAAACTTTGATCAGGAAGATAGGTCTGGTACAACACCGCATGACGTGATGTACTTGACTACCCGGCGTGATTAATTTGAACCTCGATTCAATGGAGTCTGAGACTGATAGTAGTTGAGTTTCAATGTTGAGAGCAATCATAAAAGCTTCCGAGTAGTTAATATTCAGACTCAACGAACAAATACTATATAACCGGCTAAATATTCTGGAGCCTCTAATCCTGCGCCCCGTCATAAACCTTGGAAATCTTTAAAATGTGTACTAGACTGGACCTCGGGGGTTGTCTTAATCCAGCAGGGCGGTCTCTGCGTCAGCTAATTGTTCTGAAAGACCTTCACCCGGTTCTCGGGCTCACTGTGTTCTATTGCACTCTCACCATCCTCGCCGATAGGACTGGACATGGAGTATTCTTGATTGAATGTACTATATAGTCCCCTCATCAGGGATGTTTTGTACATACGACCATAGGGTGTGGAGAACAGGGCTTCCCGTCCGCTCAGCCGTACTTAAGCCACACGCCGGCAGGTTAGTAGTATGGTGGGTGACCACATGCGAATCCCTGCTGTTGTATGTTTTGTTTTTGTTTATCTAATCATTTTCAAATAGCTACTGCTAATATTTTTAAGCATAGAAATATGCTATAGTGCTTGATAAATGAGCCAGGTTTTACGGTCGGACCTAATCGGGTTTTGCCACAGTCTTCTAATAGTACTAGTATTGGTTTTGATCCGCTTCAAGTTCGTGTTGGTTCATCTAGTATTGATGGTACATACAACTCGAGACAGCCAGGGCATTAATGCATGTTGAGAAATGCCAAATTTGTTCCTGTCGGCATTCTCTCTAGCGCTGCCAGTGGAGGCTTTTAATGTCTTGCCGCCCGGTAGCCAGGTGCAACTACCTAGCTAGGTTCTATCTAGTATCAACTTGACCTCCAGCCCTCTCAGGCTGGGTTAAGTTTGGGAACGTCTACCCACCTAGGTAGGTACTGTCAGGAGCCCGAGGATGTTCACCTCCAGAGGTGGCAGGTGAAAAATTTCACTACTGCAGACGGATTACTGTTTACTATCCATTCAAGGTTTAGTCGAAGTAGAATGAACTATTTTCGCATTTGAGGTCTTTTATAATCTTTCCCCTGTCGGCAGTGACCCAGTCACCAAATTGGAACCCGAGGATCATACTGCGGTTTTGACTTTTAACTATGTTGTATAAAAGAAATCTGTGGGTAAGAGCTCAGCAAATCGGCCTATCAAGAGTAAAAGTCGATGCCATTGGACTTACCCGGATGCTTGTCACCCAGCTCTTCTAGGCCCTTTTGTCGCTGAGAGCAAGCGTACTCCTCAAACTGCTCGGAAGCCTTCGTTTTATTCGCGGCGCCGAAATACCATCGTAGACCCAACGAAAGCACAAGGGAAATGCAAGACAGTCCAAGGGCGGACGCATTTCCTTTCCGGTCTGTTGATAGGGGGGATTTCAGCTCGAATCATTGAAGAACTGCAAAGATTTACTTACAGTATGGCGGGTCGCTGTAGGCCTGTGTTCCGCAGATCGCGAAGATTTGGGAGAATATGTTGGTGAAGGCTAGTGAAGATCCCCTATTCAATCTTGAATTAGCAGTAATTGTTTATTCCGGCTCGATATAAGTTTACCTTCGTGTATAGCCGATAAAGCTCATGGCCGCCCAGGAAAGTTGGAGAACCACACTCGGGTATACTGAGAAGGCAACAAGGCAGGTTGCCCCAAATCTGGCTTTATCATTCTCTAACCCGAGGAGTAATGAGTAGCCCACAATCGCTCCGCAGGTTGATGCTGCCATTGTTAGACCTCGAGCGTTCGTTCGGTCAGCTACCTTGGCCCAGAACAATACGCCGACACAAGCGCAGGCGTATACTATGACCGAAAACAGTTGAGTATTCATCGAGGTGTATCCAAAGCCCTAGGGAATTGTGAGATATTAATACAACCTTGGTAGAAGATCGGACCAGGGCACCTGAATAATTGCGGGAAGAAAGTTGGAAATCGACCCGACGCAGAAATGGCCACAGCAAGCAATGCCGAGCAAGAGCCAGAAATGTAGACTGAGTAGCACCAATGGAACCTTTCTTATTTCAAGTCTCGCCTCAGAGGTGTTATGCGCGCGACGGCTGCGTCTTACTACCAAGGCTTTTTCCTCTGCCGTAAAGCCGAATCGTAGGGTTTCGGGGCTGTTGGGAAGTAGAAATAACACGAAGAATGCCGCCACGCAAGGCATAAGTCCTTCGATTAGAAATATCCAGCGCCAAGCTCTCCAGCCACGAGTTCCATCCATATCCTTGTCGATGCCGTAGGCTATCAAGCCGTTGAAAGCACCCGCCAGCGTGCTCATGGAATAGAAGATAGCTCCACGCGTGGCAAGCTCGTCATATTGATACCAGAATGACAGATCTAAATATTGGAAGGATCAGTACGCTGGTTGCCACGATAGTAATGTATGAGGAACCGACAGAATACTCCTCCCTGGACGAATGCTTCAGCTGCTCCGATAAGAAAGCGCAAGGCAAAGAGCTCGCCTTTGTTTTGGATGGCGACTGTAGACGCAGTGATTGCACCCCACTGATTTCAATGGTAATTAGACAATGATGTTAGTCGTGCGAGAGAAGATTTGTACTCTTACGATGATCATGGCTCCTGAAAATTGTCTCGCCGACCCAATCTGCTTGATCAATAGCGTGCCCGGCAGCTGAAAAACGATATAGGCCACGAGTAGTACAGTTGCCGCATTCGAATAGTCTCGAGGAGAGAGTTTCAATTCATCTGAGAGACCTGCAACTTTGGCGTTGGCGAGATCTGATCTTCCCTGCAATTTGCGACCGGATCAGTATACAGTAGTGTATAAAACCATGACATGCGTACCATTTGCGCGAAGAAGTAAACAATCGATATAATAGGTAGAATAAAAAGGTCCAGTTTCCATTTCACTCTAGAAAGTAGCCTCGGGGATATGCCGTCATCGGATTGTAGCTCATCGTGAGAAAACGCGACTTGGATCTCGTCGGCATTTTTGGCGTCGGTGCTGTTCGCTGGCATCCTGCGCTAAATTTTTTTTCCTTCTTCGTGAAGCTATGTTCTTTCAATGGTGTGGTTGGAATTGCGTGTCGGAATTTCCATACTTATAAGAAGCGATAGTGGATTCGAAGTACATTTTGTGGACTCAGATGCCTGGTAACTAGCAGCGCCCAAGTCTGGGGTAAAGACCCACAATACACAAGCGAAAGTCGGCAAAGGAAGCGAAGAGAAACCGATTCGTCAAACATGAACTCTGCCTCGGCAGATCGACGCTTGTTTGAAGATTCGCACCGGAGTTAGCGCGTGGGCATAATTTCGGCAAGCGAAGCGAACTCCGCTTCATCACCCCGAAAGTACATATTCCGCCAAACCTCTACTGACGATCGTGGCAGTGCCCCTGAATTAAAACCTTCAAAGTGGCCTAAGTATTTATGCCAAAATGGATAGACCATTGTCGACAACCGATGTCCCGAAGAAATTCCTTAAGGCCTGTTTGATGGTGGGTCATGTTCCGCTGAGAGCCTTGGCCTGCGATCCACGCGTTTCCTACGCGCTTTACATACCTCCGACCCGATACGATGCCGATCCCAGCCCGACCAAGCTCCCCTTGCTCGTCTGGGTTCATGGTACAGGCAGAAAATGGAACACGCTTTACGAAGATGAAATGGTGTCTTTTGCCGATCGGATGCCCTGTGCGATCCTCACCCCGCTGTTTCCTGCTGGTCTTGATGGTCCGAATGATTTGGATTCGTACAAAATGTTGCACTCATCCTCGCTTCGGTCCGATCAGGCACTACTGGAGATCCTTGATGAAGTTGCAGCTCGCTGGCCCGGGATTCGAACAGACAGAACTTTCGTTATGGGTTTCTCTGGTGGTGGCCAATTCGCCCACAGATTTCTTTACCTCTACCCTGAACGCCTAGCTGGTCTCAGCGTGGGAGCACCGGGGAGAGTAACCGCGTTGAATCTTTCGAAGAATTGGCCAGAAGGTGTAGCCAACACGAAGAAATTGTTCAATTTAGACGTGGCTCCTGACAACATTCGCAAAGTCCCGATTCAGTTGGTGGTTGGCTCGGAAGACAATAAGGTCCACGGGGGCGAAGCATTCTGGAGTTGGTTAGAGAACTTTCGAAAGGAAGAAATAGAGAAGCAACCGGAGACCGCACGGCTATCTCGTATGGAGAATGGGCGGTTGCAAATTTTGGAAGAGCTTCATAAATCATGGAAAACTTATGGAATCGATAGCCAACTGGACATAGTTCCAGGCATCGCACATGAAGCAGTCAAGGCGCGTCCTTATATGTTACGTTTTATTGAGCCATTGATGCAAGCCGAGATTAGAAAATAAACTATAAAATGTGGAAAGTTGCAAAAATTGCAAAATATACCATGTAAGAACTTGAACTACAGTCTATGTAAAAAGTGTAGAGAAACGTGGTTGCCGTCGCCGTCGTCGTCGTCGCCGGTGCCAAGACCGGCCCACCATCGTCGTTTGGTGATCCGCATTCCTCTCTCTTCAACAATCACCCGCCAGCTACACAGCAACCCAAGCCTCTGATCTGGAGCTCCAAGAGCCACCCGTATAACAATGAGCGTGAGTACCCGAGCACAAGGTAGAGGGAATGCGCCCTCTAAGCGTACGTCGATGGCGTGTACGGCGTGTCGGCAAGTCAAGGTGCGCTTTCCATGGCCCCACACTGGTTGGATACAACAAGCTTACCTTCACTGTGCCTAGCTGAGGTGCGATGCCATGCATTGCTTTCCGGCGCCTTGTACGAGATGTACGAAGCAGAAAATCAATTGCAAGTTTGATCCTAAGTTCAAACGGCAGCCTGTTCGGGGGTAGAAATTACCGATCTTTTTTGTGTCTACATTTCGCTGATCATCCCATGGCAGGTCACTAGAGAAGGTTTCGAAGGAAAACGAGAGGCTGCGAAGTCTGGTGAATGATGCGGAAACAACACCTTCCCATTCACCTACAGATGTGGCCTTGGCGGCAGGTTCTACAGATAATGAGACCTCAAAGATTCAACGGGAAGCCTCGGTCATCGAAAAAATGAACTTGCAGTTACCCACAACGAGGGAAATCGAAGGTGTTCGCCTTGACGAAGGTACAATCCTGTCACTCTTTGAGCAGTAAGTTCCGGCTCCTGAATGACAATATGTCCATGATATGGAACATTGACGCTTTCCTAAGTTTCGCCGCTCACTATCTGCATCATCTGCCCATTCTCGACCTCACAGAGTCGATTGACTCAATATGGAGTGACAATCGGCTTCTATTTTGGACAATTGTCATAACATCAGCAAGCAAGCACCCCCGATATTCGAGCTACTTTGGACCCCTTCAGGTACCAGTCAAACACCTCCTCTCGGAATATTTAGTCAGTTCTATCCGCTGTATATATACAGTCCAGGCTCTGTTGATTTTATGTCTTTGGCCGTTCCCGGTCGCCAAGCAGCAGGATGACCCAAGCTGGGAGTACATTGGATTGGCTATTGCTGCCAATTTGAAACTGACATCCGTTGATTCCCAAACAAACTGGCCCGGTTCAAATCACTTGTTGATCGTCGAGAGCGTGCGACAAAAGACCTGGCTGGGTTGTTTTGCAGTGAGCACCGAGTACGCTTCCCACACTCGATTGCATTTTGCCGATCACATGCTGATCATCCTTAGACTTTCTGCAGCTCTTGCTCTACAACCTCCGATGGGAATGGTTTCGCAGAGTATGCCCAAAATTAGGCATGCAGTTCAATCTAGCTTGCCCAACGAGTTCTTAACCCTTCTAGATATCCAGGAATTTACGACCAGGGCAGCCACACTCCTTAACAATCCGTCCGCAACCTCAGCCCAAAGATCTTTAATCGAGCTACTGGAAAGGGATCTAGCTTCAATAGAAGCTCGCATGCCAGATCAAATCCACTCAAAGATTAAGCTCGGATGTCTCGCGGCTCGCCTTCGTTTATATTCTCTACCTCTACTATCCCAAATGTCATTGGATGGGCAAAACCGGAAGACCAGCAGCATATCAAAGGCCATCTGGCATATGGGGTTCCACACGGCAATCGAAATCGCGAACATTTTTGGCCACTCATCGAATGCAAGTGCAAATATGTCGGCAAGTTCTACAGAACCAATCGACGTGTTCTTTCCAAAGTATTACTTCCAAATATTGATCATGGCCGGCATGTATTTGATTAACGTTCTGGCTATTGATAAAGAAATGTCTGCGGAAGACAAAAGTTTAGCACGGAATCACATCAAGAAGGTCTACGAAACACTTGTGAGCTGGTCGCGGGAACCCAGAGATGAAGCGGGACGCGTTGCGAGAGTGATTGACCTGCTCTCTCGCCACGTTCAAGGATCCGATTTGTCGTCGGAGATACAGCCAACCGCCAATGCAACGCCTCCGACAAGCATGATCACCAGTGGAATGTGGATGGCGGGTCGGTTACGCAGCAAGCTTTTCTCTCCCTTCTCGCAAGCTACAGAAGCCTGGGCACCCGAGCTGTCGGAGTTTCCGACTGACCTTGAACCAAACTTGTTTGAGGATGATCTAATAGAATGGAATACGTGGCTAGGAAATCTGGATAGCATACTCGCAGACCCCGCAGCAATGTCGGATTTCGGAGCTGATTAGCTGCCCCAAGAGCGAATTCGGCTGATGGAGCGAATTTCGCTTACCGGGCCGAAGTTTCGGCTACATTTTTCCCAGCAGCATTTCTATAAGTATGAATCATGCACGAGGGAACAAAAAGCGAAAAATAGCGAACGACTAACTCACCAAGAAACTAGTTTCGAAATTTACCGCGCATTCGACGTTCGCGACCGCATGTCCTTGAATCTCGACCAGATGGCAATACGTGAGCCACTATGCCACATTGTCACACCCATCGGCATGCTGGGTTACGGCTTCAGCACCTCAGATCTGGAGAATGGTCTTGAGATAGCTTTGCGATCTGGCTCCCCGACCGCGATTATTCTCGATTCTGGTTCAACTGATTCAGGTCCTGCAAAGTTGGCCTTAGGTTCAATGACCTGCCCACGATCAGTCTACCAACGAGACTTGCGGCAGCTGATTTGCGCCGTCAAGAAATACCGTGTTCCGCTGCTTATAAGCTCTGCAGGTGGAGATGGGAGTGATGCGCATGTCAAGGAGTTTCTTGATATTATCCGGGAGATTCTGGATGCGCCCGATCAAGGGTGAGAACTATTCTATCTGCTCTCGAGTATGGAAGGGAATCCGTGCTTCACGCTTTTGCTTCATCTACCTAACTTCTCGATTTCTAAAGGGTTGCTAGATCTTTGAAAACACTCGCAATCTACAGCGGAGCTCGGCATGAACTACTACTCGAAAAGCTGGCAGCCGGAAAAATCACTGGGTGCGGGAAATGTGTCCCTAAATTAACCGAACAAGACATCATGCAATCGCCCTGCATTGTCGGACAGATTGGACCCGAGCCATTCGTGCAAGCCATGAAAGCCCACCCTGACTTCGACATCCTCATCGCGGGAAGAGCATATGACCCGAGCCCCTACGTCGCATTCTGCGCCTTCAATGCACTCCGTGAGTCGACCGGCGATTTGTATAGTCTGAACCCAATAGTACTTGGTGGATTTACACATATGGGAAAGCTCATGGAATGTGGGGGAGCATGCGCTACCCAAAAAGTGCGAGCTCAATGGTCACTGTGTACGCTGATGGGTCCTTTGACATTCGACCGCTGGCCGCAGAATCGCGATGTACCCCTACCAGTGTGGCAGCGCATGCTCTGTACGAGAAGTCTAGACCTGATATATTGCATGGACCTGGGGGATATCTTGATCTCAACACCGCCACGTACACATCGCTTTCTGATGGTATCAGTGTGCGAACTTTCGGCTCCGAATTTGTTTGGTCCAAGAGCCAAGGCCTTCCCTATACAATCAAATTCGAAGCGGCGAGGGTGGTTGGTTACCGAGGAATTTTCATGGGTTCTTTCTGTGACCCCATTCTCATCCGGCAGTTACCCTCGCTACTTGACCGTGCAAAGGCCTACGTCAAACAGAAGCATGCGCATACTCGGGAAAAGTGGGAGGTTGATTTCCACGTGTACGGTTTTGATCTCGACGGGAACGAAAGGACCTCAACAGGAGATGTTTTTATTGTCGGAGAGGCACTTGCTGAGACCCAAGCTCTAGCAAATAGCGTTACATCATCCGCCCGTGTCGCTTGTGTCCATGCACCGTACGAAGGGCAGAAAGCAAACAGCGGAAATTTCGGCATGGGAATAGGTGGGAAGCTGGAGGTCGAGATGGGAGCTTGCGCCGAGTTCTCGATATATCACTTGGTAGAGATGGAGGAAGGGGAGGAAGGGGAGGAAGAGGCGACAACGGTCGGTCAGGACGCCGCTGGCCAGCGAGGGCAGAGCAATGCATTGAAGCGCCTCACACGATGGGAAATGCTTCTTTTAGGTACTGGTCCCCGAATTGATCGTCAAAAGTCTCTCCACCCAGCGAGCGACGACGCTTGTGGTGCGAATCATATTCATCCTACTACTACCGATTCTTCAAATCCCAAGCCACTCGTGCCGATGGCAGGTACATTTAGTCTCGGAGAGATCGCCAAAGTAGTTCGCTCCAAGAACGCCGGACCGTTCGAAATTACCCTAGACGTTATGTTCGATAATGCGGCAGTCTATGAGCAGATTAAAGAGACCGGGGTCCTCACACCAGCGAAGATCGCAGAGCTCTACGATATCTCTGTTGATAGCATTGTGTGGTGTGGCTTTTTTGATCAAGCGCTTGCATTCAAAGCGACCATTCCCAGAAGCAGAAATGGGAAGCCGAATGCTTCAGGGGGATTCATGGAGAATGACGTCCATGGGTCTCAGAACCATCTGCCTTTGTTTAACCTCGCCATTAATCTACGTAGGCAAGCCTAAGTTAATCTTCTTTCTGTCGACTTTGATCCTAATGCGTTTGCTTTGTTCTCGACCATGTAAGTAGCAATTCAGATTAGAAGACCGAGTGAATTGCTTTTAGCGCGGCATTTATTGGACTAGTGGGCAATTGACTAATGAAATACACACATCAGTTCATAGACCTGGTAAAGTACATCATGTACGTCGACTCCCACCCAAAAATCCCATTTCTTCATCCACTTGAGGGCCTTTCCCATTCGTCTTGTTGGTGGCTGGTCCCTCACCTTGATCATCTTCTGCATCCGTCGCGTTGGTGTTGACGGCAGGTTTGATCCCAGAAGCAAACGTATCCGGTTGGTTGCCTTCAATTAGTTGCTCGGCAGAAGCATATCTCTGAAAAGTCTCTTCTAGTAAAGGACCGATTCCGTTCTCGGGGACGCGGCTTTTATCATATCTCAACAATACTGATGTATCTTGGATGAAGTCCAGAACTTTGGAAATTTCCATCATGCCTCCCCTAAGCCGCTGTGGTAGGCCTCTCCCCTTGAGAAGGGCCAGAAGTCCAGCGCACGACGTGTTGATAGCTCCAAGGACTGTTATTGCCACCATGTGGTCAGCAGCCGAGGGTCCCAGTGCTGTAATGACTGCGCCAATAATCACTTGCACCATTGTGAGGAGATTGAAAGCAAAGGCGCTAATCCTATATTGCAGTTTCAGATGCTTTTTTTCTTGGACCAGCTTTTTTCGTAAGTTGGATGTCGCGGCCATGTATGCTTGGTAGACATGCTGGTCTTCCTCGGAGGTTTGTGATGAAGACTGATGAGGCTCAGACATGGCACCTATCAGGAGTCAGATTTTGGTCTTGAAAACAAGAGAACTTAGGAATAATTTGTAGGTATCTGCGCGAGTCCTCCCCGCCCATCGTTTCCAAGGCTTTTATCCTCGGTGGTATGGGAAGCACCCGGTAAGGTTCGGCCCATACCTTGGGACATCCTGAAATGGAACCGGTCTCTGCGCTTTTGTTGTTCTAGACTTGCCCAAACTACATAGGCAATTAAGCTTACATGTACCGGACTCTCTGGGTAGATCCTGAAGTCTTAAGTATTGCCTGAATAGCGGAGCTGGTGAATGAGCCGTTTCTGAACTGTACATTCGAGTATTCCTTTCCTTACAAAAATTTCAGTGACATGTGTCGCTTTCCCCAGTAAGATCTTTCGCCTTGGTCCGCTAGACTACTAGTGTGGAAAGAAATTCACATGAAATTTTCAGTGTGACTAACACTTCGTTTAGAAATTGAATCAATACTGATTCACATTATTATTGTACTTGCTTGGAGGGCAGTAGATTATTAAGTCAATTTTCACTATCGAACCTGCAATAAATGAAGCAAAATCGAAACTTTTTCAATAGACTGAAGAATAAAATTGGAACTAGTTTGATATTGATCTCGTATGCTTGTGCCCATAAACCTCGAAATCAAGGTCTGCGTATTGTTAGTTGTCCAGGTAGAAGGGAAAATATTTGAAAAGGCACTCACCGATACTGTAGATTGCCCCCAGAGTTATAGATATGCTCGGCTAGATTCACATCTCTCGCAGCATAATCATTCCCGAAATCTCCACGAAGCTGAGCGCGTAGCACAGGCACACTCTGCTGGCCTTCAATACCAAAACGCACATCCAATGCTCTCTCGGTAAAATCATGCCCACCCCATTTGAAAAAGCCCTGGTGTTGTGTTAGTATTAGATCTTATATGTGGGCTCATGAAAAGCGCCTACATGTTCGTCTCCAAGGACATCATCCAAACGTATTTCGCTTCTTCTGTAGGCCCATGGGTCCTGATTGAATCTGCATTCGCCATATAGGTAGGTATCCGCACCATCAGAGCGAATGCCAAGATTTTGTGTTCCGTTCATGTTGAAGGGTCCGTGACTTGAAATGGGTTATTGTAAAAGTTGAAAGGTCAAGGTATTGGATAAAAGTGAGTTGGAATGAATATTTGGTGGCCTTCTTCGATGAATATACCCGGACTTTATACCTTAATTGATGGCAGAGTTCCAACTTTGAATTCCGAGTCACTTTCTAATCTTTACTGGTAGTGATTCAACACTCAACCTTAATTTTGGACATATGGAACGCTTTTGGCCGTTCTCGCACTTTCATACATACCAGCTAAGATAATAACAAGGGTTAACTTGTGTATTTGATTTGAGCCGGCCAAATCTGAAGTCAGGGCCTGGTAGTCTAGAACTTCTCTGGATCGATCGAGTTGCAGGCTGCCGGGTATGTGCCACAAATCACCTGGGCACCCATTCAATTTTTCAAATCTTCCAACCCAAATGATGGCGTGAACTTCTAGACAAATCAATCTAGACATCTAGGTGCCGCCTTCGATTTATGTGATAGTGTTCCCGAGTCTCGGCCAGCCCCGAGCCATACATTCCTCTTTAGGATGAACCACTCATGAAGTCACGGGTCAGCAGACACTACATGGCGCAGGGTGTTATCCGTTTGCATCGGGTCTAATCAGGAATGCCAAGAAATTACGACTGGCGCAAAAGACTGTCGAATGAGTTCTTATGTCTTGATGATGCGAGTGGCTAGCTAGTTTTGTTTTGGTCTGTGCTGATGTCATGAGTCCGGGAATCCGGAAAGACAGTTCGTATACATTGTCTCGGTCGTGCTTTTGGCAAGCAGCTCCGGGCTGAATTGAGCCATGATAATTATGGGGGAAGTTGGGATAGACATTGAAAGAAAATATCAAAAATAATTGCAGAGGGCAGTGAGCGGAATGCTACCGACAGCGCCGGAACCGAAACGAAAAGATGGGTTAGGAACCGAAGCAACCTTAATATCGCTTCTGATGGAAATGGGGTATTTTAAAACGTTGTACATCTCTTGGGAGGTTTGGAGATATTTTAATATACTGGGAAAGCCGAGTACTGGGCAAGATTTATTATCGCTCAATTGACTTATTACCGTTTGACCATATCTGACGGGCAAGCCGCGCAGTGCATCATACCATGGTAACTTGAAGACAATTCAATTTTGAACTCGAGAATAAAATATCCATTATTTAAAAATACTCGAATGTATGTGTGTCTAACACTCGAAAATATGCGTTTTAGGCCTTCGATTTACCATTACTTAGCTGTGATGGATGTCTTGTTCAAAATACTACCAACCTGCAGGGCTTTCTCCATGTCTTCCCCACCCGACTCCAAAATACGGGATTAGGCTGAACAAGTACTCTACAGGCATATTTAAAATACTCGTACATCAAATTCAAAGACTAAAGAAGTTGAGGAAGTATATCAGCAGGATCCTTCGAAAGTACTTGAATATCTTCAGCACTTCTTAGCCTAAGTAGGCAGGAGATAGTTGATCAATTGCCCTTCAATAGTTGGATGCCTGAGAAGAATGGTTTATGATAGCCCACTCAATAGACATTTCAGGCATCCTGATTGCAAAGCCCTCCGATGGCCCTTCGTTAAGCTTAGCTGCCATAATCCCGGCGTACAATGATAAGCTCTGGCCAAGGATATTTATAAAATGCCACTGGGTATTGTTTTGAAAGAAACGAGACCAAATCGCAAGAACCCCTAGCCCTAACTCCCCAGGGCCGCTGTGTCGCGTTATTGGTGATTCTTCGAAATCTATTGAGTCATATGCTTCCTCAACTACCAGTGATGTCCAGCGTAGGACACGTATTTCCTTCGCTAAAATAGGTAATTTGAATAGTGTCACAAGTTTACGTCACGAGTAGTATGAGTGAGCACTGGAAATGGAACTTACCATTTAGATTGGGCTCTCTAGTGACCGCCAGTTGGAATAGCCACTTGCTGAGTAGTACCAAGCACTCAAAGCTTGACAACGCGTGGCGAACGCTCCAGAAAAATGCTTGGCTCCGAGCTACGTAGTCCAGACCCAGGCGAACTGGAATGCTGAAAGAATGTATAGCGTATATAAGCGCAGGGATGATACTTCCGCTGTTTCTCAGGGTGGGGATCTGCCTAGTGCCTCGGCGATAATAGATGGATCTCGTGTTTCCAGCTGTCTGAAAGGACCCAGATTCAAGTTGAGACGCGAGTAAGCTAAGCAAAGCATCGAGCTCGATGTGAATGGCACCGGGCCATTTTCGTTGGCGGGATCAATATTGGACTCCGGGGCTTGTTGCCACATTGTGGTCCAAGAGCGTAAAGCGTGCCTATGATGATATGTTAGAGGGTCTTGCAGTTAGTTGAGAAATTCTGAAAAGTGAACTCCTCAAGAGATACAATCACTAAGAAAGCTTTGGGAGAAAAAAGCCACGAGGGGAAGTCACTTACTCGAGCCTGTTTGACTCGACCTCCGGAAATTCCGTGCAGTCATCACCAATATCTAGTCCTAATTCACGAATAATGTGGATGCGTTGAATCAAGCCATGGAGAAGATAATAGTTTCCTAATGGAGAGGGCACGGGGCTGAGAACTGGTGCAGAAGCCGAATCCTGCAACAAACGAGACAAAGCATCTTGGTAGAAAAGCTGATCCGTACCAGCGATTTCGTAGGCTTCCAACCAGTCCTTCGCATTCAAAGCATTCCACAATCTCGTCTGGCATGGTAAACGCAGTTTGACCTCATGATTTCGAATGGGAGGATAATTGTTGTAAGCAATGCTATACATGTCAACAAACGAAAAGGCGGCCAATTTGGTTCGCCGAATGGATTCATTCTTCACCCAACGCAGCCAGTCCGTGTGGTCAGTGATCGAAGGTTGGTTGATTTCTTGTAGACCCGATCGCCGTAGAATTCCTACCAGCAGGCTCCGAAGGTGCAACGCTTCTTTGAGCATCGTAGTGTCTTGCCAAGTCCCAACACCCATTAGGATGAGCAGGCAGCGTATGACATTCAACTCATCATCCACGCTGATCACGTCGCTAGGTGCATCAGTGGAACCTTTTCCGATCGACGAAAAGGCCCCAGCCACATCATGCAAATGATGTTTCTGTGACATAATAGCTTTGGCAGCTGTGAAGAACTTCCTTGAATTTTGATGCTCAAACCGATATTGTGCCCCTGCAGACATTATGGCCAAAACTAACTCCAGAGGATGATCGGCGAGTCGAAATGTCGGCAAGTGGATGAACAGTAAGTGAGAATGAAATCCTTCGAAGAACGCAGCCAGATACCGGGACAACGTGTGCCTGGAGGGAATTATAAAGCCGGGTGTGATGGCCCGGTGTTCCTCCAGCGAGCCTTGGATTTGTTCGCGTTGAGCCTCATCTACCCAGAGAAATCCGTCCTGCTCATGGAATTGGCGGGAAGCTGGAAATTTTGACAGGTGAGCTACAACTGTGTGTATGGTAAAAAAGGAGGAACATACCCATGTCCTGATATGAGTGGAGGCTTTGCTCCTTTTTCGGGACACTCGGAAGCCAGTGTTGAAAAGGAGAATCGTCGCCCTCCTTCAAATTTGTTTCGAGGTTTGTCACCAGATCGCTGTTATTTCTTTCGCCCGAGGTTAAGTCACTGGCGATTTCCATGCTAGATGAGCTCCACTCTCCGGGAAATCCTAAAAGCCACAAAAAGTTGGCAAATTCATCGAAAGGATAAAATTCCTCCCGGGACGGGTCTGATATTTCATCTGGCGAGAGTTAGATATTGACCTATTGCAGACAGGTCCCTATCGCTAACTGACGTAGAGCATGGATTTCAGATTGCAGATCATTGTCATTTGTTCTGCCCCGGAGAGGGCTATTTTCAGTTTCCGGGGTGATTAATGTTGAGATTGGCGTGTGGCCGAATATTTGGCGTGGTGAAATGGCGTCTACAGCAGGAGCTTCTATGTCATTGATTTCTTGTGAGGCCTGTAAATGGGAAGGCGAGTAGAATACGAAAATATCTCGTGTTCCGGTAGCATTGCGTCGGATAGACGAAGAATTAGGGCCGAGCGATCGCTGTGCGATTTCAAAATCTTCTAGCAAAGGTGGGCTTGGATGGTGCAGTTTGACATGGCGTGAGAGCAGATCACGGCGGGTGAAGCTTGAGCCGCAGTCACAGCCGTACGGTTTTTCTTGCGTATCTAGTTCCAACGTCAGGTCCTGAGTGAGTAATAGCGCCTGTGGCCGGTCAAGAGGGAGCAGCCTTACGAGTGCGTCGATGGCGATCAAGATGCTCCTTTCTTCTGAACGAACGGCCACACTGTTCGCAGCAGTTCGCTTTCCTTCGTGGCGGCATAGCTTACACACCCTCCACCTCTCCAATCACACATGAAAAAAGATATTCCAAGCCAAGGCGTGACAACCAAATTCAGCCCCTGGGGGGGTTGTGTGGTGGGATGTGATGTAGGCTGTAGAGGAGTTGGAGGCGAAAGAGTTGGAGGCATATTGCCGAAAGCAGAAGCTATACAGTGGTCAATGAGTCAGCTAGATCCGGTCTGCTTCCCCAGTTACCCCACAGATGACTATCCGGTGGATTCTGGGCTCTTTTTTATACCAATCTGCCATGCAGCCTATTTTGATCTTGATTTGGCGGGTAAAATTGCCGCTCGGCTACATGCCACGTCTAAATGCTCACCTAGACATGTGGCGTTTTCGGGCTTGTATATCCGGCTACGATAAACCACAAAAAACATCGCAAAAACTTCCTAGAATGCTGTAAAAGAATCAAATAGGTAGCGCGTACATCGTATGCATATTGAAAACTTGGATATCTACTATTTGGCGGTTCTAGGAAGAGCCGCCCCCGGAGGAGGACGATTTTTAGCCTTGAAGTCATCACAAATTTCCTCCATCGTCACAAACTCAACTCCGTCGTGGGATTTGAAATAATCGATCAGCCTTGGGAATTATTAGTCTCCATAGTCTGGCTAAGAAGGGGGGTGGAATTCACCTCTCGTGCATGAGAATAACCTGAGGCCGGCCTGAAACATCAGGGTGGATAGAGATCGGGAAAATAAATTCATCATATTCCCGGTAGAAATAATCAAACTGGTCGCGCCAGAGGTCCTCAACGTCGCGTGGGTTCACGAACCCGTGGCTATTGGCCGCTGCCTTGATAAACATCATGGGGGGAAGATCATCCAGGTACCAATTGCCCGGAATCTCCACTAATCCAGTGGTTTGGCCCATGACCATTGGCTTCATCCACTCCTCGGCATTTTTGGAATAGTCGATTTTTGTCCATGAGTCTCCAGTGCGGAGATAGTATGCTTGGCAATCATGGTGGCTCAAGCTATGGTCATATTCAATATTGTGATCGAGCAGAAGTTGGGCGCCTTCCGTGCTTGTTTCCCACCTAATTGAGGCCGAGTCAGTTTACGGATTTCTTGCCCGGGATTGGAGGGGAAATATGTACCATGGTGCGACACTTCCGCGTGGCGGTTTGCCCGCAAAGTTTGTGATAAGCTTGTAAGTCTTTTTCAGAACGTCTCGCTGTTGTTCAATGGTCATGTCTGCTGGGTTCTCGTGCGTATAACCATGTAAACCGATCTCATGACCGGCGTCTCGCACTGCGGCCATCTCCTCGGGGAACGACTCGAGTGTATGCCCGGGAATGAACCAAGTCGATTTGATGTCGTATTTGGCAAATAATTTGAGCATTCTTTCTGTTCCTATAGTGGCAGCCCACACTCCTAGACAGAAGAAAAAAGGACAGGTAAGAAATCACCCTCTTTGTGAATGCTTGGGGGGGATTATCAAGTTCTTACCTCGACTGATATCGTTGGCGGAATCTTCCCCGCCATAGGAACCGAGCCAGCCGGCGACTGCATCAACGTCGACGCCGTAGCTGATCAGAACGCGCTTTTTACCCATTCTGCGTGATGAAACCAAAGATCCCGAGCTGAGAATAGAGAGAAGAAAAAATAAGTCTTCTGTGTGCTAAAAAGGAGGAATAAGGCGAACCAGATGCAACCTTTAAGTAGAGGAGAATCACATCCACCCGGCGGTAATGGAGATGCTGTGATAAGATACTCCAATTTTGGTTCTCAGAGATGAGGCGAGGACCAACTATCAGCAGCTAGAGAGAGCCACGCACGTTCCCTTCCTTTTTCCTGGGGTACACCAATGGCCCCGCTTTGTTGGGGTAGTTACCTTCTTCGGTCCTCTCCAAGTCGGGTGTCTTATCGGAGAGATCGGTAAATTCACCCTGAAATCAACACATCGATTTGATACAGACATAATAGCTTTAAGAAGGTGACTTGCGTCCTATCTACGGCCGGTTAGGATTTCAAATATACCATAGCGCCTTAAGGAAACGCGCCCGTATTTTATTCTCTTCAAATTGTACTATATAGTCCCCTAATTAGCGACGTCTTGTACATACGACCATAGGGTGTGGAGAACAGGGCTTCCCGTCCGCTCAGCCGTACTTAAGCCACACGCCGGCAGGTTAGTAGTATGGTGGGTGACCACATGCGAATCCCTGCTGTTGTATGTCCGTGTTAACCAATTTTTTTGATTCGTTGGGTTTAGTGCTCTTGCCGCTTTACCCTTCAGGCTCTTCAGTCCTTCACCTGAACCCCCTGAAGACCCCTGTACGTATGACGTGGACCCTCGGTTAAACCTGCCGTGTATTTTGTCACCACTCATACCCCTGCCATGTTGCCTTCCTCCGGTCTACACCTGACAGTTGGACTAGCCGTGACTCACTGCTCACCTATACTGCTCCGCGGTGTGGGTGAGCAGTAAGTCGCGGCTAGATACATTATTGTTTATTACCATCACGACTGCATGGTCCGGGTTTGGCTACCTTATATCGAAATACGCAGTGAAGCTCTATTGAGCAACAGATGAATAGGTAGTAAATAATGTGGTCGTTCTTCCTCACTCCTTTCCTACTTCCGCTCAGTCTTATGGATTAATACGTTCTGCAAACGCCAGAATCGATATGTTATGTTGCATCTCTACTCCAATTAAAGATAGGATTTGAAATATCTGATCCCAGATCATTGTCAAGGTCCCCTCTTCTTCCTCTATACATTCCTGTTAGATTAGTAGTCATTTTGTGGCAACAGTGTATTCTGACGAAATCTGTTATGGCTTAGTATTAGGCGTTGTAGACATTATTCTGAGGGCTTAGTTTGCCTGTAGGTTAATATAAAGCAACTAGGGTTTCCTATTTCAGCGAATTTACAGAAGTAGCTAATGTATGAGAATGCTTAAGCCCTAGCACCTGTCAATACTCTACTAGGTAAGTCTGCAGTAAATTGTGAGCATTGGGATTTCGATCTGACCGACAAATCTCTGAGTGGAAGGAAAATTGGCCAGAATAGTCCCGGCCCAACTCGAGTCTTTCAGTCTCTATCAACTGCACCTAGAAGTCCTCAGGCTCCTTCCACCAGTCTTGGTTAATATATTAAAGCACAAAAATACTGATAAGACGCTCTGAAGGGACCTAAGATGGACATTGCGCCAGGATAATGGTTATCAACTCTGATTTATCAAACTAGAATACTAATTTACTGATAGAATCAATTTTTCTGTCAGTATATAAGAGTCACAGGTAAGAAGTGAAGGATATTCATAGACAAGTTATAGGTGATGTTTTCTTCTATATCCATGGAGGATTCCCATATAATTTAATTAAATAGAATCTGCGACCCAAATCTAGTAGTGTTTACAGAATTTCATGAATATAATAAGCTAAACATAAAGTAATGAGAGTGATAAACTCTGCAGATAACAATATGATGGTAAATGGACAGTATTATAAAGGCCAGTATCTGAATTATTTGAGTTTGATCATGTAACGATATAGGCTACTAGACTACATACTAGATCTGATTAAAAGAGGTTACGACAGCTTATTTATTGATGGTAATAGCGTAGGAGTTTACCTCTACCGAGCTTGGGCCCTTTCGTCTGTTCTTCCTTCGCTCTAGACTCAGAATCTCGTATTGAATGCACATTATTCTTTATGACTTGGCCACTATGATTAGAGATCAGAAGATTCAGATTTCATAATCTGAAGTCTCTTTACTGGATTTCCCGCATTTTCTGGAGTGTAGAGCAGGATCGCTTTAAAGACGATGTAATGGTGCCCCTTTGTTGAAGGAGTTTAATAATCTCTGAATAGCCTTTAAGTAAGGCAGCTTAGAGAGCAGTGCCATACTTGCCACTCTGCGTATTGATGTCTGCTCCTTAATCTAAGAGTAGTCTGACAATCTCTAGATAGCCTCTGAATAAGGCAGCTTAGAGAGTATTACTATATCGGCCGCCCTATGCATTGACATCTGCTCCGTAATCTAAGAGTAGTCTAATAATCTCTTAGTAGCCTTTAAGTAAGGCAGCTTAGAGAGCAGTACTATACTCGCCACCCTGCGTATTAATATCTGCTCCGTAATCTAAAAGTAGTTTAAAAATCTCTAGATAGCCTCTGAATAAGGTAACCTAGAGAGAATTTTTATAGAAACTACCCTGTACATTAATGTCTGTACCCTGATCTAAGAGTAGTTTAACAATCTCTTAATAGCCTCTGTAAGAGGTAGTCTGAAGGGTATTACTATAGCTACTGTCCTATACATTAATGTCTGCTCCCTGATCTAAGAGTAGTTTGATAATTTCTTAATAGCTATTTAATAAGACGGCCTAGAGAGCATTGCTAAGCTGGCCACCCTATACATTAATGTCTGCTCCCTAATCTAAGAGTAGTCTAATAATCTCTTAATAGCCTTTAAGTAAGGCAGCTTAGAGAGTATTGCTAAACTCACTGCCCTATATATTAATGTCTGCTCCCTTACTAATAAGATCTTGTATAGACGCTATAAGTCTAATAAAGTAAGTATAATAGAGCTTGGATCTGCGTAGAGGACTAGGATTATAGTCCTAGATCCTATCAGGCTGATATAAACGAGCCTACTGTTGAAATTTCTTTTCTAGGAATATAACTGTTATTAGGGCTATATTTTTAAATTCCTGAGCTAATACAGTATAGTCTGTCTATAGCTCCGCTGTATATCTTACTATTAGAAAATCGTCCTTAATCCTATTGTTGTTATAGTTGATATCTGTAAGATAAGTACAGTACGTCTTTATAATAGAAGTACTAGTCGTAATTTCGAAATAATCTTAACTTAGTAGGTACTCTTTAACAGAAAAGTAGGTAAGATATAGCTCTTTATCAGAAGTATTAATAAATATTATTAAGCCTAGACAGTAATCTAAAACATCGGTTTTACAGAACAGTCGATATTTAATATCAAACCCTTATAACTTCTTTTTAATCTGCGTTACTATTACATCTTTAGCCTTAGCTAGCTTAAGAGATCTTCTTAAGTATATAAGGAACTATAAGAGGCATATTACGTTATTCTTTTCCTCCGCCGGTATACTTACAATTATACGCTGGTATATCTCGTTTAGATCTAGCAGTAACAATATAAGGGCCTTCTCTATAGCTACTTTATAACGATATTATACTAGGCTGTTTAGTTAACAAAAAGTCTATCTAAACCTAAGCAAAGCATTAGTAATCTACCTATATATTGATAAAAGAAGTAATATCTTACATCCTATCTGCTACGTCCCTAACTTTACTTTAGATCCCTTTAAGAAGATCTTAAGATTAGGACTTCTCTGTAAATTTACACCGTTAAGTAAGTTATACTATAACCTAAGATCAGATATTAGAGTTGACTGTCTGCTTATCAAAAGGCAGGTAATTTTGCTCTTCTATTAGAGAGGGAATACGTTACTAAAACTTAGACTTAGGTCGACTGGTATAAAGCAGCTGTATATAGACTAGCTCTAGCCTAGATGCTAGGTCCTCGATCTACAGAAGGACCTTGTTCCTTGTCGTTGATTTATCTAATACGTCTAGGATAATAAATACCTTCTTCTGGGCTATGAGTATCTTAAAAACAGTATCTGATAGCTCCTTTATTATACATTGATTAATGCTATTCTGGTATACTTTAAACAAAGAATTAAGGTAAAAGGTAGAGCTAATTCTACCTTAATAAAGTTAGAAAGTAAGTAACCGTAGTATATAATCTAATGTCTGCTTTCTGGTATCGCTAAAGTTAAAGAAGAAGCTAAGAATAAGGGTATTATTTTTATTCGTAAGGTAATCAAGTATAGCTACACTAAGAACGGTTTTACTATATCTAGTAAGCCTATAGAGCTATATATATTAATATAATCCTGAGTACTATAATTAGAAGACAGAATTTTTCAAAAGCTATATACCTGTCCCTTTATAGCGAAGTTTCCTTATATAGTTAGTGTTTATAGATAGATCTAGGGGACTAAGCCAGCGTCTGATCTTATTAGTTTGTTGGTCAGTCCTAATAGAATTAGTTGTAGCTTTTATCGCTGCTGCTGTCTGCTGTACGCTATTAATCTATTCTTAAACTATTTATAGTTGGGATATATACTAATTATATATTGTAAGATGGGAATGCTCGTAGGCAGTCTGCGTTGGCAGACGGGTCGATTGCGAAGAAACAACACCACCACACTCGCAGAGTGCAAGGAGACGATAGGCAAGCGTAACGCTATAGAGAATCAACAGAACGAACACCAGAGCGAATAACAGAACCTTTTATAAGCAGTATACCGATACCGCAACCTCAGCAGCCTTAGTAGAACATTTTATAATAGAAGGGGGAACATGCATGTTGAATTAATAATCTAGAAGGAAACTATTTATCCTCCTTGAACTAAACAGCAGCCTTGTTGCTAAGGCCCTAATTATATAACTCTGAGATACTGATATTGAGAGCAGGAATCCCTACTATATACTACCCTCCCTAGAAGATTAGCCGTCCCTTGGCCAAAGCAAAGAAATAAAGTATTAAGCCTATAAGCTTATAAGGTTGTTAGGCTACAAGGTATCTAGGCTATAAGGTATCCTTTTTCTGCAGGGAACCGATCCCCTATCCTACTAATCAACAGATAAAATAATTAAGATAATAAAACCCGAAATAGACCCTTATAGCCGTTATATAGTTATATCTTAGGGTAGCCGATATATCTCCTTTACAAAGTATAAAATACCAGGCTAAGTATAATATCGAGATTATAATATATTACTATCGGGAACTAATTAAATAGCAGAAACTAAAGGAACAGAGAGAGAAGATATTAAAGATAATTATCTCTCTAAAGATAATATAGCCTTAGCTTCTTTCTTCTCTATCTTTCTATATATATTAACCTCGATATATAGGTTTGTCTAGATCTGCTTATATACCTTATTATAAGAGATTTTATTGTAGCAAGAACGTACCCTCTTAGCGTAATGCTTTAGAATCTTTACTTACTATTTCTTAAGAAGATCTTTAATCAACAGATCGGCTTATTTACTATTACTTAAATAACTAAGCAGAAATACCTCTGTAGAGACCTTATAAAATTCGCTAAGATAGCGCCTAATCTTATTATTTAACGATTAATCTTCCTTAGTAAGTTTGTTAAGGTACTGCTTATTATATCTTAATTATTCGTTATCCTAGTTATAGTAATAATCTAGGGAGTCCTTATAAAACGTTTACTAATCTCTTTCTTTCTAGGCCTTATAACTTTTAACCTATCTGTATATAGCTTATAAGTAATACTATAGAAGTAGATCTATAATAATTATATAATAAATAATTTTACTTCGCTAGTATATATCCTCTAGCTTTTCCTCTAGCTTCTTTAGAAATTCGGATATATTAGCCTTATTAAAGGTAGGAGTATCTAGTATATTAGGTATAGGTATTAGACTTATTATAGGTATCGGTATTAGCAGTAGAGAAGAAGAGTAAGATATTATATACTGTAGCGTATATAGGGGTTGCGGTAGATATTTATTTTAAAGTAGAGACTTAGATATTAGTTTTATATACTACGGTAGTTTATCCTAAGTAATACTAGATCTAGAAGAAGGTAATAGAAGTAGTAGTTTATATTTATTAATATTAGACAGTATAGGATCTTATAACAGTATTATCGGCAGAGCGTAATGGTTACTAAGTTGTCAGGCTAGAGACCTATAACTAGGCAAGGATATTGGATAGTAGAGATGAGATTAGACAGTTAATATACAGACTAATTCTTAAAGAGATTAAGAATCCTGAATACTTATAGAATCTTAAATATATTAGGGTTTAGGTAGGCCCCGATACATAGGTAACTTAAAGAGAATTTGGCTTTAGATCGGCGTTGAGTGTCGGAGGTGTTGTATACTCAGAATCCCGTGACAGGATAATATAGGGTTATGACGGTACTGATACTACCCCGATCCATATTCGAATCGGAATAGATCTCCGGACTCTTTGTTATATTAAACAGGCAATTGCCACTCGATTCTTTGAAGGTTCTTCAAGAATCAGTTTCATTGTCTACTATGTATTACAGCTTTCAATCTCTATCAATCACCTGGTCAACTGGTCTCTAGCCAGCTCCTTAGTACCATTACATTTTTTCTGGTAAATAATAGTAGTAGGAATAACTAGTAGTAGATAGAAGTATCGACGAATTATTATAGGCTGGACAAGATTCCTAAGATTAGGTCGGTATATAAACTTCTGTAAGTTGTTGAGAAGGTTGATTAATCTGGATCTTATGTTTTTCTCCTGTAGTTATCTATTAGATATTAGTAACTCGATTCTGCTGATTAAGAATTTTAAATTTTAATTAATTCTATATTTCCTCTGCCGAGAAATTTTACTCGTTCTTTTTACTGTATTATCGGCCTTGCAAACAACTAGCGGTGGTAGACTATATATTAGGTATATTTCCGAGACCGGAGTCTAAATTTCGTGAGAACTTTGTCTATTTTAAGGCCGCTTTTACTTTTTCTTGTTTGTCATGTTAAATTTGTTAGAGAAGTGGACGAAGTGCTCCACAGACTAGTTAGATTACGCCCTCCGACTGGGCTGACGAGATGCTGAAATACCCACTTGCTTTTAGCCTCTTCATGTCGACCGAGGCAACTACACTGGCTACTAATAGCACTCCGCATCGATTTAGCTAGCAATATATGAATTGAACTTGAATACGAAAATGACAATAGTCAGTCTCGTGTATCAAGAACCATCAAAGATGATCCAGAATACTGATTTAGATAAGGAAGGTGCATTTTTTCCCAATTTTAATATAAGTAAAAGACTATATTTCAGTACTTGTCACATCTCCTCTGATACAGCCTCATTGTATGAGTCCGCGGCACCGGTCAGTCCTTATGATTGTAACTCATGCTTCTCGCAGATTCGAGATACTCAAGAATATCCTATCAAGCTGAGATGTTAGGTCCTTGAATATGAGATAAAACCACCAATACCCTTTCCCACTGATTCACATAGTGTTATTACTCAGTATTCGAAGTTAAAGCTGGTCAAAGCACTTTCCATAGGCGGTGGCTCAGCCCTGGAGTAATAATTTGCATAAAATTTCCGTAAATTACGGGGTTTCGCGTCCACGGACAGCATACATATAATTTATACTAGCGTATGTTGAGCCCCACCAAGACACTAAAATAGCGTACAAAACAGGTATTGAACTAGTATTGCCCAGGTGTAATTTACAAATATTCTTGAAATATGGATGACTATAAAGACCCTTGCATCCCCGCAGTCACGCCTTTCAAGAGATTGAGAGACGGAATTTTTTAACCGAATCTCAACACAAGTCAATTTACCTCGATTATGTCAAAAACACTGGAAGAGTTCGCTCAATTAGAGCCCCTCTGGGACAAAGCAATCCAATCCCCATCGGAAATCTCGCTAGAGGAAAAACACCGGATGATGGAATGGCCGCCCCTAGAGGAGATGCAAACCAACGCCAATAAATTCCTGGGAATCTCGCTTGAAGATTTGCTGCAAAAGGCCGTGTCACATGCTGAATCCCTGACATACCCGGAGTGTCGTCTCGTTCGTGATCAGTTCCGTATTAAGAAAATGAGTGCAATGGGTGACGAATGGAATCGGTCCCAATGGTCGCGAAAGCGTCCTGATCTCTTTGCCAAACGAAAACAAGCCCAGGAGGCTATTTTGACAGCAGATGAGCTCCAGGCGGTTCAAGCTGTGGATGAGATATTTTACCGAAAACAAAGTGAGGAATTCGAGGCAAGAGAAGCAGAGCGACAGAAAAAGCCACCACAAAATATGCCGCAAGAGTGGGTCAAAAAGATCATCGATCGAGAAGGCGATAAGAGCTGGGGTTGTGTTTTCTATCATCAGAAGTCAATTGCTGGATGGGATGAGTTTATGGAAATTTTTAACGCCGTCCTTGAGATGCCTCATTTTATCCCAGGATATGAGGAGATACACGATCACAAATTCGCTCAATTTCTTCCATTTGAGACAGAAGAGAGTAAACTCACCCTTTTGCAGCAGTAAGTGTCGATATTATCTACTATGAAATTGTGAGCATTATTAATATAAGGCTTAGGGACTTTCGGAATCGCCGTGAGAGAGATGACCTAAAGCCCGGTGTTCTCAAAAACGTCCTGTTTTTGATAACAGATGAGGCACGACTATCTTGTGGTACAGCTGGGGAATGCTCGGAGATTTTCTGGGGATATTTATTGGCAATTGATCCCGACTGGCCCCTGTCGGAGGTTGATGAAGATGGTTACGAGGGCCGACTCAAAATCCACATAAACTTCATTTTCTACCGGTTCTACGAGTTCATGTCTATGGGTTTTTCGCTCAAGGATCTCTGGCTGGATTTTCAATATGTCAAGTCTAACAACTTGTATCCGGGTGTTGACATGAACTCTTGGGGCCTTACACATCTTGATAAGCCTAAATGGCCATTCAATTGATGACTTGCGGTATGGGTATGGGTCTGAAGGTGTGTACATAATACAATATCTCGGCATGAGATTGATTTTCTACGGCCACGTATATCATTTCCTTTCTTCCCAAGTAGTAGACTACACGTTATTTAATGAAATTCCTTGAATGCCCATTGCACTCATTTGCCTTAAGTTTTCGCATATAGCCCGAGACCTTCAGCTTAGAACCTTTACTTCAAAGTGCCTTTCGTAGCCATACGAGGTTTGATTACATGTGTCACAATGGGTAGCCTTCTTATCTTGTAAAGTGCATCTGACCATTAGTGAAGAATGTTTCGATTCCATGCCTATCGGCATCGATGCGGTACTCGTAATTCAGAGCATTGTCTTCAACTTTCTAGTATGTATTATCTCGTAAAATAATTCGCACATTGTGACGCAAGGGCAAGTTATCTTTGGTGCAATTTGAACCGATACTACTAGTACATCATTGATAATGGCATTTCAAACAAGACCCTCTCAAGTACAGTGAGCTGAGAAATCGAGCTCAGCATACCGCAAATCTGATGTCCCTTCCGTCCAGATGTCAGCCCAAAAGCGAAAGAACTAGGATCCGGTACCGCCCATATAAATAAAGGCCGAGGCATCGAAAACAGCTCTTATTCTTACTTGCTCCCTGAGCTGTTCGAGCTGAGTAATGTAGGTTGTTGCTATATTGTGTGCATTTGAGCCCGAGGCAGCTGCATTCTGCACCTGTCGCCATGTGACCAACAGCTCATCAATACGCGTATTAACCCAAGTTGAGACCCATTGAGCCATACGTGACATGAAATTCTGCATGAAGTTTCTCCACAGCCTAGGGGCGTTGAAGTCTCTTTGTCCGTACACTTTGTTGACGGCCGTTTGGAATATACCGAATTCGTACTGAACGCCACCATGTGTGGTAAGAAGGTGGCGATTAACAAACTCAGCGTTCAAGTACTCGAACACAGAAATAACCTTGATTTGAGGTTTTTGGTTAGCAAATAAACACATAAAGTCATGAGACTCGACATACCATTCGTAATTCATTGATTGCAATGTCTCCCATGTCCTCATCCGGGAGTCTAAGGGATCTCCAAACATCATCCCCAATAGGTTGAGATCCAGCGAAGAGCTAGCATAAGTTAGGAATGATCTTTTCCATAAAACGGCAGGAAGAAAAATTGAACTGATCGATAGATATAACATACCCTTCCTTTCATCGAATTCAAATGAGTTTCCGTGTTAACTAATGGCATGGGGTTGACCGTTGAGCCAAGCTTGTTGAAGATTGAAGATCCGACTAATAGGCGTTCCACTGGTAGGTACTGAAGGTTGACCACCGGCCCATTTTGAATAGTCCTCATTGAGCAGTTGTGCAATACTCCATGGCATAAGTTTGTTCGTAGTTTTATATTCCGGCAAGCCATGTAAAGCCGGGAGAGTTCCCGTAACCATAAACTCAATTGATCGAGGAATCAATTCCCCTATTCTTAAAGAGGTAAAGTAATAGAGTAGTATTACAGTACTTAGCTAGACCTAGGATTAATCTACAGGATAGCGATAATATTTAAGTAAATCTTAATACTAGAGTTATATTATTACTATTATCAGATTATTTAGGGAAAATAAATTCTTTTTTATCTCTGCGGTAGACAGGTAAGGCCTTAAGTTGCTACTTATATACTGCTATAGAGTTAGTTAAAATCTGCCTTTCGGTTTAAGGTAGTTCAGACCTCTTTAAGTATAGCAGAATACTCTGTAGTAAAGATAAATTCTCTGAATTTCTGTATTCCTGCCTAGAAGTCTTAACAGAACCTCTGCAGCGTCTCTAAAGTAGGCTTCTCTTTGATATAACTGTATTTGTTTAGGGCTATCTAGAGTAAGAACCCTTAACTTATTTGAAGGTTCGGCGGATTTTAAGATATTAGGTATAACTTAATAAAACTAGATCGTTAGCTAGAAACAGAGCCGCTAAGGAACAGATACCTTATATATTAAATAGATTTAAGGTCTCCTTGTAGTCTCTTTCTGTTTGCAGTAGTACCGTACGGGCTATCTTCTTGCTGTTGATACTGTTAAGATCGATTAAGAGATACTTATTCTTTTTGTTCCTTATAGTAGAGAGTAGCAAAGAGTCGACTGAGTAAGGGATTAATAGCGGCAGCTAGGTAAAGAGATAAAGAGGGCCTAGTGAAGAGGAGCGAAAACCGTTCATTTTATCTCCCGTCTGCACTCTAGTACCTTGTTAAATCTTTCCCTGCTGGAATTTATAAAGGCGACTTTTGTATGTCAGTTCCGGCCCTTCAGGTGAAGGGCTGAAGGGGCGCCCCGCTAGAGCGGCGGGCCGCCTAGGACAAAATCGTGGGCGCTAGGTAACCACCGACATACAATATCTGTTGTATGTTTTCTTTTCCTCTTTTTTTGTCTGAACGAGCCTTTTGTGCTTACACAAAATACATGTTACTGTACTGGTTTCCTCGATTTAGCTAATGTAAGGGCTTGTGTCATCCCACTCACTCCGCTACCCAGCATACTATCTGCTGGTGCCAATATCATTCAATATTCGTTGTCTGTAAAGTGAAAAATGCAGACTGGGTATTACCATGACTCTATTAGCATATCTTGAGCCAGAATACTCTTCAATAGATAGGTACAGAAACCAGCAATTTCAGCGTGCGACACCGAATCTTGTGAAAAGAGGATCATTAAGCAGCCGATCTAAACAGCTCTCTTCAACGCCCACTAGAATCTCTATACCACCGTCTGGTAAAACAGGGAAGATAACCTGGAGTCCATTGATGCAACCAACATGAGGTGTCCTGATGGCGTCAATTGATCCCAATATGGGTCCCCAGATCAGGTCATATATTTTGAAATTGATCCAAGAGGTCAAAATGCAATTATTCCAGGGACATCCAAAAATGCAGTCGGAACCAGCCTATCGACATCCTCAACTTTCTCCACAAGACTCACCATATCATCGCTAAACTGATCATCTGCCCGAAGAACAGCTTTGCGGATCTGTACCGCAAGATCGGCAATATTCGGAGTGCTCAGCATGTTACGAATAGGTGCCGACACTGCGACATACTCAAGGAAGCATCCCAGTGTCTCTGGATGTATTTGGGGACTTGTTCGCAGTCTTCCATCAATGGCAATATTGAATAGAGAGACAGGGTCTCCTTCCAGAGATTCCAATGGTGACTGTACCGCCATCACAGTGCGCCAGAGTAGCGCGGAAAGAGCATCATTGGTAGATATCCATTTTTGGTCCGATGGCTCAGTGGCATTGCTTGGAGAGGCCTCTGCCTTAAGAGCTTCCAATGATTCCGGGGAGAAATAGAAAACCTGGCCCCGATGATTCGGTGACACCATTTTAGGTGGCGCTCCAGGTGGCGTGAATGGGAGAAGAGTCCATTCTGGATGATCTTCAATATCTCCCTTGTTGCGACCCGAAGATTTCATCACTGATTCTCGATCTTTGCAGATAGCATCCGCAAGCTCGACAGGTTGAGGTATATCAAGTCCCTGGGCACGACGGCATTCCTCTGCCCAAACCTTAGTCCAGGTATGAAAGGACGTGCCATCGCCTGCCATATGCAAAATGCACCACGAAAGTATCAAGCCCCCTTGAATGAAGTTGGCCTGAATCAAAGATATGGGGAGATGTTCCCCAGGTGAAGGCCACACAGATCTTGGGCAAAATATATCGGCATCGAAAGAAGCGACGGGAAAAGACTTCGACTTCAATTCCGCATACGTAGGCTGATAAGAGCTGCGTAAATCCTTGACAACTATGCGTGTGCCGCTACCCTTTTGCATTAACTGGAATTTCATTACTCCTTTCTGCGTTGTATCGGTATCTGGAACGGCCTCGCAAGCAACTTCTGGTATTCTCTGGGAAAGAGCGTCATATCCGACCTGAAGGACTCTTGCAACTTCATCGACGTCGTAGTTGGCTTCTAGATGGAAAGGAAAAACATAACGCAGGTAACCTTTGGGTCCAATCCGCTCCAGTTGAGTCAGCTGGAAGACTTCCCGTGTATCATAAATGGTTTCGATGGAACCCATATTGATTGAATTGATTTGTTGCAATGGAGTAGGGAGAGAGTGGAATTGAAATAGAATTGAGCAGTTCTCTGGCCCCAGGACTTCCAGGGGGACTTCAGCCATTATCTGGTCTTCGGGTTGTCAGCCCCACGGTGGAGCCCTATTCTCGGGATTTGGCTATTATGGTACAAATATTATAGTAATAATCTTTCGGCAATAGTACTACGAGTACGGAGTACGAGTACATCTTGTACCATTTCTCCAATTATTTATGCAGCAGATTCTAGCCATACTAGGTTTATTCTCCGGTACGGAGTAATTTCAAAGGGATTCTTGAATTGGCTTCTAGCAAGACACGAAAGGAAGCGCTAATTATGTCTCCAAGAAGATCGCTGCGTTACCTTTGGGGCTATTTTTCGGCCATAGAAGTTAATGGCGGCCCTCGGTAGTCAACCGTTGTGTCAGGGCGCCCCTGGCGGCTTGGCGTGCATTAGTTCGCTTCCTTTGTGGTGGGGCAATCAGGATCTTCATGTCTTTATGGCCCATTCAAAAGTGATCGTTTCGAACTTGCATGATCCTTCACAGCATTCGGCACGCAGCATGTTAGTTTGCGGATTTTGGCCACGAGTGGGCTGGCCCGCTTACCCCCTTATCTGACGGCTGTCAAAAAAATGTAATTAAGATCGGCCTGAACTCCGGCGAGCACTTTTATTTTAAACTAGAGTTAACGACATGGCTTTCCGCTAAAACTCTTATTGACTTCATCGTATACCCTTTTGCGCTTGCGGGCAAGCCGATATTGTGATGGCAGTCGACCCAGCAATTCTTGCCGTTTTCGGGCCGGTCCCCGCGGGCGTTGACCTTACGGAAAGTCATGTTTCCGTAAACAATGGAGCTGTCATTGCAATGCTCTGTTTATCTGCGGTCGCTGTTATTCTACGCTTTGTAGCTCGGGTGACCCTTCGGAATGCACTCATGGCTGATGACTGGGCAATCATAGTAGCGCTGGTGAGTTATCTCTTCAACCTTTTCTAGCGTATTTGTTCACTGCGAATTGACCTTGGAATTTCAAAAGGCCTGCATAGGTGCTACGACTGGTCTAAGTGTCGCAGGTAAGAGAACGATTTCTTTCAACTTCATTCCTTATTCTTTGATTAAAACTTTTGAATCTAGGGAGCGGTACCGGTTCTGGACGACATATCTGGGCCGTCAGCTTGGAGGAACTCATGCAATTATACAAAGTAAGCTTAGCCATCTGCCATCGATGGAGATTTTCCTGTGAAAGTGTTGATTTTAATGTTACCATCGACCTGATTCAGCTACTTTTCTCGTATACCTTCCTCTACGCCTCCTCGTGCACTTGGACCAGGATATCCATCCTCTTTTTCTACAGACGTATCTTTTCACCCCTGGAGATTTACTTAAAAATGGCATTGGCAGTTGCTGGATTTCTCACAATTTCATATCCAATTGTCATTTGGGTCACTATGAGCACGGCCTGTAAGCCTGTCTCCCATTTCTGGACACAGTTCAGTGGCACGGAGGGGAAATGTATCGACGTGAACAAATTTTTCCTTGCCCTGGGGATTATCAATATGATAAATGATATTATCATTCTGGTAATTCCATTTCCGCGAATCATCCAACTGCAAATGAGTACAAGGAAGAAGATTGCCATTTGTGCAATTATGGCTGTTGGGATCTTGTTAGTTCCATTCCTCGTTTCCTGTCTGTGCCTTCGAAATACGAAGCTAACAAATTCTCAAAGCGCCTGTGTTGCCAGTATAGTGCGGATTTACTATCTCCATGTGTTTTCAAACTCTATTGATGTCACTTGGCTTATGGGTCCCGTATTCATCTGGTCTACAATCGAGCCATCAGTTGCAATGGTTTGTGCTTGCCTGCCTCATCTTGCTCCACTCGCTCGGCTTGCTCGACAAACGATATTCACCAGCCTTCATTCGCACAAATCAAAGACTGGAGACTCGGGGAGGCCACCCCACTCTCTCGCCAGATCAGGCCAAGAACCTCAAAGGAAGATCATTTTTGGCAGCAGCGGAGTGAAATTTGACTATGGACTGGCTCAAATGAAGAGAGATGCTAATGACGATGAAATTGGGCTCACTAATTATGTGACCTCTAACCCTAATCATACCAAGAATTCCTCTGTTGAATCTGTTTTGGAGGACTATCATCGTGACCATACAATCACAGTCCAGTCTAGTTTTGCCCAGGCAACAACGTCAAGACCACCTTCTTGAAGGAGGCATTCGTCTCGAGGTCAATGACTAGTACGCAGAAAAATCTTTTAATTTTATCGCCTTTGCCTTTTTACTAGGCAATACTCCCTGTAAAAATCATAAAATCCATATCATGATGTTGAGTCCAGCTCTGTACTATCGAGTCATTCAGGGATATATACCCCGGTATTCAATCTCCACCTGTGGGCACCTACGCAGGGCTTGGAAAAAATGGATGTCATTTTTTTTTTTTATCTTTTGCATTCAAATACTTCATGATGGGACTTTATAAGCTGCACTAGTACTAGTATAAGATCCTCAAACTTGAAAACTTGAAGGATACCTAGGCATTTTCAAGTTCTTGGAAGGACTGTAACACCCCGGAACAGACTCTACTTCCAAGGTTCCTGTTTGGGTTTAGCGCTCTTTCTCCGGGCCGCAGCCTCGCAGCCTACGTACTCGTATCTGCGAGACCTCACCACCCATTTTCCAAGGCTCATTTCTTCCCCACACTTAGTATCGCGCACTCAATGCACTTATTCTTGACAAATAGTCCTCTATTACAAGGACCAGAGTATAAATTATCTTTTTTTTTTTTTTTTTTTTTTTTTCATATTTTCATCCGACGGGTGTTAACAGGCGTTGATACCTCGGCATTAATACCTCAGGCATCAAGCTGTCATCTTTTGGCTGGATTTGTTGCCTTAGCACCCAGGCATTAATTAGGCATTCATCTAACTATATCTAGTTGCCGTGTGATCTTGTCTCGTCTCACCTTTCTCATGGAGTTTCTCGACCAGCTTCAGACCACATTTATTACTCAATTTGGGGGCATTCATACATTGATCAGCTCACTCTAAGGCCACCTCGACATGGTTCGTCAGGACCAGCAAGTGCAAGCCAAACCACTCAAACCGTACGCTCAACCTCTCGTTCTATCTCAACCTCGAGGCATTTTTGGGCCCGAAACTATCGACTCCAGGCCCTGAAAAGCTCACTGGCATAAGTGTGAGGTTCAACTCATGGAATGCTGCCATGCGTATTAAACTTGCCATCGAGAGGCACTGGTATTGGGGATATATACTAGTAATCCCGAGAAACCAAGAGTGTACTATACTACTGGGATTCGGAGATTTTATCTGAAAAGTTATCCTCGTAATCAATGAAGGGTATGTACACAGTGAGGCGGTGCAAGCGTGCGTCATGTTGAAGGTCTCTGGCCCATCAGTGGGTCGTCCACTGGCAGCCAAAGAACTGTGTGGATTTGCCAAGGTTCAAGTTATAGTATGTACTCGTCATTAACTGATCCGTGTGCAGAAACAATGGGGATCACCTCCGTAACACCGACATAATTAATTTATTGGGTTGATAGTACGACCAGTTCATGAGTGATCCGAGCGGGTCCATATGCCTATCGGAACATTTGATAGTTATATTCACGCTGCGAAAGGGATTCGCATTCCGAACAAGATCCAAAGGAAGGTATGAGTGAGTAATGAACCAGATCCTGATAAATTTGCGATTTATCAAATTCTTGTCCATTAACTCAATTTTATCGATTTCTCGTTGTTCTGCTGTTCTTTCTTTCTGTTTCAAATGGCGGCAAAAAGACGAGCCTTCATGATGTGATTCTTCTCAATATTCATTTTCCATTTCTAGCCTAGCGGAATATGATGTTTCTTCACAGGTCATATACAGAAATTAATTGCTACTATGTGACATAATCCTCTGCAGATCGCAAAGCCAAAGCTAACCGTACTAGGAATGTGGCCGGGCCCCCGAAATCCACAACGACCCGCCCAGCAGAAATCTGACAAAGGAAACAACGACCTGGAACAGCGAGAGCCTAAATTTGGAATATAATCATGATGTCCGATAGCTTACTCCTTGAATCCTTCCCGATGACGCCCCCTCATCTTGTCAACTTCATGGCCCCCGTGCTGTCGATGTAGCCAATGAAAAAGGAAAAATGTATCCTTTTCGCCCCGGCCCCCAACCTCCAGCAACACGGCTGTAACTGTTTCGCCCCGTGCCATGGATTACTTGCAGAAAATGGGGCTGCAGGATCGCTTTATGATTAAAACGGTGTAGGATTGCGATGATTTCGGCCGTCCCGGGGCCCAAGAACTGAGGCAGACTTTCTGTGTCGCTTGCACGATCCTTCGGCCTTGGGCCATATATTATCGATTGCCCGAACCAAAATCTATCTTTCTGACACCCCGGAAAGGGAAGTGGCCATACAGACCTGGCATGAAAGACCTAACTGTTGAGGATGTCCTAGGCCCGCCGCCGGTCGGCATGGACCTATCCGAGGACCGAGCTCCCAAAGATAATGCAGTTGTTATTGCTCTCTGTGTGTTCGCGGTGGTCAGTGTAGCTCTGAGGTTCATTGCCAGATTAAGGGGACCCAGGCCTCGACCTGAGCTGGATGACTGGTTGATTGCGGTTGCTCTTGTTAGTCCTTTTTCTCCCGACCATGAACTGATTAGCTGACTGAACTCTCTAAAACAGATTCCCCTAATGACTCTTCTCGCTGCATCAGTTCTTGCATCAAAATGGGGAATGGGAAAACACATCTGGGCGGCAAGTATGCAAAAAATAGTGGAAATGAAAAGAGTAGGATATACCTCCGAACAACTCATACCTATACTGACCTGTTCCACGTAGCTCTTATTTGCTTGGATATTCGTTTATATTTTCGAACTCTTCATTATCAAAACCTCGATCTTGATGTTTTACCGACGAATATTTGGAATGAACTGGATGATCTGGACATGTCTCATTCTTTCGGTACTCTGGCTTCTTGGAAGTATGATCGCACTCCTCGTTTGCCCAGACCCGATCCCTTATTTCTGGAACGAGTCCGTTGATCCTACTGCTGGAAGGTTTCGATACAACTTCCATAATTACTATATCGGGAATGCAGCAGGCAATGTAGCCAGCGACGTGCTGATCCTACTCGTCCCATTCCCAATCGTCTGGCGACTGAAGATGCGGGTCACCCAGAAGATAATGGTATCCAGCGTTCTTCTACTGGGTATCTTGTAAGTTTGGAGCCAAGCCTTGTCGAGAGATAACTGCTAATATCTACAGTGTCTGTGTAGCCAGCGCGGTGCGCCTGCACTTTGTCATGTATCTCAACTCACCGGATCTTACCTGGGCTATGAGCGACGTGTACGTCTGGTCTGACGTGGAGCCTTGTCTTGGTATAATCTGCGCCAGCCTCCCGGCCGTGCAGCCGCTTGTTCGATCGGTGATGAAAATGGAAAGTTTGCTTTGCTTGCGCCAACGATTCCATGCCGGCAAGCCACAGTCTCATAGCCGGATGAGCAGTAGCCACAGGCTCCAGAAGCGAAGCAGCAATAGCAGCAACACAAGCAGTCACCTAACCCATTTGGATAGTTGCGACGGGAAAGGAGAGCTGAGCTTCCGCCCGGACGATGACGAGGCCAGGCTGACAACTGTCGTCACTCATATTGAATCCGAGCCCAAGGAAAGGGCGAACTTGGAGGAGCTGTTAGGTCCAGGTTTCATTCGAGTGCGACATGATGTCGAGATTAGTGTGGCCTAGTATCGAAACCGAATTGATTGAATAGCTATTTGCATGCTGTGGGTGTTTTATCCATTGAATCTTAATCAAGTACGACTTTGGAGATTGAAAAACCCCCGCCTGGTTCCACGAGCTGCCCCTTGAGATGCTTCTGAATCTAAGGGTTTCGCACCCTAGAGGTTTTCATGCTGCAATTCAATTAGGAAACTGGGCGGTGGCCCTAAATAACTTTCCCGGACTCCCCCAAGATCCAGGACGACTTTCTCCAAAAGAAGGTTTGGGTGATTAAGCCGCAGGCGAAGGACGTGGTCCCCAGTCTCCAGATTACGAATATTGTGGTTCCTTCGCCAGACACAATCCATGACAGAGTCTAGCCAGCCCTCAGCCGGTAGTTTATTTGGTACACGGGAATCCGAGAGAAGATAATGTGATGTAGTTTGTTGATCGTCGATGGCAATATCGTAAGACATTCGGTGTGCTGGGTCGATCTCAAGAGTCAAGTTGAAATAAAGGGTAATGGTGACTTGCGTGGAATGCGAAAAGGTATAAATAGGATATTCAAGGAATGGAATATTTCCGCTTATCGAATTTGAATTGCAAATTGTGACAGCTCCATCATTTGATCGGCCAAGCTCTGGGTGATGCTGGTATGGGTCCTTGGTTCCCAGCCCCGCAGCAGGAATGGAGATGCAGCCATCTGATTCGACGAAGCCAGAGAAGCATTCTGGGACCCGCCGACCGTAGATGGGAAGATGAACATGTTCAAAGTCACCTTCTTTAGAGGAAACGCTGATCAGGACCTCCTCATCAAACTCGGTCGGTACTTTCTCCCAATCAATTGCAATTGTGATGCGTGAATCGTCCCCATTGGGGTGAATATCTCCATCACTCCGTGAAAGATGAATCCAAGAGTGCGGCACTGAGCAGCTCCAGTGAATTGTTTTCGTGCCCCGAGTGAATATGTCGAACCACCTTTTTGTGGGTCCATATCGGCTCATCGAGGAGAGAGTTAGACCCGGGACAAGATCGCGTCGGCTAGGGTGCGTACGTTCGCTTTCCTCGTTGATTCGCCCAGGTCGAACACCTTCGTGCCCCTCCACAGCTACTCCCATCTGACCAACAATGATGTTGCTATTTTGACCACGCTGGACGTAGGCTAAACCGAAGATAGCATCCCTGAGATGGAGCGTGCCAAGTGTCGCCGTAACCCATGTGCGCTTGGCACATCATATGATTCCATTTTCCATCCAGAAGGGAATGGAATTCTTGGGATAGCTTGAAATCTGCATCAAAAAGATCCAGGGCTTGTCGCAAAAGTTTGTTGGCTGTGTTGCGTCGTTGGCGGGCGTGAAGCTGGTTACGGGCTTGGACAACACGAAGCTGGGTGAATATGAAGCTGGATTTGACAGGATGAACCACGAGCTCCCAAATTGCTGCCTTTTGTTCTGCTGAAGCGGTCTCGTAAAGACGCTCCGAGGCTAAAGCTAGCGCTTGCCATCGTACCACAATGTTGTCAGCTTCATTATAGTGAAGCAAAGAGAATGTTTCTGGGTCGATGTGCTCGTGTTTGCGGAGGCGAACAAGACGATCGTACTCGTGCCAAATAGGGACAATGGCCTTGCTCAAACCTCCATCGAAGCAATCTGTAGCAAAATTGTCTAAGAATTGAGGGATATTTTCGCGACACACGGAGTTGATGTTCCAAGCCATCGACATTGCGAATGTCAGCGGCACTTCGATCGGCTTTATGTCGCCGATGTTGAACACCCATATTTTTCGAGCATTGCGATGATGAGCCTGGTTAAGTTGATGATATATTTTCCCCTGTTATACAGGTCGTCAGCAAATGCTAACTACTAGTTTGTGGTAAGTGCCCAAGGGGTTCCCCAACACGGTCACGGTGCCTCAAATAAACATACCAGTGAGTTTGAATTAATCCACTTATAGCTTCGAGGCGCACCAACGTACTCAAAATGATAATATATCTGTTTTAAATGTAAGCAAAGTCCATGGGGCTCAAGAAATTATTACTTACACCTGCACCCCCAGCTCTTGACTTCTCGGATCCAGAAGGAAGACGGCGTAGAGTCCCAAAGTTGTCGTCGGCGAACAAGAGTGTCACATCATCAGGGACCACGAATTCACCCGCTTGATATAAGTCTTGGACTTCTTTGTATAAAGCGAGTACCTGAGGAACAGCATCTTCCCTGCCATGTACCTCCTTGAATAGTGCTCGCTGCTGTTCGAGCACATCTCGGACCACGGCACCAGGGTCTTTTGTAACCATGCCCTTATCGTATTCCCCTCGAATTCCCATTGTGAAATATGATTCCAGACCCTTTGCGCGTGTAACACCTTTGCGAAAAAAACCCGATGATTTCCTCCCTGTGAGTTGTCCAATTCCACGTCCCATCCGAATGACCCTCTTCGAACCACTCTGTTGTAGCTCGCTGCATCGGCTCGTGATGGGAAGTTGAGACACATATGCCATATTCGTCTGCAAGGTGCTGATTTTTTGGATCATCGAGAAAGAAGACTGCTCCTGGATTTGGGTACCCAGGCCACATGGCGGGCCACATGAAGTTCGCCTTTAGCCGAAGCAGCAGCTCGTAGACATTCTTGTAGAAATCCGAGTTGTACTCTCCGAATTTTTCCAATACCCATGCAGTCAGCGCTGGAGCCTCATCATTGATAAATATGCCACGGTATTGAATGCTTGGCTCGCCGTGGGTGGTTTGAATAGGAAGGGCGAAGATCTCGCGGTGAAACTTCGGGGGAACATCTGCCCACCAATACCATCTTTATCGATATTCGCAGTTAGCAATTGTTGATGGATTGTGAAGTGTGATATTTCTTCTTCATAACTCACGGGGAAACCCCGATTTGGCTTGATAGTGTGTATGCGCCAAAAATGGCACCTCGCTTGTCGCTTCCAGCAATCACCAGTGACCTTTCACAACCAGGAAAGGGGTTCTCGACGACTGCGGTGGTGAAGGACTCCCATTTCCCACGAATTGAACCGTTATTTATTCTTCCCGACCGTTCGAGCTCCTTGAGAATCCAACATGAATCAATCGAGCCGATAATAATCGCGTTTGAGCCTGTCAGCTCCAGAAAGCCGGCCTGGCCCTCGTCCACGACTTGAAAGGGATTGGCATCGCCCTTGGTGACTCGACCGAAGTCCTCAGCGAGCGCCCGAGCTGCATGGTGGACTCCCTTGAAATCATTGGAGCTTGTGATTATTGTCGCTCCAACGAGGCCAAAAAGCTCAGACGAGCTGTCAAAAGTGACCAACTGTTCCTCAAACATAATAACTATGATGTCAACAAGCGACAAGCACCAGCTGGTGATGATGGCTGGTGATTCTGCTTCTGCTCACCAGGACCCCGCGTATCCCCGCGCAAACACCATTATTCCGAGCGGCCGACTAGCTAATCCTCCCGCTGCGGCTAGCAGGAGCTAGGCGTGGGATGATGCGTCTCTCGGTTCTTGCTCGCCCGAGCAGACCCCATAGTGGATCCAAACCCCGGGATCTCGCGGCCATATCGTTTGCCGGTCCATCAATCAGCGGTCCTCTAGTGTTGCCGATGTCGCCCAATAGCCTTCCCTTGCCTGATTTCCTACTCGCTAAACCGGCCATATGGTCTCAAAACACCGACGCTATACCCGGTACATATCGCTGGGCGTGGGGGTGAATCCCCATGGGGGATGGAATGATGAAGTCCCGAGCCACGGAGATTGCCGATCCATCCCCGCATTCCCAGGAAGCCAAACTGCATATTTTCTGGGGGAATATAGGGGCTTGTCGCTCTCCCCTTTGACGAAGTCTCCACGAGAAGATTTTTGGTTCATCCTGTTACCATGCCGGACAAAATAAATAACCAGGAAATCGAAAATGCCGCGGGTGTCGGCATCCATGATGAAGCGCCCGACAAGAACCTCACGAACTACAACTTGGTCGATAGGGAGGTTGCCAAGTACGCCACCGATGGAGCTATCGAGATTGACGAAGCCACAAATAAGCGCCTGAAGAAAATGATCGATAAGCGGATTTTAGTGGTGATGATGATTACATACCTGATCCAAACGATCGATAAGGGGGCACTCGCCTTTGCGTCGATTATGGGAATCAAAGAAGACGCACATTTACAGGGGAATCAGGTTGGTTCATCAAAAATTAGACCAAGGTAATTATTGCAACCGAGTGGCTGACAGTCAGCAGTATCAATGGTTGACGACCATCGTCTACCTGGCGATCCTCTGTGTCGAGTTTCCGGTAAGCCTGCCAATATGAATACGATGGCCAAATACTTATGGAAATTAGGAAAACTGGATCATCCAGCGGGTACCAATTGCCAAATGGCTGTCCTTGAATATTTTCTTGTGGGGTATATGTATCGCGTTGATCTCAGCCATGCGGAGTTTCACTGGCCTAATCATCTTGCGTGCTTTCATGGGTGCCTTTGAAGCAGCATGCCAGCCAACATTTGTGATTTTAAGTTCCACATGGTACAAGCGTGAAGAGCAAGGTAGCGTCATTAACCTCTGGTATGTGAAATATTCTAGTGGAAATCTGAAGTACCCGATCGCTGATAATCTTAGGTTCATGATGAACGGAATCCAGAACATCATTGGTGGTCTTTTAGCCTTTGCATTTTCCTTTGTCCCCTCGAACTCGCCAGTGAAGTCATGGGAGGGTCTTTTTATGACTTATGGAATTATTACAGTTATTTGGGCGACTTTTGTCTTTTTCTGGATGCCCGATTCCCCCATGCGCGCCAAATGTTGGTCGGAAGAGGATAAACAATTGATGGTTGAGCGAGTACGACAGAATCAGACCGGTCTCCAGAACCGTATTTTCCGAAAAGGAACAAGTTTGGGATGCACTTAAAGACCCTCAGCGTATGTAATCTACCAAACTTCTCTTTTGACAGAACTGTGCTAACTATATTTAGTTTATGCTTTCGCTGTTATTCAAATGGTCACTGCCATGCCCAGTGGGGGCATTGGAGCCTACGTCAATATTATCATCAACTCGTTCGGATTTAGTACCTGGGAGAGCCAGCTTCTGACTATGGTCGTCGGTGCTGTTGTCGCAATTGCCATGATTACATCGGCATATCTTGATCGCCGCTTCGGAAACACGATCATCATCATGATATTCTCTGTGATACCGTCGATTATTGGTGTGTCCATTCTGATCGGGGTTCCATTTTCACCTGATAAACGAGTTGGCATGCTCATCGCATACTGGCTCTTCTACTCGTTCTTTGCTGTATCCTCCCTTTCTTTGGCCCTTCTTTCTCGAAATGTGGCCGGTCAGACCAAGAAGTCTTTCGTCATTGCTTCGAACTTTGTCTTCTGGGCGGCGGGGAAACTCAATTGGACCACAGGTCTTCCGTGACAAAGATGCCCCGCGGTATTACCTTGCGTTCTCTATTCTCCTAGGATGCTTTGGAGTTATGATAATCACCCTATGCCTATTGCGAGTCTGGTACTCTATGCAGAATCGGAAGCGCGATGCTAAGATTGCCTCTGGGGAGGTGGTTCCCGACATTACCTTTACGCATGGATTTGAGGATATCACCGATCGGGAAAACCCGCACTTCAGATACTCTTACTAAATCCCAACGCTCTATTTGATTTTCTAGATTCAACAATAAGCAGCGTTTAGAATGGAATATATTGGACCTGGGTATTGAAAAGAAAAATCCAATAAATAGCTATTTGTACCACATCAACCCAGAAAGCGACAATATCCGCTTTTTGTTTTTCTGTGTTCCCTACTACCTAAGGCTGTTATCGTCATGCCCTTGCAAGTTCGAAAACAATTTGGTTATTAATAGCTACTAGTTATTATTACGAGCTCTTCTGGCGCCCAGCCGGAGGTAATGTCAACCTTGGACTCGGAAGTTCTCAGGGGCCGCGACCACGATTGACTCCAAGGCTACTAGTGCGACACAAATACCAGCAATATAAAAAAGCCCAATTATGCGACGGATGGCGGAGACTTTCATTGAATACTTCAAACTTCCTGACCCAATTCCACCGGGAACTATATTCATCGTCTTATGTGAGTTGTCACAGTGTTTGGAAGTCTATCTGCGAATGGGGCTTTTTGGAAATATTATTTGCCGACGTTAAGGGGAATTTGAAGACAAAATTCACGCTGAAGCATATGGCATTCGGGATATTGTTTGCGACGGTGACGCCCAAGCGCCAGAAAATAGTCTTCACAGACAAACTCACAATTTGGCATGGTTTATATTTTTAATCCGAGCAGCTGGCTCCGTAGTAGCCGCTTGGCATCGTACATGCATGCTGATTTTGCTTACACTTTGAAAGTCAGCGTAGGTTGAACTTCTTTCCTCACTTAAGTAGCGATCTTACAAAGTGCGGTGGCAAACACCGCTGAACTTGCCAATGTCCACCACTAAAAGAATAACATGCCTGCGTTCGAGTCAAACAATGCTGAAAATAGACCGAGTGGTTAGACCGTGCTGTTTCCACATAACCAAAATTTGTATGTCAGTTACGGTTTCCCTCATACCCCGTGATAGATCTTTTGACCACTAGCAATTTCCTCTGGCTCTATGATTGTTTCTATTGGAGAAGCATTGAGAGTGACCAGAAAAAGATGAAATGTGACCCAGGTGGCAAACTTCATGGTCTAGTTGGGATACTCTGTAACGTAAATATTTTCGATATCACAGCATAGAAAGACCCAATGCTTGGAGAAGTATATTGCCACCCGTGAACTGAGGTCAATTCAGCATTTATATTTTAGCGTTGATTCTATGTGGGTATGAGTCTGGAGAGCTCGTGATAGAAACCTGGAGAATGTAGCCTTCAAACCGAATTTTTGTGAAATATCTCCTAACGGGGACTTTAAAGCCCCGGGCCTTTTGCTCCCGAGCAAGCGGAAACATCGAGAAGGTTCTTATCTGTTGAATTTCCCGTGGAACCAGGAAAAGTCATATTCTTTTTGATTTATGCCTCAAGAACGGTCTCACATGCTTTCTCATATCATAGATCATTCCAGTGCGGTAGATTGGAGCTCATTTCCGCTGCCTGCGCGAGTTCCCGGGGTGGGTTGCGATAAATGCGATAAATAAAAAGACTTTGAGTCACGTTTTACCTCTGACTGGTTCATAACTAAACGGAACCCTCTATGTAAGATAGTAGTCCAATCAATCAATGCCTTGTTAAGGAAGTAAAATGGGGGAAAATAACTGAATATCATCGTGGCGCTGAGAAAAGGAAATCCTTACATCGCAAATAATACCGATTATAAAGAATGTAGATTCTATGATGGAGACATGGTATCTTGCATTGTTGGCCACCGGCGAGCAAAATATTGACATGAAATTCATAGGTACTTACGTCTAGTGAGAAGCAAATTCTAATAGAGGCCCAAAGAATAGTCGTATAAATAATGATTGAGAACACGTAATTTGCTCACAGGTCAGTAATTGGATATCTAAGCAAGAACGATAGGAAGGTCATAGACTCCGGCCCACTTGCACACCTTCGACGGGTATTCGGCTCCGGTATTCTCGCATTTCCACTTGTCACCGTTGATCTCGCCGGGAGCGAATGCCTTGGAGTTGACAACAGAGACATTCAACTTAATATCCTCAATGTCGTAAAGAGACGGGAAGTTGACTTGGTAGTTAGGGTTCGAGCAATTAAACTTGTAATCTCCAGACATGCCGCCAGACCTACAGGAACATTAGTATCCGAGTTTATGTTGGAAAGAATCATCCCTGCGGGCAAGATAGTAATTTGGAACAGGTAGACTAAAGCTGCCAACATACCAGGCAGAAGAGCAAGATGTGTCCACATTGTTGTTTGGATCATTCAAATCAAAATTGACGATGCGATACGCTGGTAGTGATTGGTCGTAAAGGCTTGCAGTCAGTTTAGTGAGCTGGAAGGCCTTCAGGTCGCGCTCAATGTTGGACTCGGAGGGAGCAGCAATGGCGGCGCCATTAAGAGCGAGAAAGGTGGCAGTGATGCTTGAGGTCTTCATTTCGGGCTTTTTTGGTGACTGAGACAGAATATTAGAGAGTTTCGTGGAGATTGCTTTCGTAGATATGGATATAAATTGTCTTTGAAAGGTTGGTGGATTGAAGTAATTATTCGGTCACGTATCCATGTCCCTTTTATATCCCAAAACCTTGGAACATGTCTATTCTCATCTGAGACTCTAACACATGATTACTACTACTTTGCAATGGCCCAGCTAGAGGTCATAAAGCCAAGAAGACCTTGTCACCTGTAATTCCATGGTGCCGAAATGAACAAGCCAATAGTTGTCAAGGAAAGATAGCTGACTTGAGACAAACTGCGAAAGCTTGGCCGGTCGCCTTACGGAATCACTGGATAGCTCTGTAAATAAATTCAATATGATTGGTGGGTATTTTGAGGATAATCCTAGATCGTCGATCTATCACTGTCTATTTCAAATTCAAGGTCTGAGTCGAGTCCATAATGGTTGGGCCGTTTACGAGGTGTTTCACATTTCTCTCAGGCGTCCAGCTGTACACTTCCTGGCCTGATTCTTAGGCCCTCCCATGGCAGCCTGAATAATCCTCCTTATTCCTCTTCTTTATTCATTTCGCCCGCCTGGTTCAAGCAAGAGGTATTCACATACTAATCTGCTTCGTAGGTTTCATCGTCCTTTCCATACTGACATCAAAGTTCCAGCCAACAACAACTCATCCACTCTTAGACCGATGGAGGGAAGGGATCGGATTCGCTAACCCTGCTATCCCTTGCTTCTTTACATTCTTTTGGGCGATACATGCTCGGCACCTCGGCGTCCCGATAAATGAGGCCATGTACTTGGGTCCTGAGACCTTCATTATCTCGGCGGAGTTCGAGTTGAATTGGTTTTTGTGAACTGAAATTATTTTACAATTAATTCCCACTCGATCTCACTCGGCTCTTTCCAATAGTCCGTCCCACTGTGCACAAACCCAAGCTTTTGCAAAAGTTTGGCACTGCGCTCGTTGTCTCGCTCTGTTTCGGCAATGAATCTCTTCACGCCCCTCTTTTCAATAGCCCAGTGCATGATTGCCTCGGCGGCTTCTTTCGCTAGTCCACCTCCCCAAAACTTGGGGGAAACACCATACCGGATTTCCACCATTTCCTGCCATGGTGGGAGGGCCGGGTCTCCTGCCTCTCGAGGCGGAAGGGATGTGGTTGACGCGTCGCGAATACCGGCGTAGCCAACCCACTCAATTCTACCAAGGTTCTCGAAATTTGAGCCAGCAAGAATATCGAAGTTTTCTTTGTCAATTATCGAAATTCGAGATGGGTTTTGATCGGATTGAACTGTCTCACGCAAGCCCACCGCAAAGTCGCCAATTGCATATCTCCGCCAAGACCGACCGATATCGCGCGTCTCAATTACGCCGCGTGTTTCATCATCGGTCCAATTTCTTACGGGAAAGTGAGTCCCAAATCCCATTTCACAAAAGCTTGCATCTGCGTGTAGTGCGGCATAAAGTTGGCGGTAAGGTTTTAGTGACACCGCAATCGGCGTGGGTAATATGATTAGCCTGGGCGTCGTAATGGCGAAGGGCTGAATAACATCATTTGAGTTTGGAGAAGCCATTTCAGGAATATTGCTGTATGTGTTTTTTTCTTCCTTTGGCTAGCAAAAGGGTAGGATGGCGTAGATTTTAAGGAAGACGTGATGAGATTGGCTCCAGAAATCTCAGGCGGTCGGGGTCCATAAGCGGATTAGTGCAAATTTTCCATGGGGAGCTCTTCCACCTGGAAGGGTGTGTGACGTTATAAAATATTTCAAGTTTTGCGCAGCATTTTACTATTGAGCCCTAGTCCATGAAGGTATAGTTTGCAAAGATTATGTGGAGAAAAAATATATTATGACAAGAATATAAACTTGAAGAAAAGAAAGCTAAATTGCAATCTTATGAAGCATCGGCGATGATCACCTCGGCTGCCTTTTCACTGATCATGTAAATCGGGAGAGCAACATAGTAACCCGGAATTTTGGGGAAGACAGAGGCATCGACAACGCGCAGGCCATCAACTCCTCGGACACGGAAATCGGAATCAAGCACAGCCTGGGAGTCTCCATCTTCTCCGATCGCAGCAGTGCAGCAGGCATGATGCCCCCAGGCCTCTCGCCGGATAAAGTCCTTCATATCAGCCTCAGAAGTGACATTAGGGCCGGGCCAGACTTCATCGAATCCGCCATCGAGAGGAATTAAGTCATCGAAGATTGTGCGGGAAAACTCCATGGCTTCGTAGACTGCTTGTACATCCTTTTCATCGGCGTCATTAGCGGTCACGCCCGTATCAAATGAGTTGAAATTAATGATAGGCATGTCACGAGGATCAGTCGATCTGAGTTCGACTGTGCCGGCATTATTGCGGCTGCGAGCTTTAAGGGTAATCCAGGTCCAATGCTGAGCATCTTTCAGACCTTCGTAAGAGTAGTTTGGGTAATAACCCGGGAAGTTCACGGGAGCTCCCGAGACCAAAAGATCAGGTTCATCGTCGGCGACAGAAGATTTGCGGATGATGGCAATGGCAATCCCGTTGGTGGTATATGTTCCTTTGAATAGAGGGTCGTTTTCCCACTGTTCCA